AGCATTCCTAACAAACCGTGATTATCACAAATACTACAGCCCAAATAGAGATAGCTTGGGTGTCAGGCCAACACCACAGACGACAGACCACACCCCCCTAAAGCCTCCTCACTCCCCCACGGCTAACGACATCGCCTTCTGGCCAGGGTTGAGCTCCAGCGGCTGCTTGGTCCAGTCGAACCAGGGGAAACTGGTCCGTAGCAATGCCTCAACCGTGGTCATTGATGCCCGGTTCTCTGCCTCGGTGACCGGCATGCCCATCATGCTTGCCTCCCCCATCAATGGCGCCCGCTGCTGTTGGTATGTTGCAAACCCAGTGATAAGCGAACCTATTACCTAATCCTAAGTATCAACTAATGACACCAATGACTCGGGAATGTCAATAGCTCAATATTTCTCAAAATCGGCGAGTTTTCAGACTGTACGACAACCCAACGACAAACAATACGCCGACAATACGCCAACAATACGCCAACGCATAAACAGCCCCAACTGGCTGGCGTATTCGGCGTATTAATACGGGCGTATTAGCTGGCGTATTAATATGGAATACGGTCGCATCCCTGAACTTTCGTGAGTCCACAACACAATTGTGGATACTGCCATGCGGTCCAGAATTATTGCCTGGGTTGTGTGTGGTCCGGAGAAGTAGTGATGGCCGACCTTCATAGATGTGTACGTTGATAATAAGGTGCAAAGTGACAATGCTCTCTTTTTGTGTGATATCTAAGCGCAACCGCGTCTCGGCCATTGTAGAGTGGCAACTCTCTCCCGTGGTCGTCGGTTCCGTGGGTGCTTCTGGAGGGCACTGTGTGACGTAGAGGACCTTCCCTTACCTCGGTTTTATGATCATGTAGGTGAACCCCCTCTCTTATGACAATCCCCGATGGCGTTTCTTGTTTAATATTATTTTGGGAGTTTACAGAAAACTGTGCACGACTAGGCTAGCCAGGCCAAGTAAGTAGAGGTAGCCTGTTTAGAGTTCAGGAGGTAGTGTTACCAGTCAAACTTAGTGGCGCCTTTCGCGGGGCTCTTGCTTATTTCGATGCGCAATTTTTGCGCATCAGTGTTGCCTTAACAAGGGCTGTAAATACGTCCCAGCTGGCGTGAGACGGCTGTAGCCACGATCCCTATTTTTCGGCAGGGACAACTTCCGGTACTTGTCCTTTCTCGTCCTTTGTGTAACACACCATCAACCAATTGCTATTTCTAAGCATTAAATCGATCAAAACAACTCATTCGACACTGCGTGGAACAACATACATAATAGACTATTGAGGCGCTCATAAACATAAGTACGTGTCAAAAAAACTACTGGATGGAGGATAGCCTGGCTCTTCACTCTAGAACCTGTAGTACATCCAAGAAGTGACCTAGTGTGAAAGAAGTGCCATCATATGCATTACATGGCGCTACCGAGGTCGTTTCTGGGCTCTATTACACGGCCGCGTCACCATGCCGTGCTACATATTGGCTTCTGTGTTTCCAACTTCGTGGAAATCTGAGGGAGCAGCACGTCTCGCGTGTCCGCTAGGGGTACCAGCAAACAAGGAATCGAGGAAACAAACATTTCTTGTTACAGAATCCAGCCCTTGTTTCGGCGCGGCAGAGCCATTGAATTCTTGGTGTGCCCGTCGTTTCATATATTTGTGATGACATGCAAGTGAGCGATTACCCCGGCCGCGGGAAAATATTTAAAAATGTACCGTTAACGACTTCAGAACATAGCACCCTATCTTCTTCTGTAATAATAAACACAAGCGTTCATATCATTTCTGACATTCTTTGCCTCAACCAAACCTTTTTGCATAATTATGTTCTGTTTTTCACATTGGCACTATGTACATGTACGGCATTGCAAAGCTCCTAACATCCATTGTTCCATCAATGCACCACACTAAAACACTGGGGTCCTGGTGACGCAGCTGCCCGCGTTCGCAAAGTATGTCCCTAAGGCACTGATTGGGTCGGTAACCCATGGGTTACCCATCTTCAACCCCCGGTAGCCCATTGGTAACCCCCTTGTAAGTTCCTACCCAGCAGGAGGGGTAACACGGCCCCAGGGTAAACCCCTCCGTTGCCCTGGACTATGGACGTATGTAGGCTACTCGTCTTATATGCTTCCCACACCGTAAATTCCACTTAAGGATACTTTTTTAACCCGGATCTCCCGCCAAAGACTCTCGACGCTCTTAGGTGAGCCTGCTCTGAAAACGAGCAGACTCTGGATAGTGTTGCATAGGTCGTGCGTAGAGCTGGAATTAGCAGGTCGGGACGGGGCACTTAAGCTACTGGCCGACCTTAAATTGCCGCCCGTTGGCTGGTCCGGAGTTTTAGGTCTTGGGTCTGGAGTGGCAGTAAGTGCCTGGATCTTTTAATAGGAATATTTATTGGCTTCGCTAGGTAAGCAGAGACCGGATGTAAGCAGAGACACACACGCCATTAGCTTGCATTCTGCGGCTTGGGTTATGCCCGCGGCTTGCACTGCACCGTCGCGGCTTGGGCTGGGGAGCTTGCGTTTATGGCTAACCCTCCTGACCGGCAGCAGAAGTTGCACCTCTCCATACCCTCCCTCTCCCCAATTAAAGACGGACTATTTGGCCTGGTGGCTTCAGTTTGGCGATCCTTCTATCTGTTATAAACTGGCTTGTCTAGGCGCCAACTCGGCCCCAACTGAAACCGCATCGCGTGATGCCTAGGGAATTGCAGCGTGGACTGCTTTGCGTTACAAGCGGATGAGCATCGTGTGATAACCTTTATTACTCGCGTGATGCCTGCTCCTGTGCCAACAAAGAATCCTACAGTTAAAGGGTTTCTCTAACGATACCATTGCTACTCTCAGGTGGCAGGTTGCTGGCAGAGGTTAAGGCCTGACTTCTGCTCCCGGAGTGTCCGGATTCAAATCCGCATGCCGACCCCTTGGTTGTGTGGGGTTTGATGAAATCGGTAGTGGCCCCTCATCTTGTAGGACGTGGTAAAATCAGCTTGCGAGCTGATCAGGAACAGAGTTGAGGCGCCGTCGATCCGCTAGATTTGGTTGGATGCTGGTGGTGAGTTGCCAAACTCAAATAGTACACTCCGAAGTCATATGGGGTGAATGGATTAAGTTGCCCCTCTAGCCAGGGGAAAGCAGGGAATTGCCTCGGGAAGGAAGCCACTGGTGAAGCTTAACCACCCTGTAACAACAACAACAACCATTGTGACCGCATGCGTGTGTGTGTGTTACATGGTTGGGGGCGCGTGACCCCATTCGTGATTCCAACATCCTCGCCAGACGTACTGGCTCCCATTTCATGGCCTCCAACATGCTCTGTTGATGATCGAATCCCTCTTGCGCACGAATATCGTTATAGGCTAGGCATTCCAATAACACGTGTTTTTCATCCTCGAGTTGGCTATTGGTACCACAACAGCAGCAAAACCGGACCGCATGCAATCGCAGCGTAGGGTACCTGGTCGGGAACTGGCCAGTTGCAGGACAGCGGCATGCGGTCTTGTGTGCTGTCCTTCATGGCTAACATTACTGCTGCTCCTGGAGACCTCATGTTGCACGCCAAAAATACGTCAATCTGATTTCCAGCAAACCCATCCGGAGAGACGGAACCTAATTACCAGCCCTGGTCCTTCCGTAACGGTCCAGAACGGTGTGAGGAAAGCACCGCCCACAATTCACGTTCGTTGGCCCGTCAGTTTCCTTCCTTTCTAGCCGTGGCCAGGTTGACTGGCGTGCAGTCCAGCCTCCACTTGGGCTCCGTGGCCTCCTTTAAAGTCTGATTCCATTGCAAGCACCCCACCCAGCCTCTTCCAGACACATCACGCTGGCCAAAGCCCCCCCCCCTTACCCGCCATTCTCCTTTCAACTCCCCTGACCCTTCACCCCCCTCCGCATATCCCATAACCGTTGACGCTGCACCCATACGGCAATCTGCCGCACAATGTCCATTCCGGGTGAGGAATCTCTGGAAGGCGTACGAATGTTCTACCCTTCATTTTCCCCTAAACCCACAACTTTTCGTCACTTCGTTGTGTAATCGTCGAGCGCAAACGCGTCCCAGGACGAATACCCACCACCACCATTTTCTTTTACTACTACTACTACTACCTTCTCTGGAACCCTTCGGAGGTCCAACAAGGGGTTGCTGCAGCCTCATAGGCGACCTGTACAAGCCCCGGGTGGCTTGGCGCTTGCTGGTCTGCACCGCAACCCACAATTGCCACCCAAAATGCGTGCAGCGAAGTTATCGACACGCACGTGTCGTTCACACACACAAAAGCATAACCACAAACATGGGCTACGGCCCTGTGCGATGTAAGCGTAATCAATGTCGCTTTTGTGACATGCTGCTGCTGCGCACATGCACTGCGAACCCCACCCTCCCGTGATGTGCTGGCCATCGTAACCTATCTTCCAACTCAGAGACCCACGTATTCCAAAGTTTCCGTGCACAACACATGCGGCCCATGGATCAATCTTCGGTCCATTGAGACCCGCAGAGAGACCGACACCCGGAGGGGTTTCTGCCCTCGCTGGTAGAGACCACAAAATCCCTAAGGCCCGCATTTCCCCCCAGGTGCCATCTTCCCGGGGCAAATATTTCGTCTTGCTTCATGGCCTGTCCCACCCTGCGCTACCTAGACTCTACCCGCTGGGACCTTGGGCACCCCGACCTTGGCCCATCAGCCATCCACTGCGGTTTCAAACGCCCGTCTGAGTTCATGTGCCTATCACAAAACAACCGGACTCTCCTCTTTTCTCTCTACTTCTCTGCCCCACCTTTCACCACATTCTTATGTCCCTGACCTCCCACAAAAAGCCAGAACTTCCACCTTTCCCTAGATCTACTCCCTCGCCCTTTCCCTAAGCTTCTAGACCTCCTCCTCGTCCTCGTCCTCGCTGAGTGCCAACCGATCAATGGCAGCCTTGATGGTGGCGGCGTCACTGGAGCTGCAGCCGCTGTAGCTGAGGGCTAGCTCGAAGGATTGCTGGGCAGCCTGCAGTTTTAAAGGCAGTTGGGAAACTGTTCAACTCCGAGAAGAGTGCTCAGTGTTGAGAGGAGGACCTTGACGCTCTTGCTCGTTCGGCCACCAAAACACACATGAACGTACGTGCTCTTGCTTACCGTGCGGTTGTTGAGGCGCTTAAATAGCTTTCCCATCTGGAAGGCGACACTGGCTTCCCCTGGAGCCATCCGCTGAAGCGCCTCCAGCTCAGCGAGAGCCTGAACGGACAGGCAGACGGACAGGCAAACAGATGGACGCTAAAAAACATGCAAGGTACGCGGTGAGGTGAGATTAAACGGTTTCGGCAAATTCAAAATGCTCTCAGCAAGGACGGCGCAAATCCGCAGAAAAGAAAATCAGAGGCAAAGTAACCTTTCCTTCCTGTATGCCACTGAGAGGGACATCACGCTGCCCGAGCATCCGCCGGGTTCGCCAGATGTACATGCATACGAACCATGTCTATACACCATCACGGGAGTAAAGAAGCACAATTGGCAATCGCAAGCCAGCAAGCAGCTAACATGACGGTCACGAGCCGGGCACGGTGATCTCACAAAGCTGTATCACGCCTCACAACCCTACGGATCATTCAGCCCCCACACGGTCTGGAATCCCCAGGTATGTACATGAATAGAATATACTTACATATACGCACATACACACACACACGCACGCCCTTCCCCCTCGCTAATCATGCCCGTGTCTGATCAAGTCCGGTGTCACTTCCCATAGTCCCATAGTCGTTTGTCCTTCCCCTTTACCCGGGCGGGGACGGGTCCAGGTCGGAACTAGTTCTTCTTCCTTCCCACCAGCTCCAATCACCCCCACCCTCCCCCCGGTGCCAACTAACACCTCCCCATCTGGGTCGCTCGTCGTTTCCTTGGCTCCTGGTGGCGGTTGCGACACGCACCTCCCCAATTCGCTCCAAAGAAGCCAGCACAGAGGCCCGCTCAAATCGCGCCAGAGGGTTGGCCGGATCCAAATCAATGGCCTCCTGTAAGGGGATTGAGGAAAAGGGGAAATGGACGTGGAGTAGGGAGAACGAGCGCGGGTGCACGGAGGAAAGCATGACCTCGTGCCGGAAGGGGGTGTTTTTAAAACCTGGCGAGCCGCGATGCGGGAAATGGCGAGGCTGGTACAAGATTAACTTTACCGAAGCAACCAAGGTCTGCAGATGGTGTGATGAGGTGTGTGCTTGGGAAAGGGGGATAAATGAGTCGGTACTCGGTAAACAATACGGGGCTGGTCGGGCGGGGTGGGGTGGGAAAATAGGCTACAGACGACAGGACTCTGGTTTTCCATGTGAACATGCGCGGTTGCATGCACACCATGTGAACAAACCAACTCCCTTCCTTGCACCATACCTGCATCGTCAATCCGACCCCCAACCTAGCCCCACCTGCAGCTTCTCCAGAGCCAGTGGCGTCTGTCCCAGCTTGGCTGCACTCATTCCCACGTAGCAGCGCAACACCGAGGACCGCGGGTTGATGCCCGCAGCCAGACGGAAGTTCTGGAGCGCCTCGGCGTATTTTTCCTGCCGATATGCGATTTGGCCCAGGCCGTACCTGTTTCGCACCAAAAGGAAATCCAACACGAAGTCACAATTTACGATTTGGGCCAGTGCAGTGATGCCGGTTGCTGCCGACGTGTGGAGTGTAACGCACTGCGGCATGCAACACTCCAGTGTAAACATGCCCCCTTGAGGTTACTCATGCGCCACTGCTGCAACTGCAAGTGCTGCGATAACCGCTTTAAACTGAGAAACTTTGGCCTGGAGAATGGTTGCGTGACACTCGAACAAGGGGCGCGAAGCCCGTCCCTTGTCCCTGTAAATCCCTGTCGTCCTCTTGTCCTTCTGTAGCAGGAAACCCTAAAACCCTCCACTCATACAACTGCTCAGCGTCTCCCCTACCCTTGCCCTTCCCCTTGCGGGCATGTTGCTTTTCATCGTCTTATGGCTAGATTACTCCTTCCTAAATAAGCAGAAGCACTGGAAGGAACGAGTGACAGTATGTTGGGCGAGGGCGAAAGAGGACTAACCACGTGACCGCTTCCGTTTCCATTCCCTCCAACCCCGGGCAGTGGAGTGCTTAGGTGGGCTAGCGTCGCGCACAATCCATCAGAATCGGCCGAGAGGGACTAGGATGCGTCATTTTCGACTATCGCCACCAACCGCCAGCGGCCCTACTCCCTCTTTCCCCCAGTTGGATTGCACAGGTCGCCTGCATCTCCACCTCCGTCGCGCCATAACTTCTGCCCAACCATAACCCTGTGGGTTTCTCTGCACCGCTCACGCCCAGGTCTTGTCCAGGCCCGTGATTCTACTTCCTTTCCTAAGCCCCCGCAGCACGCCCATGGGGCCCCTCACACCCTCGCCCTGTCCCCTCTGCTCTTGCCCCCCTCCCACATACATGGCTTTGTAATGCCTGGGATCCAGTTTCAGTGCGGAGCGGTAGCAGGCGGCTGCCTTGTCGTAGTCCTCATTGGCAAAGTACTCGTGCCCCGCCAGCGTGTAGGCGTACGTGAACGTAGGGTCAACCTGATCCGGGATGGAGTGGGAGCCAAGGCAAGGGGTGGAGAGGGATGGGGCAGGGCAGGGAGGGACGGATTGCCGCGGCACGGGACGTGAGGGAGCAGGTTCATGAATCCCGGGCCCCAGAAAGGTTGCAAGCTCATCAATTCTGCAGCCGCCCTCGCTTTTACCTGCGCCGCGCGCAGAAAGAACTCGATGGCCGCCTCGTGCTCCTTCTGGCTGCTGAACAGGTTCCCCAACACACACCACGTCTGGTTGGAGGGGAGGGTTGGAAAAGAAAATATGTTTTTTCAGAAAGGGCGTACAGAAGCAAAAAATGAAGGACAAAATGTCACCTGGCCATACATCTGGCCTTGTAACGAGGACAAAGGGCAGATGATGGCCGGCTCAGGACAACGCAGCATACAGCAAAAGCAGTAGCTGCATCAGGAGACGAATGGCGACAGCACTGACATGCCAGGCTAGCAGGCTGGCAGTACGTACACATACACGTAGGGGTCTATACTCCTAACATACACACCCCTGCGGCGCGATAATCGATCGTAACTTTCTACCTCTGCTTGCAACTGCTTGCTAATGGTGTTCGGGCGCAGGTGAGCAAGCGACCAATCGACACGCTCTCAGTTCCCTTTCCTTCCCCTCCTTACACACCTGTGGCGCCAATCTGTCTGTCGCAACGCATTCCTGCGCCAGGTGGCTCAGTTCGTACTCGCGCTTGGTGTGCCATAACACGGTGCTGTAGATCTCCATGCCCTCTACTCGGGTGCGGTCCAATTGCCGTGCGCTCTCAAAGCTCTGCAGTGGTAGGGGGAAATAAATGCAGTATAAATCGGTTAGGGTAACGGGGTTGCGAATTGGAGCGCGGGTGGGATAATGCTGGCTTACCGGCCCACAGAGGCGACAACCGCACAGAACGACGCCAGGGGAGCACCGCATTCCACAGCACTGCACTTGGGGGGCGCACTCTGGGGAGCGCAGCGCACTAAAACACACCGCACCTGCGCTGCCTTGGCGTAGTTCATGCTCTCAAAGTGCGCCCGCCCCATTGCGCCCATAACCCAGGCTGTGCGAGCCTGCGACATGGGTAGCCGGCTAAGCGCGGCCAGCGCCTCTGAGCAGCGATACGCCGCCAGGTGCCGCACGCCCTCCATCAGCGGCGCCAGCAGCTGCAGCAAGGCGGTGCGGCTCTCTGCCATGGCTGCAGCCGCCGCGGCCGCGACAGCAGCGGCTGCGGCCGCCGCCGCGGCGGCGTTGCCCTGAACTAGCATGTGCTGCTGCTGCTGTTGTGGCTGCTGATTCGGCGGCGTGAGGGAATCTGCGGCGCCAGAGGATGATGAGAGGGATGAGGAGGATACATAACCTTGCAGGTTGTAGCTCGCAAGGGCCCCCACCCGCAGGCCATCCAAGAAACCCCCAAAACACCGGATTCCTGACATGCCGACCCTCCGAGCCCCTATCGCCAGCCTCAACGCCCATAAGTGGCTCCAATGGCATGCCCTCCCTTTGCCTTCAGCCACAGAGGCAGGACGACGATGATGGCTAGCTTTACTTTGCAAGGTCCTTCATTCTAACGCCATGGATCCTCCGCAAACACGCAACCGACTAGTCAAACACGTCAGAATTTGCGGCATTTCATCCTAACGCCCATATGCCCATGCATCCCTGCACATCGCATTGGGCGGTACCCCTGCCCATCCCTGCTTGTAGGGACCAGTATCTATGCGTCTCCCAGCAGCCGTAGTGCCTTACCTGCAACCCCAGGCCCCTGCCTCGTCCCCAGCTGGCCGTTAAAGGCAGCCAGGAGCTGCTGCGGTGTGGCAGTCGCCGCGGAGGCCCCCGGACCACCCAGCTTAGCGTCTGGATGGAGCTGCTGCTGGACGGGAAGTGGTGGCGGGTCCCGTGGGTCGGGCATGTTTTGGCTGTCACCCTGGCACATAAAGCGAGGAGCAGAACAAGGGACGTTGACGGTGAATGGGTGGGATTAACAATTGAAGGGAACAGCCGGCCACCGGGGTGATACGAGGGGGAAGGTATGGATAAAAGTTTAGAAAGTAGGTGGGAAATAGAAGTGGGATACAAAGGGGTATCGGCAACGCATCGGCAGGGCATGCAGTGGCGTGTAGAGGGTTCCTCACAGAATTGATGGCGACTTTTCCACTATTTATGTGTTTTAATGATTGGAAACAAAATATTATTCGTTATCGTTCTGGTGCTCATATCTCTTGTGTTCATACACAGTTCAAGTGTTCTTATTTGATTCCTTGAAATTGTGATGGGCAACGAGGGCTCAGCTAAGTCGTGTCGGGTTCTCAATGTTTATGTCCAACTCCCCAGCCTCCTCACGACTCGAAAGCAGCGCTCAAGCGTCCAAACAAAATGCCTATGAAAATCATCCCGCCATGTACGCAAAAGCCAATCGTTAAGCAAACCTTAACAGCGCGAGACTGTCAAACAGCCATCCCGTGTCCTGACAAGGCCGCCGCCTGTCCTTACCTCCACGTAGCTCGCTTGCCCCGATTTGGCCTGTCCTTGAACGCTATTGGCCGGCCCGCCGTAAGAAGACGGGTATGCCTGTTGGTGCTGGTGGTGCTGCGACGCCGCAGCCGCTGACCCGCCGCCGCCCGTGGGCCCACTCGCGTGCGCGGCCTGACCCTGTGCTGCGGCCGTCGCATTATTGAGCGCTGCTAATCGCTGGCTGCGCCGTACACTAGAACGAGGATCGGAGAAGAGCTTGTTGGAGACCTTTCGAACCTGGGGAAGAGAGGGAGGTAAGGAGTGCGTGCGGGTGGAGTTGAAACAGCCATGGCAGCAGGTCCGAGAGCAGGTAGGCAGGCAGCAAGCGAGGGAAACGAGGCACACAGCCTCAAGTGTGGCGTCACGTGTGATGTACAGCGCGCGTGTGAGGTGAAATGTGCAAAACCAGGCGAGCCGTATGGGGTGCCTTGCAGCGTGTGCGGCAGGGCAGTGTGGGCGTCGCATCCCCCTCTTTACCTTGCCCTCGTCCATCATCCGGCTTATCCGCTGGTGACCGCTACCCGAGCCCATGGCCCCAGACCCCGCGTTGTGACCCGTCGGACCTCCCGGCCCCGCTCCACTGGCTGCCGCGTGATGCCCGGAGGGAAAACCAGGGAACGGTACTGCACGGCACAACAACAACAGGAAGCAGCTAGCTGAAACCAGCACCATGGACAAAGCAGGTGCACGCGCCATTATTACGCGATTACATAGCGGTAGCTGCGCATACCGCGATGCGAGCATGCCACTCCTCAAGTAAACACCGACCACAAGCAGTCTAGCACACCAACCAAAGGGTGCGGCGGTGCAGCACTCCACGGCGACACCCCTATAACTCTCCTGCTGTTTTTGTTTTACCCGAATGTGTAAAGCTTAACCCGGGTGTCTATAGGATGGTTTGCATCAGCAAATAGGCTTGTGGAGGTTGCTGGCCTGATGACAGGTTTAGCCACGTCGTCGCTGCCCAGGAACACGAGATCGTTACATTCCGTGATAGGCAAAACATTGCCCCATGATAGCCTGCCGTTGGTTGCCAGTTGAGAGTTTAAAGTGAAGGCAACACCCCCCTCTTCCCTCGTGCCGGGAAATCTCCTTACGCAAATCCCCAGTGGTGTTGAAGTCCCTGGACGGGACCTAGGCTGCTGCTGCGCAAAACCAAAGCCAACCTAGTCGTAAGTATCCGGGTCGGTGTGCACGTAAGGCCACACGCACCTTCTGACTGGCCCTGGCCCTGGCCGTGCTGCGGCTGCTTCTGCGGCGGTGCTGGAGGTGCCGCGCCCATGCCCATGGGTGACGGCGTCGCAAAAAGGCCACCGCCACCGCCGCCGCTCGTGAAGCGAAAAGGGTGCACGCCGCTACTGTGCGGCCCAGCGCTGCCATCCCCTTCAGCATGCTGTGGCACGCTGACGGGCATGCCGCCTATGGCTCCGAGCCCAAATCCAAACCCAAACCCGCCACCCCCAAACGTCGGCAGTGGCGATGCGAACGGCCCACCCTGGCCCTGAATTGGTGTTTGGAACAGGACACTGCCGCCACCACCGCCAGCTCCCATGACGAAGTTGGGCGGCCCTGGGGCCGCGCTGTATGTTAACGCTCCCAAACCGCCGAACCCGAAGCCACCCGTGGCGATGCCGGACGCAGCAGCTCCGCTGCCATTGCCGCCGCCAACATGGCTGCCACCCCGACACGGCCCCGCACTTGTCCCCGCCGGCCCTGAAGGCTGATGTAATTGCCCGCTGGCACGGCCCTGGTCCTTTGCAGCGCCTGAGGGGGCGCCGTGCCCGTGTCGGCCATGGTGATTGTGGTTTTGCTGTTGCTGTCCATGGGGCGTGTGCTGCGCTAGCGCAGAACTAACTTGGCTGGAGGTTGAGGGACTGGGGCCCTCGGCGGTTGCCGGGGGCGTCTGCTGTGCCAGGCTGCAAACCTCAGCCGCCTCCTCGTCACCCCCTGTCAGCGAAGAGGGCCAGGATGAGGGTGGATGGCGGGATGAGACGGGGCCCGAGGCATATGAAGTCCCCGGTCCACAGATCCACAATCCCTTCTTCTTCCTGCAATGGCAAATGGAAGCAACCCTTCACCGGGATGAGAACCAAGTAGCGCATCCCCACGCACCCATTGCACAGAGCTCCTCGAAGGCCGACCAGAGCAACGGATTTTGCCGCAATGCTCGGAAATAGTAGTCCTTGGCTTCGCTCATGCAGTTTGTCAAACGACATACCTTTCCCAGCAAATAAAGCCCAGCATATCCGTAGGGTATCTTGGGAGGTCCAGAATTAGGGGAAAGGAGGCACAGCAGGGTCATTCAATTTGTGTCGCTGTGTTTTCAAGGGGTATGTGCTGGTCTATCCTTCCGAGGGCATACTTCCGTAACAAATTCCTTCTGCTCTTTGCACGAGCACGCTCCGTATCGGGGTTACGTGGTTCAGCAGGCGCTCCTGCTATTAGGAGCGTAACAGGCGACGAACGATTGACACACAAGACAGGTCTAACTGGATGTGACCGATAACGGAACGCGAAAAGTTGAGGAAACCACGAGAATAATTAGAGTTAGGAAAAACGGAATTCTGGAGGCCCGGTGACTGGGAACTGTAATCCTATCATGGATTTTTATCATACAGTCTTCCACCAGACATTAAACGGCAACACTTTCCCACAAAGGGCTCCCCCCGTTGTTGCGCCAGGCTTTCATAAAACTCTTAAGCTCTGACTCCAGCGCACCTCTGCCTCCCCCATTTTCAGCAGCGCGTCCTTGGCTTCGGGGTACCGCGACATGCTCAGGCAGCACACCGCCAACAGGTACCGGCTGCGTTGAGAGTTGTGTCCTGAACAGAGGCAGGTTGGAGGGAAAGCGCCACCAGCGTTTATCGCGAAGAGGTACACGCAGGTGCTCAAAGACCGGTACAGTACCGCCCATGCGTACTCAAATGCAAGGACGTGAAAGCTTCATTGAATAATTGAAAGAATCAAAAGATGCCCACAGACCTCACTTGATACCCATGCGGGGCCAGGATGCCACACGCGGTTGTGAACGACTTCTCCACAGCCCGACAGCTGGGCTTTGGATAGAGGGGACCCGTACTCGTGCATAGGTATGCGGAGGCCGACAGCCACTTCGTTTGGCACCAAGCTATATCTTACAACAGTTCGCATACAGGGATTGCCGTGGGCTCCCTGCTATTCGACTGGATGATAGTACCCGTTGGGCCTAGCATATGGGCGGGCTGTGCCTTGTAGACATTGAGCCTGCTTGATACACAAGTACGCATGGCGTATGCCAAAACCATGAGCGCATGCTCCATCGGCCCACCCAAACCCTTAAGCCTGAAGCGTGATGTCAACGGTATGCGTCACGTTCGACGCTGCCAAGGACCGGGAAGAGCAGTGTTTACCCTGGAGAACCCTGTTACCCAAACACGGCACGTCCCTACCTTTCAACAGATGATACGCCCGGTATGACTGGTTGCAGTGCATGTAGCATGTTGCCAGAAGCTGCTGGTTTTGCTGCGTTTGTAAGATCAACACGGTATGAAGCGCCCTGCTGACCAGATTGCGGTAACCCTCGTCCGCCTGCACCGCGCACCTCGCTATTATGAAGCGCGACAAGCCTTTCCCCAAGAAATTTAGCGTTTTCATATTGGAAGAAGGCAAGGCTCTCCTGCACTGATGCCGTCAGAGCTTGTTCTGCCATTTTTCTGAAAGGGGAGGAACTCGACGGCCCGAACCGAAGTCCTCTGATGTCAGAGGCGGCTGGCAAGGCAATCTTGCACTAGTATAACTGGCATTTGTTCTGCAACGTCAACCGTCCAAAATTTTGTCTTGCCAAGCCTGCCAGGTCCCAACAGTCAAATTGTCAGATATGGTAAAAGGTTAAACATGTACAAATGGAAGGGTAGGATAGGCAGCGAATATTGTCTGAGCAAAAGCCAGGTGGGGTCGCGTACCATTTTGAAATGCACAATCCGTGAGCATCAAGTTACAACCTGTCGTCCGGGCTACAAGCTAGGACTCTAACAATCTGTATAATTTTACTACATCTTTTCCCTGAGCATTTTGGCACCTCTGCAACACTGCTGAATTGCAAAGTTGGTTATAACGCAGGGGAGGAGTTCGAGGCAGTGTCCAAATGCAAGATGAGATACAAGTTGACATAGCAAATATAACTTAGGTTAAAGCTTTGCAAAGTCGTGTTCCTGTTACTTGATAACTACCGCCATGGTTCTACTCTGGACATGCCTCTTCGCTGCTCTGGGCGGCTTTCTTTTTGGGTGAGCAGGCAATACGGTGATGCGAGCTTAACCATCAATCCACGAGGGTTTGAGCTGGGAATTGCGTGCGCTGCAGTGGCGTACAACTTGAGGTCGTGCCCAGGATTTCCGCGACCGCTGTTTCTGCCACGCGCCTCTCAGTCAGCTAGGAGCCTTAAGGGTCGCTACTCCATCCTAGCCTTCCATACCGTTCCCCTCATCGCGAAGTCCTATTTGGGGCCGAACCGTGCTCCAACGCCCCCTCCCATCCCGGTTGCTGGTTTAGAGCATCCCAATAGCCGTTTGACAAAAAACACCCTTCCATGAACCACCCACGCAGTAACAGCATCATCACATCTCCTTAATGGACCTTTCACGACCCGAACACGGCATCAAGCCTCGGGCAACCTTGCAAACCAGGCCCTGCACGCTTATCCGATCTCCCTGAGCCGCAACTGCCAAGGACGTTCACAGCGTCACGGCTCCCTAGCTCCTTTAATTTTTTTGCTTATCATATCGTTTCCCCCATCCGTCCTCTTAACAACTATTCCCGACTGGCACACTGCATGTTCCGCCACGTCCCGGACAGCGTGTTGCACGGGACGGGCTTACGGGACCCGCGTTGTCCGCTCCAATCTCGTGACCTACCTAGCCACCGATCCTTATCACACAGACAGGGAATGCAGAAAGCGGGTATGCCACCACTGTGCGTACCCTCAGCAAATTACTGCATGTGATTCCCTCCCTCAGCAGCCCTCCTCCCTCGCGACTAGAGGCGCACAACCTTTTCCTAACCAGCAGTAACCCGTTCGTTCCAACCGTTGCCCGTTAACCGTTGCCCGTTGGCAGGTACGATCTGGGTCTCATTGGCTCGGCGCTGCTGCAGGTACGGGTCAGGAGAGCAGGGCAGGGCATAGTAGTGGCCGGTAAAAGAAGTGGGATGGCGGCGAGGGTTGCTAAGATCCCACGGTGTCTCTGATCTTTGGCTGACCAAGATAAGACCCCAAAACCGGGGTTGAGAGCCGGGCTGCGAGACCCGGAAGGAAAAAGCCGTTGTCGCTCTTGGTATAGGATTCTGGCTGTAATGCAAATACAGCGGTTAACGATTACCGCTCCGGGTCGGGGCCAGTCCGGGCAGTCAGCCACTTGTGCGGACTGCGGTGTGCCAACACGATGAGGCCCCCGGCTACCTGCCACCCACCTGGCGAGGCAGGTAGCCTGAGGGCTCAGCCAGATGCGCGTGCGAGGGTTTGCGGTTTGCGTTACGTTCAGAGTTGCGTTTACATGGTTTGGCAGTGTGCTTCGCACCTCCCCGCTTTGAGGCGTGCAGGGGTCATAGAGTCATGCATGGATTTAAGTGGTAGTGTTACGAGGCCAGGTCAAGGGCTCAGGATATAAGAGGAGGACACCGGCGACGGGAACGCGGATGCGTGGATACGGTACTTTATCACTTTCGAGGGCATGTAGGTCATTGTTGCAGGAATGTCCAGCAGGCGATCCTTACGTACGACACTCGTCGTACATATTCCCCTGCTCATACGGCAGATTCAGCGGTACTTCAGCATCCGTGGCTCCGTTACGCTGGGTCTGATCGTGGGTGTGGCCAAGCTGGGTGCTGCGGCGGGGACGTTCCTGGGAGGTGCGGCGATGGCGCGGTACGGCCGTCAGCGTGCTCTGGCGCTCAACAGTGTGGCCTTCACTGCGGGCCCGCTCATCATGGCGGCCGCCAGCTCGCCCTGGTGAGAGGCATTTGTGTGCGTGTATATGTAGAAAGAGTGTGTGCGTGTGTATGTAAAAAGAGTGTGTGCTTGTGAATATAAAAAGAGTGTGCGTGCTTGCTTATCTAAATAATCTGTGATGGTGGTACGCGAAGAACTGTGCATGTGTGTGTATGGAATGCTTGTGTGTGTGTTTGCATCTTTTGTGTTCACGTATGTATGTGTGCCTGTGCGTGGAAAGGGGGCCAGTTTCATTATGCCTTTGGTCTCCAGCAGTTGGTGCTTTGGACGTCTGCGTGGTTTATTTCTTTGGGATTTGCATCGCCTTAGTCCCCTTCGCCGCTTCCAGGAGTCCAATTTAAAATTTGAAATCCAAAGGATGTCACCCGCTCCACCACCATCACCACCTTCGAGTCGACACGTTGTAAAAAGTAGTGCTTACCGCCCTCAATGCATTCACGAAACACGCACGTACGCAGGATGCTGATTCTGGGTCGCTTCGTGGTGGGACTGGGGGTGGGCATGTCGGCCACCGTGTCCCCAGCCTACATAGCCGAGGTGGCGCCGGCGTCCATTCGCGGCATGCTCGTCCAACTGTATGAGGTACAGTGCAGTACACCGTCACACCGCTGTTCACATGTATTACAGAACCCACTTTTGCCGCACATCATCACCTCGTCACCTGTGCGGCAACCCCGCAAGCACCCGCTTGTCCTTTTTGTTTAACGGTTAACAACCCTCACACCTACCCAACCATCCGCACCTACCCACACCATTCCGCATAAGAGTATGTATTCCGCCCTTAGTTGCTTTGCTTCGCTTGCTGCACATGATTCGGGGGCAACCCGTGATGGCTACTACCCAACTCACTACTGGTTAGTAATATTCCTGCAGTATCTGTCTAATCCTGGAGTATCCTGGAGTATCTTTATCTGGGAACTGCTTCAATCGTCTGTGCTTCGTCTTATCCCCCCTTCCTCCCTCCTTTCCCCCTCCCTCGTTCATATCCAAGGTGATGTTGTGTATCGGCATGTTGTTAGCCCCTTTGGTGGACTGGCTGCTCAGCCGGGCGAATCCGGAGGACTCATGGAGGGCCATGGTGAGGGGGAGGAGGAGGGATACAAGCCAAACCGCAGACAGCAGAGCTCTAGACATATGTATATAGCGCTCTCCCTTTCCGTTGCTGCTCTCCTGAAAGCCCCGCCTCTCCGTTGATCATGGCACAGTGGAACGGCGGCATCCCCTATTGGAACGAGTTTGAATAGGGTTCTTACGGTAAGGCGTTTGTGGGCTTGCAAGGCTGCGACAATGTGCTATGCATGCGCGGTCCTGGTGCGTGCAGGTGGGTTTGCCGGCCCTCCCCGCTCTGCTGCTTGCTGCGGCGCCAGTGGTATTGCCGGAGTCACCTAGGTGGCTTGTGACAAGAAATCGACTGGAGGAGGCGCTGGAGGTGCTTACGCTCGTCATGCGGGGCAGCGGGTCGCTGTGGCGGGGACCCGAGGGCGTCTGGAATGGCGGCTATTCATGTATGACCGGGAAGGTATGATACACCGCGTATATATGTGTGTGTGCTACATGCGCTGCTTGCATAACCGGCTTGCGGTCCCACCTTAACGAAGAAAGAGGTTCCATGGCGTATATTGTACAAGGTAAAGGAACAACTGGATGCAGCAATACTGGCGTGGATTGTTATAAAGGAAGGAATCTAGGAAAGGGGTTTCGGGGCACCGAACTTCGGTTGTGGCTTCGGAACCGCTCTGTCCTGCTACTTTTCTAGCAAGCTTCCCAAGAAGCGGTCACTACAGGTGACCATTTACAATTGAATCCTTCACATTTTGCTTTTTTAGTTTGTACTTACTCCAACAAGAGACGGAGGGTCGTATCGTAGTGAGAAGGCCACACTTAAGGCCAGCGCATTCAACAGCCGATACGAGCATCGCAAAATGTTTCAAGCTTTAATCCATAGGAGCACGAAGGTAGGAAGCAGCGTCAGTTTCCACCGGAGCCAGTTCCGTCGAGATGTAGCCGTAAAGTTGTCAGCTGGCCGGCGGCAGACCCAGGAAAAACGCAAGGCGAAGAAGGAAGCGGAGCCGCGTCAATGTCCTTGCGGCTCTGGAACGCAGTTCCTGGAGTGTTGCGGGCCAATCGTCGGCGGCGCATGGGCGCGAACTGCACCAGAGCTCGCCAGGGCGCGCTTCACAGCTGTTGTTCTGGGGGATGCCGGAATGCTCGCCAACACGACGCACCCCGAAGCCATCGCTGCTATCGGCACAAAACAGTCTTTGCGAAAGAAAGCCCAGCATTTTATGCGATTTAAACGCGGCGCCGGCGAACAGCCTCCAGCCTTGGCTGACAGCGTGCACGGCCAGTCACCAGACGATCCAGACAGCTGGTTCGTCCTGTTAGCTATTGCCGTCGGGCCGCCCGGCTCCGAGAAGATATACGCCATGGCTGAGGAATACCGAAGGGATGGCGGCCGCTGGTGGTTCATGGGCGAACCCCGTCAATTCCCAGCATTAAAACAGTTTGAAGAATTCTTGGAGCGCTACTGGGAGGGTGGTGAGGACAGCGGCAGCATAAATCCTTTCTGGGGCCGCTACGACTACGCTTGGCAGGCGTTTCCGCCGCGGCCCCTGCCGGCCGCCAAGGCGCAGCAATGGCCGCAATGGCTGGTAGATGATTGGCCCGAGGGTGACCGCTCTGGCTGGGTTTATTTGGACACAGCTGTGGATCCTGAAACAGGGTTGACTGCCGCTCAACAGGCTGCCCAGTCGCAACACCTGCTGAACGCATTGCTCCGCGAGCACAACATGGACTGGGACTCCTACTACTTCCGCCGGGGCAGCTTTGTAGAATAGTATATTCTACAGTGCAATGGAGCAGCTTTCACGTACTGTGTGTTGCACGTTGTTAAGTGGTGCCATTGATGTGGGTCACAGACGGGCCGCTTACGAAAGGAAAGGGTGCAATGGGGGGCGGGGGATGGCGTCATCAGCTGCTCACTTTTTATATTCGCTGCCAAAACAGGCGGGGAAACCTTGCAATTACAAGGAGAGGTCAAGTCCTTTCCTCTCCGTAATTGCAATGCTTCCGAGTCCTGTTACCTCTCATTAATGGGAAGGGGAAAATGGAAACGGGCATGCACCTATGGCACAGATCGTAAGGGCAATGGAAAACCAGCATAATTGCTGTTTTCCACTCTTGGCGTGTTTGGCTTTAGTGAGGATAGCGCGCTGAGCCATGAAAACCTGGACTGGGGATTGGTTGTTGAGGCTACGGGGGTTGCCTCGATGAGATTGTGTGGGCATGGGAAGCTTCAAGTGATAGGGAGGTAGACACAAGGTACACGGACCATATAGATCGCGGACGGCGGCGTTGCGTGCTTATGTATGAGAGGAAGTTCATGGCAGCGTGGGTACGCCATATCCATCATGCTGTACCGTACGACAAGCGAATACGAGAATGTGCGCCTTAGTCCTTCCACTTTTGAAGCTAAGGGAATGTAGCCGATTGACTGAGACCGTGGTCCTCAGCAGCTGCCCTGTTAGGCTCGCGCAGGCCTTCATGCGGGTTACGGCTTGCGTCCTTTGTGCGTTTCTTTTCCCCGTTACCGTCGTACCTCGTTTTGTGACTGGACGCTCTCCATTTGACTTTTGCGAGGAAGAGAGAGATGATGTGTGCGTTTGGATGAGCTGAGCCACGAGAAGTGTTCTTGGGCAGGAGAAGTCATATGCATGCACATCGTAGCTGTACATGAATGGAGTGGGAAGAAGGTAACTGGATGTGTGTGTACGTGTGCGCCAGAAGGGAGCGCTGGGTATGGAAAGGCAGAGAGAGTGTGAGTGTGTGTGCACATGCGCACAAGTGCATTTCACAGTTGGTCGTCTGAATACTGCTGGCCATCCAGCCATACACGTCCTCATCGCGCCCACAGTTAACCCTCCAGCACCGACCACACCACCACCTTTATCCTCAGCTGGCGTTTGCTAGACCTCCTCTCCCGCATCAAGGTACTGTTTCTATTGTGCACGCTCCGTCTCATTCTCTTTATCCGAGCCTCCCTGCCCGACACATAATGCTCCTCGCTCCCTCTCACTTTTCTCCCCCACTCCTTTCCGACCTTAGTGATACTAAAGCTACTAGTTATAGCTGTACTGCATATCTTCGCTCACCACGACCACTACTACTGCAGCAGCGTCACCAGCCGCAAAGGGCACTAAGGAAAACCGCGTTATGGCCGACTGCAGCAGCTGTGACACGTCCAATTCAAACCTCTGTTGTACACCCATTCATTTCCTCTCGGTCCTGGTGTCCTCTTCCCTGTAACGTGGTTGGCCACACGGTTTCTAATGATCCTCCCCCCGCCTCGTGCCGCCCCGGCTCTGGTCCCGGCCCTCCTCCCCCGCCTCAGGACGACCAGGCAGTTCGTGATGCGGAGGACGAACTGATGCAGCTGTGGAGCAGTGTGCAGAGGGACCGTAACGCAGTGCTGGTGGGTGAATGTGTGGTTGGTTAGCTAATCTTAGGGCTTTGGTGGGTAAAGCTAGACTTTCCCTTTTGGGTGGCTAGATAGACTTCAGCTTTAAGTGGGTAGAATCAGGCTTAGGGTTGCAGCAGCGTGGCTCCCGGAATCCGGAGTCTTATTGCTTTGCGACTAGCTCCGCGATACTGGGAGGCGCTACAACACACTTCGACTTAGGGCGGTTTGGATCCTTGCGCCTTGAATCCTCGTTTAATCCCTAAGCCCGTTTAGTATACGGGCTCTTACCCGCTCGCCCCCCAAGCATGTGGAATCCTCTTCCTTCTCCTCTGCTTACTGAAATTCACCTCTTAAATGAAATGCTTTTCTTTCCTCCTTCCCACCCCTTCCCTCCGGTTCAGGAGCAGCGTCGCAAGCTGTGGCGGACCCGGCACCAGCGCAGCGGCGGGAGATGGGGCCGGTTGGGCTGTTGGCGGGGTCAGCAGGGCCGCCCTAGGGCCCCCTCCCTGGAGCCCATCCTGGAGGAATCCGCCTCCCAGCTGCGGAGCAATAACTCATCCTCCCAATGCCTCAGCAGTTTAGCGTCGTCTTCGGTGCACCTAACCGCAGCAGCCGCCCCCGGCGCCGGCGGTTGTAGCGGCGCAAAAGCACCCCGGGATGAGTCTGAGCATCTTGGGGTTTTACGCGTACAATCACCACCACCAGCATCGCCAGCGGCAACGGCGACTGCGGCAACAGGCTTTGCAGCGTTGGTGAACCATGGGTCATACCGGCCGCGGCAGCAGCAGCAGACGGCAGCTGAGGCAGGCAGTAGTGGCAGTAGCAGTACTGCTGGAGGGTCCGGAAGCGCTGGCTGGCGGGGCCCTTACCTTGGTAGCGGCGGCAGTGGGGGCAGAGAAGGAGGCGGAAAAGGAGATGGTGGCGATGTGGGACGGGCACGATTTTTGGGGATGCCCAACCGGCGACAGGAGGGGGGAGTTGGGTGGGTGTACGGCGACGCTGGCGGTGCCGTACAGTCGTACCGGCCGCTGGCGGGTAGCGACGAGGAGGTGGGAGGGGAAATGGGTTACTTGCCTCGTGGTCAAGGTGGCGATGGCGGCGGCAGCGGCGCTGGGTTGCGCGAGTTTGAATCAGGTGAGATGGAATTTCTGTGTAGATATGTCCGCCCGTTGCGTGGTTTGGGTTATTTAGACATGGCTGTCTCGCTCAGCGTGTCGTCTTCTGGTGGTTTTCGAACGTTGCTGTATTCGCGATGGCCGTGTTGGTGTCTGCGATGTGGGTTGCTTCCTGAACTCCCCCTTGGAATTCAGCAATCGATACTTCCGGCATCGGTAAATATAATTCGTATTTTTGCATCCCCCCTTCCAACCATGGGTCGATGACTTCATCATCACTTCGGGCTCCTGCAGGCAGTTTTGAGCTTTGGACGCCTTCCGGCAGTTCATTCCTGATCTCCTTGCATTTGATTACCCTCCTCGAACGCACACACATACATACACACACATCCTGTCCTGACCGCGTATGTCCCACCCAACCGACCTTGCCGCAGACGAGCGTGACCGACTGCTCGCCCCACACCAGCCTCACAGCCAAGAGGGAGACCGGCACTGCTCAGCATCTGCACCGGATGAAACAACTTCCCTGGAGGGAACGTCTCCTTCCTCAGGGTTATCCCCCTCTTCGCTGCTGCACATGCCGGGAGGCCCACCAACCTCCTTGGGAGATATGCCCGGTGAGTTGGGATGGGGCGACCGGGCGGTGAGTACGTGTATGTATGTTTATTTGTTTGTTTTGCAATGAAACCGCAAGTTTTTTTATGTCTTTTTGGCTCCTTCCTTTTCCTCGCACGTGCACACGCACGCGTACGCAACCTCTCCTCCGCCCACTCCGTCGATGTGTGGTGATCCCAGGTGAGGAGCCCAGCTTCCTGAACACTCTGTCCGTATTGATTGGGGATATCAGTGCACTGGCGGTGGGGCCAGAGAGGAGGGCGCTGTGGCTCGCACTGGGACTGGCCTTCTTCGACCAGGTGCGCGCGACTGGGGGGGGAGAAGCGGGAAGGGGAGTGTGTGTGTTTGCGTGTTTTCATAATGTGAGCCGCGAGGGAAATGGCAAGGATGATACCGGGAAAAAGGTGAATTTTTATGTGCCCGTAATTTTTCATTAGGCGGGAAATTGGGGTTAGGAGGAGGACAGGGGTTTACGGTTATATTGAGGGGTCAGGGTGTGCAGTGAAGCTGACGGACAAGGCGGATGGGAAATACAGAGGGTTGTGGGAAGGTGTGAAGGGGAGAGGGAGATGGATGTGCTGGAGAAGGTGGTGGGGGCTGTGGGCGGGTCAGTTGCGCGGATTTTGCGTGTGGTCTATGTACCTCACCCAGACTATTTATAGCTATCCATGACCACGACCGCTTACTCGACTTACCAACCTCTTGGTTGCCTGGACAACAAGAACTGGAATGCGACAGCGATGTTTTCCGTTTATCGGGGGAGGCGGGCATTGTCACTTTGCCACGTGATACAGCCGAGAGGGCCTTGCGGGAGACGTACTACCAGGGCTGGACTGCATGGCCCATGAGTATATGTCTGCGTCCATTTGTGCATAAACGTCCGTATTGACCGGGTATATTGATCGTCCTTCGGGGCCCCTTTAGGCTTTTACAGACGCTTCCCCGCATTCGTGTGGAGCTTGTAACCCCCCTGTGACTTGTATACCTTGTTTATCCTTTGCATTAAACGTCGTCCTGCCACCCTAATAACACCCCATGGGTCGCACAGGTGACGGCCGCCACAGCCATCATCAACTACGCACCCGCACTCCTGACGGGGCTGGGGAAGGCTCAAGGAGAGGATGGGACCGGCGGTGGTGGTAGCGGTTTGGACGACGGTGGCGCCATGCTGTACACCGTACTGATTGGCATCACCAAGGCGGTGGGGGTAGTGGCAGGCGAGTGGGAGTTTGGTGCGGTAGACGTGGGGGCGGTGACGCTGTGTGTGTCTGGGGGTCTGTGTGGTCCGCATAATGCCGCTAAAGAACCGTTTACGATTCATGACCCCTGACGCGGACGGCTTGAAGTGATTAGGAACGCGATTTGGCGGTTTGGTTCAGTTAAGAGTGGGGGACGCCTTAGAGGAGTGCCGTTCAGGGAACTGCCTGGTTCTTGCTGGTAGGTAGATGGGTCTCGATGAACATGTCTCGCCGTCTTTATTCTTCCCACACTTAACCTTTTCCCCCCCACACACAAACTCTCTCTCCCCCCGACCACTCACCCACCCCATGCACAACCCATGCATACCCTCCACACTCGCCCCCGCGCCCGTACACCCATCAATCCTATTAAATATAACAATAGGCCAAGTTGATGTCGAGGAAAACTCGGGGCTTCATCCCTACTCACAGCGCTTTTCTTGTCCCCATTTGGGTTCCGTTGTCTTCCCCTTTCATACCCAAAGGTGTCCCTTTGGTTCCTCTTTAGTGCTCTTCTTCCCCTTTAGTTCCCCTCTAATGTTAATTGTGTTGCTACTGTGCTTGGAACAGAACCAAATAAAACTAAAGAAAATAAATTAGCCCACTGGACCAAGAGCGAACTCCTTGTGGAACGGGGAGTTTTAACCTCCGAAGGCCGTGGGCTTAACTACGTAAAGCTACTTAGGTTTCCCTTAATTATCAGAACATTGCATGCCGGTGCTGCGCAGCTTCGCTGCAGAGCACCTGAAAGTATGTTTGTTACTATGATAGTAGCTATTTCCTGAAGGAGAAACTACTGAGCAGCTGCTCAAGTTAGTTGAGATCTCGCATCTCTCACACCCATCGCCCCGCAGCCCTTTTTCTCGTGGATCGCTGCGGTCGTCGGCCACTGCTGGTCACCGGCTCCTTGGCCTGTTGCGCCTCCTTGGTGGGCCTTACGTGGGCCGCCCTGGAGCACAGTACGGGCTTAATGGAGACCGCCATGTGCGCCTTCACTCTGTTCTTCAGCCTCTCCTGGGCGGGGCTGTACTGGGTGGTGGTTTCGGAGCTGTTCAGTATGAGCGCCAAGTCGGCAGCCACCTCGGCTGCCACAGGGCTGCTGTTTTTGACAGGTAGGGATGCATACATGCATGTGTGTCTTGGGGTGGTTGGTTGACTTAAAAGGGTATGTGTGGCTGTGGCGTGTGAGTGGGTTTGTGGCGGTGTGGGTAGAGGTGGGGTTAGGTGGACGGAACGGCGCTGGGGGCCTTCGCCGCCGCGGCCGCGGTCTCTGTCTCCCTCTCAACTAAGGCAAATCTTTCAATCATTACACCCATTATGTTTTGCTTCCCTTCGTCACCTTCTCCCCTCTCATCATCCTTTCATCGCAGGCTCCCTGACCAACATGGTCTTTCTGTCGCTCCACGATCAAATGGGGCCCTATGCCTTCCTGCTATTCGCCGGCCTGTGCCTAGCTAGCGCTGGTTACGTGTGGGCACTGCTGCCGGAGACCAAGGGATACACACTCGCGGAGGTTCAGGAAATGATGACGGCGATGCCCCTGACGGCGACCACGTCTTCCACGATGGCGATGGTGACGGCAAGACAAGGACAGCAGCACCAAGAGGAAAGGGGTAGCCACAACAGCGACGCCCATGACGACGCGGTGGCGGCTGGGGTTTCCACACCGAGCGGAGTCCAGGGAGGCCAGGGCCCCTCGAGGGGCCTGGGTCGGGTGGGTTCGGAGTCTGATGTCCGGGGCGGCGGTCGATGGGTTCAGCTTTGGGAGCGGCGGGTGTAGGATGCAGAGGTGGGAATGGTAGCTGTACAGAGTGTGTTTAGACCTGGGGCGGGGAAAGGAAAGGAAAGCAGAGCACTTGACGGAAAGCGAGCATGTTTCTGGAATACTACTATCTTCAATCGCATCTTATGGCACCGTTATTTTTTTCAGGATGCGAGTGCTGGCCGCCTAGGACGGAAAACAGTGACCAGACCTCCAAGGGCCATATGGCTGTGTAGCCCTCCTGACGTACACTCTTCTTGCAGCAGTCAATGCATGTCCCTCTCTCTTTTCCCCCTGTTTAGGATTATGTCGCAAACCCCCACCAGCACGTACACACACAAACACATACTTGTTGGTGGGTTGCATGTTGCGGGCTGAGATGGGGCAGATGTGCACGGCGGGCTGCATAGTGATGGAGGTAAATGGTGTATGCGCGTATGTAAGATTGTTGCCTGTACAGAAAAAAGCCACGCAGGGTAACGGGGCTCGGGGCCCGGTATGGTTACAACATATCACACGCGCGCGTGCGCGCGCGCGCCGTATACAGATACTGCGAAGTAAAGGGCCGGTTACTACAGGGTAATACAGTCCTTGAAGGTAGGGGGCTTGACAGGAGTATGGCTGACTTATGTGTATGTGAGTGTGAGGAGTTAGCTGCTGGTGTTGGATGGGGTTCCGGAGCTCAATGAAAAGAACCGTTCAGGAACCCAATGATGATGGTGGTGCTTGCAGTGGTAGTGGTGGTGGTGGCAGTAGGAGGGCTGCATGGGCTGCGGCTAATTTGCGCCAGCAAAATGGGGGTTGTGAGGAGTACCTGGAGGCACCTCAGTCCTCATGAGGCTCGGTTTCTTACTTCAAGGCATAGAAACTTGGTAGCCCGAAGAAGAAGACGTCCACTTGAGACCAGGTAAGCGACTCTGTGTAGGCGGTCAGCTCTTAGCACGTAATCAGTAGCAGCGTGGTGTGTGCGGCTGCGACACTACGAAAGGACGGGGCCTCGAATGAAGCTGCGTATGCATAGCAGTGGCTCATCTCATCTTATCAGCAGGGTTTGGCTTTCCTGTAAGGCGGTGTGCAAGTGTGCCTGGGGATCTAGCATGGGCGGCGTGGCTCCCATTTTTGCTTGGTTCATTCCGTGTTGATATAAATAAGGTGAATGTGAGGCTCGTTTGGCTTCCTGCTTTGTGATGATGTCGGATACATATACAGTATGACAGGATCCAGCAGGACTGAACCCCTCTCGTTTGGAATTCCGTCATGTCCGTCATGGTCAAGAGTGTGACCCCATGAACCCCACATGGCTATTAAATGGGTTGATTTGGAGTGTAATTAACAGCACACGATGCAACGGTGCATGTGGTGCTGGACTTCACAAGCAGGCAGGACGGAATCAATATCTCAAAAGATGGTTGGAGTGCAGTGCTTTGCAAATGCAACGAGGAACGATTGATGGGCCTCTTGGTGGCTCGCCTGAACCAAACGGGGGCCTCTCCATGCCTTTGTGACCTTTGTCCTGGCCCCCGATTGCAGACCGTGCCCGGCATCGCTAGCATCTTAAGAAGTGTTGGGTACGGGAGTGACTCCGGTTGTTTGGGGGATGTTGATGGATATAGTCTGGTGAAAGAACCTTGCAGCAGAAGTACCAGCGGCAAACGCGCAGCAGCAACAACAGCATTGGAAGGACACTACGCTTTCGGCCGGTCCTGGTGAGGATAAGGGGGATTGCCATGTGGAACATCCATACCGCACGAACCTCTGACCCGAGCCCCTCGGCTTACGCAGCGGATATCCCTCTACTTTCCCACCCTGAGATGCCCCAGACAACTTAGGGTCGGCGTTGTGGGTGCTGGATGTTGAGTTTATAATAGTGCCTTGGCACGTTGCGCGTGTAAAGTGCAGCTGTCATGTAGTCTCCAACTGAGGCAGCATGCCTCTTCCTGCTAAACCGTGGTGAAGTTTCTGAGGGTATTCAAAGGAAATTATTGCTCAGTTGACAGCGTCGCGGCAGGGGTAACTGGCTTGTAGCCCTGTATGTGCACAAGGTTTACAATGCAGCCCTGTTGGCCGTGCACCACAGCAGTCAACCGCTCCAAAACACACATGTATTACAAAATGTAGCAGAAAGTATAGAATAGATTTGTGAGGAAGGAGCCGAGGCATGCGGACAGGTGTGGAACCGAGCTCTAAAAGCCGCTGAAAAGTAGAAAGATTTCACAGTTCATAATTGTAACCTTCGTCCAAGTTAAATTATCTATCTGCATGTATAGCAGGAGATTGTTTCTGCGATTGACGATCCAGTTTCTGTGTACGGCGTAGCGAGATTTTGTTCACAGTTATCGCGGAGCTTTTTAGACACAAACATACACGCGCATAACGGAGTGAATAGCTCATGTGATGTACTGAGCTGGCACAAACCCGAGGTATCGGTGTCCCTGTAGACGGGAGCACCATGGCCTCAGGTCAGGGCCAACAGAAGGGGCCCCCTAAGTCTCCTTTTTCCATTTTTAAAGGTGTTTCAGTAAGTAAAGTAAATTGCTGCATAACTAATCGAACTTACGCCTGGCTGTCAAACTTTGACTGGTGTATCCGCCCTTATCCGCCCTTGCAGTGGACGAATAGGAGCAAGAAAGTCAAGCAGGCCGATTTAGGCGAGGAAAACAAGATGTATTTCCACCCGAAGGTGCGCACAGCTTGGCCTTGGGGCCCGGTGGGACGATATTGAATGCCACTATTGCATCTCACAACGAATGCGTGCCTTGCAGTTAAACAGGTGGGTGGAAAGAGGAAAAGAAGAAGAAGCTGAACGGGAGGCGGCCGGGCCTCCTCCGCCACCGGTTCTATCAGCGGGCAGCCTGTCGTCAACGACGATGCACAAGTGAGCTCCGCCGCGATGTGTATTGTTGCACTGTGTTCTTGATAAAGAGCCTGTACATATGAGACGTCGCACCAGTGAATAGGGGCCGACTTAACGGGCAATTCTACCGTGTAGATTTCCGCAAAGCGTGCGGGCATGGCTATGCTCGCCTTATGCTGACGGGTATGTGCCATCACGAATCAATATCGCAAGTAATGATTAATTATACTTTCACTTTCATGTGCCCCCAGGCGTTCTCTATCACAGCGCTATGTCCTGCAGCCCAACCTTTCCGTCTCATCCATGGCTTCGCTGCCGGGTTCAGTGTCACAGCCTGACCTTGTAGGCATGGGCACACTACCGGGTGACATCTTCTCCGGCCCGCCCAGTGCTATCGGCAGCACGACTCCGTCGCCGCCTCAATCCAGCAACTGCCTCCTCCCTCAAGGGGCCTTCGCAGCGCCCACGGCAGGGCCCGGCAACTCTCCCCCTGTTTCATTCTTCATTCCCTCTGCACAGCAAATGAAGACCTTGCCGCCGCAAGGGAACTTTTTTGCGCCATCATCGTCCACGCGGTTTGAATTACAGCCCATGCAGGCTGACGATGCCATCTCCGACGGCGAGCAAAGTGGAAAGTCTAGCAGCAGCAGCGACAGCGTGGCCGGCACAGCGCCTGCCGACAACGCCTCTATTTCTACCTGGGCAACTGCAGCGGCAACAAACGCCCAAGTTGCAAATCCAGATGGCGTAGTTTCTCAGCCCCTGGGGGAACCTATCGGCTTTCGGAGTGGAATTCCCGACGAGCCCCTTCCATTTGTGGGCTCTACCAGCACCGTTAGCGAAGACGATGATAAGCATGGGCCCATGTTGGGGAGTGCCGCGTCCCAAACCCCCAGCAGAGCAGCGGAGCTTTCTCTACGGAACAGCATGATAACAACGTTCAGGGCATTTGCGGATGCAGGGAGTTTGAACTCATCCAGCAGCCCAAGTAACGGCGAGTTGTCCACCTTGCCTCAAGAGCAGAACCAAGTTTTGTCCTTTCCGAGCGCTGGGGGCCGCCAAGTGGATAGCCCTGTGGCACTAGTGGCGGCCTCCGAGTCGCAGCCGCCATTGCACCCGGGTTTGCTGGCAGCGCGAGAACATCGGCGCGTCGGTGGCGTGGGTGCAAACGCCTCGGACGGCGGCGCTGCCATCTCGCTGCACGAGGGCATGGGGATTGCACCTGTGCGGCCACATGGTCATTCACCCGAAGCGGGTGATGACGGGGCCGGGAGGTATGGGGGCGAGCTGGCGGCAGTTGATGAAGGCGAGGGGAATCTTGTGGAGCGGGACGGCCCCGTGTCCACGGCTGGTGGCGAGGGCGGTGAGGCGGCGGGCGAGGAGTATGTCGGGCAAGGGACTGGCGGCGGTGTCAGTGTTGTTGGGGCGGGCGCTGCATCTTCTGCGCCCACAGATAGCGCAGGAGGGAGCCCCGGGGGCGAAGTGATAGCATCCGCGGATGCCACGGGGCCAGCAGTGGGCGGTGCAGGTGGCAGCACCACGCTTCACTCTCAGTACTACTACCAGCAGTATGCTTACCTGTACCAGTATGCGGTGGGGCAAGGCTACAGCGAGACGGATGCAGTGGCGTATGCGCAATACTACGCGGCCGTGTACGCGCAGCAGTACGAGGCGCAGACGCCGGAGGGCCAAGTCGGTGGCGATGTGGCCGCAGCTGCTGGCGCGGGCGCTGATGCAGCTGCAAGTGCGCATGCCGAGGAGCAGCAGAGGTCTCAGCCTGTAATGACAGGTTCCAGCATCGATGCGGTAGGAGCGGATGGCGCAGCAGCAGCAACAGGAACAGCCTCTGCGCTTGAGGCTGTGGGCGGTGCTGCTGACCCATCCTGGCAGGTCGCGGCGGCGGCGGCAGAGGATGAGGCGTCGGCGGTGGTGCTGGGGCTCACCAGCCCCGAATCCAACATCTTTGAGGTGGAGAATGTGGATCGGGGCGAGGACCCAGTCTACATGACCGTGCCGCCCGCAATGCACAGCGCTTTCCCGGTTGCACCGGTCGTCGCAGGCCCAGCGGTTCCAGAGCCAGTGGTGGAGGTGGAGGAGGGCGCTCTGCTGATCACTGCCGCACCGCTGCCAGCCGAACTGACAGCGGCCGCCACTGCTGCTGCCCAGCACCACCAATCTGCTGTCACGACTGCTGTCGCCGCCGCCGCCGCCGTCGCCTATGAGCAGCATAAGCTGCAACGGACAGGCGGGCTCACGGGTGTCGGTGATGGCACAGGAGCAGCCGCGGGTGCTGCACCGGCGGCTACAGGCGCAGCCTCCGTTCAGGCGGCTTCTGCTGCTGCTTCCCCCCTCGCAACCCAGCTGCTGCTCGGCTTGGGTGCTGCGGGTGCAAAGCGGCTCACGCAGCTGTCCTCGGCTGCCACCGCAGCCGTCGCGTCCCTGGGCGCAACTGTGGCGTCGACGACCCCGGTCGCAGCTGCGCTGTCCGCTGCCGCAGTTGCGGCCGGTGGCTTTGTAGGTCTGGACGGCCTGAATGGTTTGAGTGAGGACGACTTTGAGCGCATCATGCATCCTGGCGACCCTGCCAAGCTGGATGGTCCCCTGCCCTGGGAGCTCCCTGAGCACCTGCGCACTAGCCGTAAGTTCCTGGCGCTGTGCGCAAACTGGCAGATGGCGAACCCGGGACAAGCCTACTCGCCACACCTGCTGCTGCAACAGCTGGGCCAGGAGCAGAACAAGCAGCAGCAACGGATGTCGCAGCAGATTGCCGAGTTGGAAGCGCCAGGGGTTGCAGCTGCGGATGTGGCGGTGGCTGAGGTGAATGGCGGCGATGTGGCTTTGGCGGCTGATGTTGCCTCGGTGTCTGCGGCTTCGGAGCAGCAGTCGGCGGCTGCCGACCTGTCCTCTTATGAGCGGGCCTGCCGCCTTGCCCAGTTTGGACAGCCGGTTGTGGGGCTGCTGCCCAAGAAGGAAGCCACGCAGGCGGCCGACAGCGCCATGGCAGTAGCAGCAGAAAGGTTTCTGGATCCCCAGCTGCCCCCTCAGCCGCATGAACAGCTGCCGCCGTTGGAGCAGTGGCGACTGTCCCTGCAGGGCTACGACCCGGAACCGACCGTGCCAAACGGCGAAGTTTTTGTCGTGGCCTCCGTATCTCCAAGCAAGCCGTCCCTGGACTCCGTGTCTGCACCAGAGCTGCTAGAGGAGGCCGTTAGCTTCAATCATTTGGGCGAGCAGGCGGCCGCAAAGCCGGAGATAATTGCAGACCTAGCCGTGGTGACCGCTACAAAGCTTGAACGGATAGCAGAAGCTATTGCATCGGCGGTAGAGCCAGCAGCCGCGGCGGTGACGAATGGCGTTGCATTCGACGTGGATGCAGAAGGAGAGGCTCCTGCCGCTACCGTAGCTGCTGCCGCAATCGACTCCGTGGTTCATGCATTGGAGCAGCTTCGCAGCAGCGCTGCAGCTGGCAACGGCGAGGCAGCGGTGGACCCGGTTGTTGGCACCGCGCTATTGATGCAGATCCAGTCGTCCCTAGCGCAGGCGACAGAGGCGTTGGCCGGCATGGGTGTGGACGTCAGCTCGTTGGCGTCCCTGGCCGCTGGGGCAAGGGTTCAGACCCCGGTTACACCCGGGGAATGGACTTCCTCTGCAAGCCACAAGCGCCCGCGTGTGGACGGAAGCCCCTCCACACCCACCCGTGCCGCCGCTGCGGAAACGGCTACAGAGAGCGTGGCTACACCTGTGCTGCCGCCAGGCAGGCTTACGACACGGCGGGTTCTGGAGAGAGCGGAAGTGGAGGATAACGTGACTGCTGCAAGTCCTGCCATTCAACATGTTGAGCGTTTCCAGCAGTTGAATAAGCATCTTATGGTTGCTTCCGCACAGGTTGCAGACCCAACGATTGTGGTTTGCGATGCGGCTACTTCTGAGCAGTCGGAGCCTTTGGTAAAACCTCCGACCGTAACCCCGGCTCCGGAGGTTGATGTTGCGGCTGTGGAGGCGCGTGTGCGGAGCGAGGAGCGGGCCGCATGGGAGGCGCGGTTGGATGCAGTTGTGGACTCGGAGCGAGAGTCTGCAGCGTTGGTGATTGCCGCAGTAGAGCGGGAACGTGACGGCCTGCAGCAGCGGTCCGGGGAGCTGGAGGCGGCTTTGGCGGGCGTGACGATGGAGCGGGAGGCGCTTGTGGGGCGGCTTGAGGCAGCGGAGGCGGAGTGCCTGAGGTTGCGGGCGTGCAGCGAGGAGGCTGAGACGCATAGGGAAGCCCTGGCGGCCAGGCTGTCGGAGGTGACGTCAGAGCGTGACGCACTGACCGCGGTGCTGGCGGCGGAGCGCTCGGAGAAGGCGGTCCTGCTGGCGGCGCTTACAACGGCCCGTTCGGAAAGCGAGGATCTGCGCCGGAGCTATGCAGCGCGTTTCAGTGCGCTAAGTTCTGAGCTGGAGGCCACTCGGGGCTCCCTGGTGGCGCTGCAGGGCGAGCATGATGAGCTGCTGCTGTGCCTGGGCCAGGAGAGCACTAAGGTGGCGGTTCTGACGGACGCTTTACGTGACCGGGGCGGTGATTCAGATCCCCTCATTGAAAAGATTGAGGCCGAATATGAGGCTATGGAATTTGGCGTTGTCGTCGACTAGAATTGAAGCGCGTCACGTTGATTGGTTGCGGTGATCAGAGCCTGGTGAGCAACGGACGGAATAAGGGCAGCTGGAGTGGCAGCAGGCTTGAGTTGGGAAGAGATGATCATAGATGGTGTTGGAGATCAGTTGGGGTCGGTTGTCCCGCGGTTTGAAGACAGGAATTATGATTTTTGCTGTAGATGTAATGTATGGAACAAGCTGGGAGTTTTGGATCTATGGGATTTGGATCTTGGAGGTTACGGGGATGCAGGTCTTCTTCTTTCGGGGTATTGGAGCTCTTGTATATTAGTTTTTCCAGCTGGTACCCTTGGGCGGGCTTACTTCAAGACGTTTTGGGGAGGTAGGATAGAGTAGGTCAGTGAAATTCCTGTGACACCAAGGTGGTCTGTGTTGTATATCGCATGTGAGATCTTTGTTGTTGGACCAGGACGGATCCGATTTTGCATTGGGATGATGTGAATTCGTTACCCTTATATCTCCTCTGGAAAGTGAGGCAAGGCACTACATGGTTACCGTGGACTACGTAGGGTTGCGTCAACCGCTTGAGAAAGGCAAGTGTACAGAACCGTACAGTTATTTCGTTGAGCATGTCGTCGCATGCCGCCCAGTTACAGGTGGGCTATTTATTGGTGCGATTTTTGTTGGTAGTTAGCGATCGCGAACAAGTGTGATGACTCTCGCAAGTGTGGAGGCTACTGAAAGAAGGTTACAGCCGGCTTCAGACCTTATGACTCCCGCCTTAAGTGATCTACCTGGGCCTTTCCAGCCTGTGCAAAATGCACACCCGTTCTCACCTGTCCCCTTTTTATTGCTCTTATCACATAGGATCAAGATACAAACGAAGCTAAGCCGAATCAGTGCGTGTTGCACGGCGCGTGTAAGTGTGATATTCGTCCGAATGCAGGACAAGCAAAAACAGAAAAACTCAAAACAGTCACGAAATCCAGGATCCTGCACATGCACCTGCCAAGTTTAAGCTTTGCAACCGGCAAAAGCTAGTTTCCCACCCGTCAAGCCTAGGTAAATTTGATTCTAACCCTATCTGCTCATGTCTACAGCTGCAGGTCTTCCCCCTCCCAGCCCTCTGCCGCCTCCTGATCCTCCTCAGCCCCCGCCGCACGGTAACCTTCGCTCCCGTTTTCCTCACCCTCATCCCCAGTCCCTGCGCCGCCTAATTCCATAGCCTCATATTCGGCCTCAATCTTTTCAATGAGGGGATCTGGATCACCGCCCCGGTCACGTAAAGCGTCCGTCAGAACCGCCACCTTCGTGCTCTCCTGGCCCAGGCACAGCAGCAGCTCATCGTGCTCGCCCTGCAGCGCCACCAGGGAGCCCCGAGTGGCCTCCAGCTCAGAACTTAGCGCACTGAAACGCGCTGCATAGCTCCGGCGCAGATCCTCGCTTTCCGAACGGGCCGTTGTAAGCGCCGCCAGCAGGACCGCCTTCTCCGAGCGCTCCGCCGCCAGCACCGCGGTCAGTGCGTCACGCTCTGACGTCACCTCCGACAGCCTGGCCGCCAGGGCTTCCCTATGCGTCTCAGCCTCCTCGCTGCACGCCCGCAACCTCAGGCACTCCGCCTCCGCTGCCTCAAGCCGCCCCACAAGCGCCTCCCGCTCCATCGTCACGCCCGCCAAAGCCGCCTCCAGCTCCCCGGACCGCTGCTGCAGGCCGTCACGTTCCCGCTCTACTGCGGCAATCACCAACGCTGCAGACTCTCGCTCCGAGTCCACAACTGCATCCAACCGTGCCTCCCATGCGGCCCGCTCCTCGCTCCGCACACGCGCCTCCACAGCCGCAACATCAACCTCCGGAGCCGGGGTTACGGTTAGTGATACCACCACCGAAGGCTGCTGCTGCTGTGACATCGGCGTCAGGGGCGCCTCCGCACCATTGCTCTGTGCCGCCAGTGGGCCAGGCCCCCCCGCGGAGGCATTCGAAAGCCGCTTACCCAACTGCTGGAAACGTTCCCCAGTGCCCTCGGCAGCTGCTTCTTCAGGCGCTTGCCGCGGCACGGGTGGCCCTGGCGGCAGCACAGGTGTAGCCACGCTCTCTGTAGCCGTTTCCGCAGCGGCGGCACGGGTGGGTGTGGAGGGGCTTCCGTCCACACGCGGGCGCTTGTGGCTTGCAGAGGAAGCCCATTCCCCGGGTGTAACCGGGGTCTGAACCCTTGCCCCAGCGGCCAGGGACGCCAACGAGCTGACGTCCACACCCATGCCGGCCAACGCCTCCGTCGCCTGCGCTAGGGACGACTGGATCTGCATCAATAGCGCGGTGCCAACAACCGGGTCCACCGCTGGCCCGCCGTTGCCAGCTGCAGCGCTGCTGCGAAGCTGCTCCAATGCATGGACCACGGAGTCGATTGCGGCAGCAGCAGCATTGGCGACAAGCGCGCCATCCACTTCTCCCAGTGCAACCTGCGTAGCCGTTGCTGTCTCTGCCGCCTCATCTCCCATCGTTGCGAAAGCATCCATGTCCCGTTCAAGATCAGCGGTGCCGTCTGCAGCTACGTCCCCAGTAACCTCCGGCTTGGCACCAGCCGGGGTGGCCAACTGCTCTCCAAGGTGATCGAAGAAGCTAACCGCCTCCACAGTGCCCAGCCGCAGCAGCGAGCAGGCCCCAGCGGAGCCCTCAATCGCCACCTCCACCGCCGCGGAAGCCACCACCTCTGCCTCGCTGGCATCGCAACTACCCTCCAGCTCCAATACCTGCTCAAGCGTGACGCCACCGTGTCGCACCCGGGTCGGCGAGTCTTGTGGGGAGCCCTGTTGCTGTTGTAGCTGCTGCAGCTGATGAGAGAGGGGTACATGCTCGGTCCCAGCAAAAGGGTCATCCGAGCGCTCAGAGGCGGGCGTGCACCTGTCCGTAGCGGGGCTGTCCACTACCGGCAGCAGGCCCAAGTCGAGACAAACAGCCGGTGGAGCAGCGACCGCTGCAGGGCTCTGCTCCTCCACCTCCTGTGCTTCCGAAGCATCAGGGGCTCGCTTGCTGAGCGGCATAGAAGCAGCGATAAACACTTCGCCGTTTGATGCGGCAGGTTGGGTTTCGGAGCTTTGCGGCTCCTGAACTTGTTGCTGCTCCAACGGCGGCAGCTGCTCATGCGGCTGAGGGGGCAGCTGGGGATCCAGAAACCTTTCTGCTGCTACTGCCATGGCGCTGTCGGCCGCCTGCGTGGCTTCCTTCTTGGGCAGCAGCCCCACAACCGGCTGTCCAAACTGGGCAAGGCGGCAGGCCCGCTCATAAGAGGACAGGTCGGCAGCCGCCGACTGCTGCTCCGAAGCCGCAGACACCGAGGCAACATCAGCCGCCAAAGCCACATCGCCGCCATTCACCTCAGCCATCGCCACATCCGCAGCTGCAACCCCTGGCGCTTCCAACTCGGCAATCTGCTGCGACATCCGTTGCTGCTGCTTGTTCTGCTCCTGGCCCAGCTGTTGCAGCAGCAGGTGTGGCGAGTAGGCTTGTCCCGGGTTCGCCATCTGCCAGTTTGCGCACAGCGCCAGGAACTTACGGCTAGTGCGCAGGTGCTCAGGGAGCTCCCAGGGCAGGGGACCATCCAGCTTGGCAGGGTCGCCAGGATGCATGATGCGCTCAAAGTCGTCCTCACTCAAACCATTCAGGCCGTCCAGACCTACAAAGCCACCGGCCGCAACTGCGGCAGCGGACAGCGCAGCTGCGACCGGGGTCGTCGACGCCACAGTTGCGCCCAGGGACGCGACGGCTGCGGTGGCAGCCGAGGACAGCTGCGTGAGCCGCTTTGCACCCGCAGCACCCAAGCCGAGCAGCAGCTGGGTTGCGAGGGGGGAAGCAGCAGCAGAAGCTGCCTGAACGGAGGCTGCGCCTGTAGCCGCCGGTGCAGCACCCGCGGCTGCTCCTGTGCCGTCACCGACACCCGTGAGCCCGCCTGTCCGTTGCAGCTTATGCTGCTCATAGGCGACGGCGGCGGCGGCGGCGACAGCAGTCGTGACAGCAGATTGGTGGTGCTGGGCAGCAGCAGTGGCCGCCGCTGTCAGTTCGGCTGGCAGCGGTGCGGCAGTGATCAGCAGAGCGCCCTCCTCCACCTCCACCACTGGCTCTGGAACCGCTGGGCCTGCAACGACCGGTGCAACCGGGAAAGCGCTGTGCATTGCGGGCGGCACGGTCATGTAGACTGGGTCCTCGCCACGATCCACATTCTCCACCTCGAAGATGTTGGACTCGGGGCTGGTGAGCCCCAGCACCACCGCCGACGCCTCATCCTCTGCCGCCGCCGCCGCGACCTGCCAGGATGGGTCAGCAGCACCGCCCACAGCCTCAAGCGCAGAGGCTGTTCCTGTTGCTGCTGCTGCGCCATCCGCTCCTACCGCATCGATGCTGGAACCTGTCATTACAGGCTGAGACCTCTGCTGCTCCTCGGCATGCGCACTTGCAGCTGCATCAGCGCCCGCGCCAGCAGCTGCGGCCACATCGCCACCGACTTGGCCCTCCGGCGTCTGCGCCTCGTACTGCTGCGCGTACACGGCCGCGTAGTATTGCGCATACGCCACTGCATCCGTCTCGCTGTAGCCTTGCCCCACCGCATACTGGTACAGGTAAGCATACTGCTGGTAGTAGTACTGAGAGTGAAGCGTGGTGCTGCCACCTGCACCGCCCACTGCTGGCCCCGTGGCATCCGCGGATGCTATCACTTCGCCCCCGGGGCTCCCTCCTGCGCTATCTGTGGGCGCAGAAGATGCAGCGCCCGCCCCAACAACACTGACACCGCCGCCAGTCCCTTGCCCGACATACTCCTCGCCCGCCGCCTCACCGCCCTCGCCACCAGCCGTGGACACGGGGCCGTCCCGCTCCACAAGATTCCCCTCGCCTTCATCAACTGCCGCCAGCTCGCCCCCATACCTCCCGGCCCCGTCATCACCCGCTTCGGGTGAATGACCATGTGGCCGCACAGGTGCAATCCCCATGCCCTCGTGCAGCGAGATGGCAGCGCCGCCGTCCGAGGCGTTTGCACCCACGCCACCGACGCGCCGATGTTCTCGCGCAGTCGGCTGGGGCGCACTCTGCAACAGCTTAAATGACAATGACTGTGTCTCTGCGGCTGTGCTGGAAGCTGCATTCGACACCGCAGGCGACTCCATCGGTTGATCCTGCTGCTTCAACGCGTCCGAAAAGGACACGCAGCATTCCAGGTTGCGTCTCTCCGCCACAGCCGCAGTCGCATCCCTGAGCCCTTCAGTGGCGTCACTATTGCCCACAGCACCACTATCGCCGTCATGCGGAGCGTCCCCGTCATCGACCCCGACCCCGTTCCCGAAGAACGGGGGATCAGGGGACGCAGCGGAATCACAATCGGCAGCCTCGCCGTCCAGGACAGCCATGTGACTGCCATTACGGTTGGCGTGGGGGACGCGCTGGAGATCATGCGGAGGGCTCTGACCCAAAGTCCCTGCAGGTTCTGGCGACTCGTCGTCACCAGCAGCTGCTGTGTTATCGTCATCTGGTGCCTGCTGACTATAGTGCTGTTGATGGTCGCTGACTGTAGAGGCGCCGTCCAAGGCAAGGGGCACCGCTGCTGATTCCTCTTGACCGTTCTCTCGGGGTGTGTGATCAAGCGGCTTCGGGACGAAGAAGCTAGTTGCGGGGATGCCGCTGGGCTGCGATGTGGCGCGCTGCGGCGGTGGAGGCACGAAGAACGAGTTGGCGTTGGAGCCTCCTACGCCGATCCCTGTAGCGGAGGAAGGTCCCGAGCTAAAGACGCCCTGGGGGAGGAGGCTGTTGCTGGACTGAGGCGGCGAGGGAGCCGTACTGCCGATGGCGCTGGGCGGGCCGGAGAAGCTGTCGCCCTGTCCGCCAGCGGCGATGAGACCCGCGAGATCGGTCTGGGAGAGTGAGCCCGCCAGGGAAGCCATGGAGGAGGAAATGGATAGATTGGGCTGGAGGGCATAGCGCTGGGATAAGGAACGCCTGCAAGGAGCGCAGGCGAAGAGGAGGGAGGATGATGGGTATTCGTGGTATTGTGCGGGCAGCGGGGAGTTCTGCACATAAGGGTTGTTCCCACATGAGGGTTGGGGTTGGATTGCTGCAAGGCAGGTTCAATGTCAACGGGCAGGTTCAAGGCAGTGCACGACAGGATGCTCGGGCAAACGCTAATCACTTGTTTTATCGCAAGCCATCTTCATACACGGCTTAGACATTGGAACTTACTTAGAAAGGGGTGCCGATGCGATGCTAGCTCCAGACATAACCGGTGGTGGAGGCGGGCCCGCAGCCTCGCGCTCAGCCTCCTCTTCCTTTCCCCTTTCTACCCATCTCTTCAACTGCGAAGGATAGTTGCAGCGCGATTAAAGGATGGCCTTGAAACGAACCGCGCCGTTGCATCCAAGGAACCACGCACCTCTGGATGGTAATACATGTTGTTTTCCTCGCCAAGACTGCCTTGCTTGGGCTTTTTGCCTCGGTTGGTCCACTGCGTCAAAGGAGACGACGCCGGTCAGGCCGTGAAGCACAGATATCACAAGATCAGCTGCAAATGATTCAAGGCTCACTGATACACGACTGAAGAGCTTGAATGGCGACTGCGCTGGCTGCTGTTGACTCTGGCTTGTCGCCATGGCGCCGGCTCACACTACAGCTGCTCAGCGTTTCCCAAAGCTCTTTCATGAAATTGTATGTACACACCTATTTTTAAAGTTATCCTTAATGAAATTCGATATGTTTTTCTGGAATGGAAGACTGAAAGACTTGGGTTGCGGCATGCCGACCAACCTTTGCTCGTACGCAAACTTCCCAGTAACAGAGCCTCTGTACGTAACATCCGGTGCATAGAGAATATACGCCTTTCTTATGTTTCGTTTACAGGCGTCTTTACTGCCTTGATCTATGCCTACCGAGCAACTGAAGATCACATGTCGCGCACAACGGGCAAAATTACGAGGCCTTCCGTTACAACGCCATGCTCCTCTTAGTCCCTAAGCTACGTGGGAAGGCAGGTCCGGGTGAGGGGATGTGTTTTTCCCCGGCATTAAAGTCATTTGGCCCAAGGCCAGACGCATCTTTTGCAACCTGCCGATTGAAGGATAGAGCGTGTGCCGCAGCCGTTCCTCACGGGATTCCACATGCACGCTTGACTTCTTTGCTTGCTGTTCGTGCGTGGCTGCGGATGGCGGGCGGATACGCAGTGCGCCCGCTGCCGTCGGGCGTCACGGATGCGCAACGTGTGCAGCAGCTCTGTATGGAACACCGCCGATGAACCATCCCTATACAGCGTATGCTTAAGCATGTTCCTTTCGACATCTATGTGCCTAAACTTGCCACGCGATGCGAGTTGTACCAGGTGAACTGCATGCTCCACTTCAGATGAAGTGGTATTAAGACAACTCTCTATACCCTCTGCCCCTAAGCAGCAACTCATATCATGTGAGGTTAAGCATGAGACTCACAGATCTGAGATCCAACGTGTCGGTCGCTGTTCCCCCCGGCTGAGCTATCCCCCGGGCTTCAGTCGCCGCATTTATGGTCGTGACGATGACAATGAGGGGAGGAAATGGGAAACGATGGGCCGAACCATCGCCAAGTTACAATGGGTTACATTGTGCTGTACCGGGTCGGTACCGGGTCAGGCAGGCGCACATAGATTAATGGGCATGCGTACAGATGGCCTGAATGAACCGCACGATGACAGGTCCTCGGGGCCATAGTACTTCTTTCCCTTCCCGAGACACCAATCCAAGTAATCCGATTGGTGACGTGGGTAGGTACAACATACTGCCCCCTTATTGAAAGGGGGGATTGAGCGTATCTGTCCATCCGTTTCTTGTAACAGCTCATTCTCCTCCTCTCCATAATGCCCCAGTAATCTTGTCTTGACCACACATCAAGTGCGGCTCTCTCCCAGACCTCACATGCAATCTCGCGCAAAGTTTTACGAAGAGAATTCCAGTTACCCAACACCGATACGCAGTCCGTTCATCAAGCTCATCCTTGCAATACATAAAGTGGGAACGCATGTACAGCCACCAGGACTTATGTATAAGTCAATGCAAACTTTTCTCCCTAGACTAACACCTGATAGGGCTCCAACCCTCTCCCAACACCCCAGTGTGGAAAGCCCCACTTTCCCGTCCTCGTTCGCCACAGGTGTTGCGGCTCTGGTCATCGTGCACTCAGTTTACCGCCGCTTTATCGCCTTGCCTTCCAGAAGAGGAAGGCGGCAGCGGCTGTGCATGTGAAGCGTTTTCCGAGTACCTACTAAAAATCTATGCAACGACGACTACACTACACCATCACAGCAGCACAGATGCCACTCACTCACACATGCTCTCATGCACACTCATGCACTCTAGACCACCAGGGGACACTGCTTAAGTCTAAACCTCGCCAAGGCACAAAGCCAGCGTTCAGAATCCCGACATAGGACCCAGCAATCCGCTCCATTTCAGGTAGGTGATGATCTGCATGATGATACCCTGACCCGTACCTGCCTCCACGAGGATGGCCGCTAGGAAACCCAGCATGGCAGCTCGGCCTGGTTACATACGACATCACCAGATACATCACAGGGCAGGGAGCGGAGGGACAATGACGTATGAGGACGGGTGGGTTGAAATGGAGGAGTAATGAAAGTGCAGAAAGTGTAATTGAGCAAAGGAAGAGCCCAGCACGCAGGCGCAGTGGGTTCGGTTCCCATGTTGGGATTGTGTGGGATTGTGATTGCAACAGATGCTTTGCGCATTAACCGACGTCCCCCTGCCTACACACAACATCCGGCGGGGACTGAGGGAAGGCTACAGCTGGGACCCTCCACTTCACCCCCCCGCCCGACAAGAATGAGGAAGGGGAGTGGAGGGAAACGTAAACTAACATTGGCGGACTGCGGCAAGGTCGCACGCACACATACGTAGATATCAGGAATGTTGCTCTTCCCTCGTTAGGTTGGTCCCCTCTTAACTCTTTTTCTTCTACAGAACTACGATATACCCACCATTTGCAAGCTCCACATCTCTTGCGTACTTGCCCTCATCCAGTCCGTATAGCTCGTCCATGGACTGGTTGGAGGAACAAGCAACGACCGTGGTGACGTACAACCGCGTGGTTTGTCAGTTAGCGTGTATTGTGGGGAATCATGGGAAACAAGCAAGAGTATCGCCGCTGATCACCGTTACTCACACGTGAAACCCATACTCGTACAGCCTTATGTTGCTGCCCCGCCGAGGGCTACAAGGCGGGCAAGGTTGCCCCAACCTTCACCCCTTCCTAAGGTCCAGACCCTCATCTTGACCCTTAGCCGTACGCACGCAGTACAAGTCACACCTCTTGAATTTTAGTACCTCGAGGTGTGACGCACATTAACACGTGCACATATCCACGTCCTGATGCGTATACACATGTCTGTATGTATGTGTGATTGGAAAAGGAGCATCGCGTGTGCCCAAATGCAGCGTACGTGTGTGTATGTCACATTCCCAAGCATTTGACCTCTCACCACTTGGGGCCTGGGGGGTGCAGGAGCCACAGGAGCCTTATCCGCCGCCTCAGCTACCACCGCCACCGGTGATGCGGATGTCGAGGTCGCCGCCTTCATATCCCTGTATGTTTAATGTATGTGTGCATGTCGCCGTTCGTGACCACGAGGCACCAAATGACGATAGACGAAGGTGCGATCAGATCGAGAACAAAACCACCAGGACATTCCCAACCTTGACCGCCGCCTACCCGTCTTAAACCGTCCCCTCCACCGGCCGAGTCACTAGTCAGCAAAGATAAGTCATACACAACAATTATATGCAATGTAAGAAATAAGTTACCCCTCCTCTAGCACGTTCTAGAGCATGTGAGGGAGAAGAAATGATAAACTCACTCCGCGGTACGCTCCACCGCAGCCGTGTCGTCCATCGCCAGAAAGCGATCTGCCGGCATCCCCTTCCGCCGCACCTCGTCAATCGCCCCCAAGTCGAACCCTGGACTTGTGAAGTCGGGGCGGCGCTTCATGTCCCTAGCGGCCTGGTCCGCCATCCAGTCGTCCTTTCGTGAGAGACCCAGGAATGAGCGGTACCGCTCCAACTGGCTGTGGGGAGGGGTATGCGTGAAGGCATACTTAAAAATGTACATTTACATGGGACAGGGACATACATACAAACGCCCACATCCACGCTTCCATATGATTCGCGAAGGTGCTTCTCACAAATTGGCGCCCTTCCTGGACGCGATACCGCGGGGGTTAGGGTTAGCGTAGGTGGGCCCCCCACCAGCATTGCCAATAAAAACCACCGGCAACTTCTCATCCACCAGCCCGGCCCTCCCTCCACAACACAACATTCACAGGCCTGACCTGCTTCCACTGGCCTCTGGCGGACCGGGTAGATCATCCTTGCAAAACCTCAGACACCACCCTTATTTGTCTCCCACGCATGAACCCGTCCAGGCCCATACTCCCCACCCTTTCCCCCCACCCCCACACACACTCAGAAAACTCACGTGCGGCTCATCTTGCGCCCAATCAGTTGCTGCACCGTCACCACGGAGCCCACCACCGTGGCTCCACCGAACAGGGCAATCATGGCGGCCAGGAACGGCGTGGAGGGGGCGGGTAGACCGATCTGAGCCAACGTGCCCTTGCCTGACGTGCCACGTACGGTCCAGCACCGCCGGCCGGGCAGTAGGCGCCATCCCACCACCGCCACGAGCACAAAGGGATAAGTGGAAGAGGCAATCAAGTAATAATTGTTCGTTACAAATCATATCAGGCTCGTTGAATTGGTCCTAGGGTTTGCTGGAGAGCTGCTGGCACAAGTGGGGGAGTTCGGCGTGGTAGAAACAGGCACAGGAGTACGAGGAAGAATGGCAGATTAAACTCTCTGCCGGAGTGCTGTCTGAGTGCTTCCCTTAAAGCCGTAACAGCTCGCATCAAAGATGAGGTCCAGGGACTGAAGGTTCAGAAATGCACGACATGCTGCTGCTTGCTATATGCCTATATGTATGTGATGTCCGGCCGCAACGGGAAGGGTTCACAGTTTGCAACTGCGCTGGTCCCCAACAGAATGAGGAGCATTGTGTTACAAATCTGCGGTTGGAACATGGGCTGCCGAAGCTGGGTATGCCAAGCTAACCAAGCTAGCTGTCAAGAGAGGTATCTCAGCGGAACCGTGGCCCATTGCTTGAGAGCTAGAGACTGTCAAACTTATAAATGGGGTATCGTTAAAACCCTTAAAAAATAAAAGACAGGATGCGCACCTGTCGCGAACTCGACAACGATCGATGAAACAAAACCGATCATTGACCAGCGGCCAACCCACATCTGCACCCAAATAGGAGGAAGGAGAGCAGTGCCTGTGTGGTGGCGATAGAACCGCGAACTCCGGCCCGGCTGAAGCAAATCTTGGAGTCGGATAGGGTTTCACGGACTTACCTCACTAAACGGCGTAAACCCGAAATAGCCCTCATCGGTGGGCATGCCAGTTGAATCGAAAAACTGTGGGATTGTGAACAACGTGTGGCGTTTGTGCTCCATGTGGCAGCAACTCCCCCAGCGATGGAGCAGACAACATTCGTGCATACCTTTGCGATAGCTGATTTTTCAGCACGAACTTTTGTCGTCAAGCCCCGAGGGGCGCGACGTGGGAGTGCGCCTTGACGCGCAACGCGAGCCGTCGTAGACCGAGAAAGGTTTGCGTGCAACATCTTGGAGACTTAAATTAACTAAATTAATTGTAATGATGATATGAAGCCGTTTTTATATCAGACAACTTTAGCTGTGCAAGGTAATGTATGGTTCCCTTTGCTGCTTGGAAGTTGGCAATGTGTGGCCGTAAGGCAGTTGCAGTACAAAATACTCGTTTGTGGTTCTGCCCGGCATGAACTCCGCAGCATTAATAAGATGTGTAATTAATCCTGCAATCTTAGCATATGCCGTGAAGAAACAACACCAGTCACGAAGAGTGGGTTTCGGAGCATTTCACTGTCATTTGTACTTAGTAAGGACAGGCTCCGATTTATTTCAGGCTCCTGCGCGCCTATTGTACCTTGACAACATTTATACCGGAACCATCAGCCTCTACCAACAGAATGCGATTTGTTACAGCGGATCCCGAACCGGTCGAGTGCATCAGTACAACACTGTGGGCCCTATAGCTTGCACTGAGTGTCCAGCCAGTCAGGCCAAGGCGCACGGTAAAAGCACCCAACTCAGGATATCCTGAGCCGGTGAATGTGCGGGTTGCCTAGAATAGGCGATAAGAGCCCAGCGGATGGGCGTGTAAGAAAGGCGAAGCATAGCCTAACCAGGGAGAACCACCTAGCAAAACCGGATGCGAACCTCCGCCCCAGGAAAGCCAAACGGACCACGACCTCTAAAAACGCAAAACGCCCAGTCCCCCACCAGCACCCAGAAGCCGTAGTGAACGCACGAGAGCTCCAACCGGAGAGCCGGAAGGAACGCAGCTACCTACCACACGAGAAGGACCCGCGAAGCACGCCGAGGCATTCACACAGACCGAGGGCGCCTTCATACAAACGCACAAGCGGCGAAAGAAAAGCCCTCAGACCAACACACGCGAAACGCGACGAATTCCTGACACTGGCAGTGTGGGGCCATCTTAAGTTCGGAAACGTTGTTTCAGAAGGGCTCTCGCCCGAACGGTCCAGGTGCTCCATAGCCTTGACGCAGGAGATCGATTCCGTGAGAAGAACGCCAGTGTGTAGGAAAGACGTGAAATCCGAGGCGAAAGTGGCCATCATGAGCCCGCCGCCATCGCCAGGTAATTAGCCGGAAGGCCCAGACAGTCCTTCATAACAATGAGTAGAACCCCAAGATGAAGATGTCCGAGCCGCCGGTAGAGGCAATAAGGGTAACTCCTTTTGGTCCAAAAACCGACAAAAATTGCGGAAGGTCTCGAAGAACTCAACCGACAGCCTCTATATCGTCCATGGGTCCCCCGGCTTTTACGGACAACCCCGCATGTGTGCGGAATGGAACTTGTAACAGCCTCTATGTTGCCTGATCAGCAACTGCCACCAAGTATGACCAGGAAAACTGGTTGAACGATACGCGTCTTTTAATGGGGATGATGTAGTTAAGCACTGCGAAAGCCGAAATGCCATTTTCTCTAGGAGGTTCTTGAGTAATGGAACCCCGGCATGACTTCCGTTAACACTCGTACCCTGGAGCTTGAGACGTTACATTCGGTTAAATTACCTTCCTAAGCTGCATTTTTTGCCGCCAGATTACATTAACGTTCAGGCCACGGTAGGCCACTGTTCAGTCAAATGTCCATTTGCAGTCATATAGTCAACAGCCATACAAGTCACGAAACGTAATTTTGTCGTCGCAAGTCAGCAAGCGGACCATAGGAACACCCATGCAGCACGTGCGCTGTCTTGCAGCGCGAGTTTCAGGTGACAGGACATTCCCATAGTGATGAGTGGCAACAAATCCCTTACGAGTGCGGGGCTGCCCGCCAAAACCCTACACCAAGCATGTCAGCCCCTGCGCCTACCTGCACACAATTGCGAAACCTCCCGCATCCAAGCAGCGTAAGTCTGTCCGGGACTATAAAAGTAATATATGCACACCGTCGTCTACAAGCCGTTAGCCAATCACCAAGCTCACACATCCAAGCTCCCGCAATTTTGCGCACACGGATGTACCTAGAGACAGCTAGAAATCGTCCTGTCAAGGGATTATTGCCCTTTCTTTGGCGAACCCTTGTTCGCTGCAGCGGCCTTCTTCTTGCGGAAATTGTCATAAGGCGTGCCCTTCACCCACTCATCGTCATTATATGCGCGGCTGACCTCCACCTTGCGGGTCCGCTTTCCAACAACGTTCTTGTAGATTGGGGACTCCTTAACAGCACTCCAGGCGAAGTATGCTGCATTCATCCGGAAGGGACACCAGGGGCAGACACACCAGGTAAGGATTTACCAGCAGCAAAAGCGTCTAAAGAAATCCATGCCTTGATCGGCTGCATGTATGCGCCGGGGTGATGAACTAAAGCCACAGGTGGCCCCACTTATGTATGAGTTCATGTCCTACTGGCCGGTCAACAACAATTTCGACGCCACGGGAACGAAGGACCCAGATGGAAGAGGTGTCGCGCTAGCGAGGCCCTACTCAGAACCGTACACCAAATTCGCCCGCAGCAGTCGCTTATAAATAGTGCAAGCGGCTGAGGTACCTCAACATAGCCCCCAAAGGTTATAATCATACAGGCCTGGTTAATTTCAATAGCTATGGCATCGTGCATGGCTCATGCTCACCACCAGCAAAAACCAGGCCAATGAAGATAGCATAGAGGAAGATGAGTTTCCAATCAATCAGCTGCCCCTTCTCAAGGACTGTAATGGTCTGGTTGAAGAAAGTCGTGCTCTTGAAGCCATCAGCGGCCTCATAGAAAACCGTCAGGGCAACCTGGTAGTCGTTGGGGGGCAGGTCCTTCGGGGGCAGGAAGGTGTACTCCACAGAAAGCTCCTTGCTGGGCTCCACAATTTGGAAGTAGAGCTGCAGGAAGTGTTTGCCATGGCCAATACCGTTAAGAAAGAGCATTTAAGTGAAGATACCTGAAGGGGGACCCCCCCCCCTCCGACAGCAGGCGGCGGAAACATCACAGCACCCTCGCGAACTCAAGGGAAACGAGCCTCACCTGCTGCGTGAAGTTCCAGTAATATGCGCGGAATTCTTGCGCGTTATTGAGGCTACCCATGATCATGCTGATGTTATAGTTCTCCGAAGCCTCATTCCGGACTCCGAGAACCACCTTGACCTGTTACTTTAAACACATTCTGTGTAAGCCAAAAAACGCAGATCGCAGTCTGCCAACCACGTTCAGCAGCCGACGCACCGGTTCGCCCGCGATGAACTGCCGTGTGGGATAACCAGGAAAGAAATAGCCCGTCGAGATTTCACCAGCTGGTGGCAGGTTCGTCAATGGGTGTGCCCGCGGGGTGTCTTGGGCGGCTGCAGGCGAACAGATCGCTTGTCAGGATCATGTCGATATGTGAAAGCCGTCCTTTCCAACGCTATTCACTCACCAGCATAAGCTGCACAACAAGCAACAAGCCCTAGTACAAACAATGGCCGGTATAGAGAACGGTGCGCCATTTTGCTTCTGTTGCTATGACCCAAAAGAGTTGACCACTCTATAGATAACCCTGAGCAAATATCTCACGAGAAAACCAAACAACAATGAATGCCTGTGGCTCAACATATTTGCGCAACGGGGCTGCAAAATGGGGACACCGATGCACGATGTCTGTACTACAACTTTGCACTTAAAACAGGTCAGCACCAACTTTTCGTGTCATTGCCAAAAGGTCAATCACGTATCAGATAGAGCTGATTATAGTCATTCACTGCATCTACACAGTGGGCTCTAGCACCCATCCCAGCTCTGGGATTGCACCGGCAACGTGAGCCTGCTAAGCTGGCTTTAGGCGTTACACACTAAAGGGTTAGGAGGGTGAGGCAACAGTTGCAACTTACTTGCGTACTTGATTGTGCTACTTACAGGTACGTACCAGCTGGCTATGAAGGAATGTTGCACTCGTATCGATAGGGAATTAGGGAGTCTCTATGCAAGGTTTCCACGTCTCAGGGTGGCAATACAGGGCAAAAAAGTCACGAAGTTTCGCTTGACCAACCTGGGGGACCTCATACCGAAAGAAAGCAAGCTGGGGCCATACCAGGCCGCGCACGACGGCGCTCCATAAGTGTTTACATCAGCCAAACAGAATCAGACACCGGGAAGCAGTCGCCAATGCAGCGCCTAGTTGCCCTCAGGTTCCGACCCCGTGCCCGTCCCCTCGCCACGGAGCAAAACCTCAGATTCTGAGTCACCAAATGCCGACAAAGCGTGCACCAAAAAACCCGTAAACATCGTCATAATCAATATATGACCTGTAGGTAAAGTTACGTCAAAATCAGTTTAGGTGGACATATTACCGCTCATGGCTAATTCGACCAACCCCGCGGGCATCTGTAATGGGCGCGTAATGGCGACGCAGCTTCAAACCCCAATAAAAAGAGGCCTACCCGCTAGCGTGCAACAAGGCGCTCTCGGTAGAAAAGTATGAAAGCAAAAAGGCTTTCCACCAACCCACCGGCAACGCAACTGCCACCACGTAATCCAAGTCCAAACAAAAAACACAAAAGACAACAACACTTTGGTCAAGCACGTAGCATGGAAAGTATACACACACACACACACACACACTACAGCCGGTATTCTCATCACGGTCCATCTCAGTTCACGGTTTCGCATAACCACACCGACTACTGTCCCGCTCTTGTTGGTAACATACGGACAGGTCATGTTTCGTTCAAGTATGAACACGCGAATACAAGGGTCATGTATTCTTCCGTAGCCAATGCTCGCTAAAGAAGCTCACATCGACCCACAACAGCCACAAGAAAGTACATTCGCTACTTCCTTTGCCAATCCTGACCTCCAATGCTTGCTCAAGTTTTCAACTACTCTGAGAGGCGTGGGGGGCGAGGATCCAGGCAGATGCGGCCCAACTTCACCAGCACAGACACAAAGGATATGTCCAGTGTGGCACTTGGACCTAACGCACCGGTTCATGCCTTCGGACAAACCCTTTTAATGCGATGCGAATCAGGCCCAGTCATACAGCGCCTACAGATTGGTGTGCACATCAGGTAGGCCCCATCATATAGCCCCTATCCACTTTTTCCTTTCCATACCGTCAGCATGGCCGATGAAAACGTGTGCTGACAGCGTCAATCCCGCATCCGCAAGGAATATACATGCTCCAATCAATCCTGCTCGGTAGCATCGGAATCCCAGGCGGGATGGTCAGCCAAGGCCTAGGGTTTGTGTTATTGCACAATCCATTAGAACTCCGCGCATTGTGGCCGCCTGAACCTATGCATACAACAAAACAAAAACATAAGCTTCGGGTTCGTTTTTGCTCATGACTGCTTACCTATTTAATCTGCCCACCCAATCATTCTCACAAATCTGAATCGCTCCCGCTGCTGCCGTACTGACCTAACATGCCTGTCAAGCCGCCACCCAAAGCTGGCGCCTGCTCCGCCCCCACGTTCTGCTTCTTTGTTTCGTTCCCGGGATTGCCGCCCTCAATTTCTAGTACAGGCCGTTTCCCAAGCGCTGAGCCGCTCCCCTCTGCCGCTCCCTGAGGTGCGGCCGCCCCAGCTGCACCTACTGTTGCGGACGCTGCTGGAAGCGGTGCTTTAGGCTTTACCATCACTTTAATTGACGGCTTCATTTGCTTTGTTTGTTGCTGCTGTTGGGACGCAGTCGCAGCAGCACCAGCACGCGCGCCACCTATCCCAGCCGCCGCCTGCTGCTGCATCTGCGAGAGGTCGCTGAGCCCTGCTGCTGAAGAAGGCCCTTGCCCAGCTGCCGAGGCCCCCGCTCGGCCGCTCCTGCCGCTGGGGCCTCCTCGCTCCCGTTCCCTCCCCTCGTCATCCTCGTCCTCCTCCTCGCCGCTGTCCTCCAGCCGCTTCGTGTTCGCCTGTGCGCGCAGCTGGTAAAACTCAGCCACATCCATCACGTCATCTTCGTCTAGCTGCTGCTGCGCCGCGGCCTTTTGCAGCGCCTCAAGTGCTTGCTCGGTCGTGACCTTGGCGTGCTGTGCATTGAGCGCCTTCATCTCATCCAGTGCAGCCATGATGTCCATCTCTCGCTTACTGTCCAATGTGCGGTTCTCGAGGGCCTTCATGGCATTGCCCATCTCCTCCTCCTCCCGCTTCGCAACGGCCTCGGCCTTGGTGGCCTCCTCGTCACGCCATGGTTCGTAGTTGCGCGTGGCGCCGGCTTCCAGAATGTAATCTGTCGAACGGATGAGAGTGGGCCAGGTAGGATAACAGGGCGGGAGTCAGGCGTCCGCGTTGCAGATTTCAGTCAACCCTTTACCTTCTCACGGCATATCATGTATCACGTGTGCTGGTGAGGACGGGCGGAATATGTTGCTTGGACGAGGCAACACGCGGTGTGGATGCTGGCTCGACGGCCATACCCCAGGTCCGACTTCGCCAGGGGAGCTAACCTGCGCTCTTGGGGTCCGTCTTCATGCAAAACTCAGCCGCGCATTTTTTACAGCGATAATAGAACCGGAATACTTGAATGCCCAGGTAGTTTTCGCCCATGACATCCTCTTTTCGCGTGTTGAACTTGGTGCCCTTGTACATGAAGACGCCACAAGTTTTGCAGCGCACCGACATGGGCAACATCATGCGCACTTTCATCTCATTTGTCTCCCTTCGCTTCCCCTTGGGAAGTTTCGCTGGATCAAAATCCGGCGGAAAGTACTTGTTAAGCACTGCGGGCGGCCAGATTGGGCGAAACAGTTTTGCCAGGTTGCATAATGCGCACGATTGGGAAACGAATGCCGCCCCAGACGTCTGCAAAGCAACTGCAAAGCATGCATCTAACAGTCGCGACTTTCGCACCTTTTCGCTCGCCCATCTTTCTGAACTTAAGGTTTTTATATCAAGGGCAGTTTAATAGTCAAAAAGAGGCTGGCAACAATATGATAAACAAAATGAAAATCAGGCAAAACTCCGGTGACGGTACTGTGTGGTAGGTACCTAATGTAACGGTTGCAATGAAACAGTAATACATACACCCTGTAAGGGTTGGTGGAAAAGATGTTCCGTCCCTGAGCTTATTTGTAACGGTCTCGGAGCAACTAACATATCGCTCTGACGGCCTGGTTTACGATTTTATCGATGCTCTTTAATCCGTAAAGATCCCTTCGCAATTTATGGATTCTGCAAACCGGGGTTTTTACTTTCAGCGTGCGCAACATGAAACTGGTACCATATCTGTGCGTTTCGTTGATAATTAGGCGATAGTCCAAGTTGCCTTGCTGTAGATATTACTATATGTACCTGTAGTTTGTGCTGGGCCAGCTTCACCAGTCGTGCGTCCAAGTGGCCAACAATAGAGCGCCGGGAAAGTAAGCGGATCCTGATGCCGGTATCATCGACAGACATTGAGGCACAGCCAAGTGCAAGATTGTTAGGGGCGGATGAGGACAAGGACAAGAAGGCTGGAGAGATCGAGCGGAGGCAGAGCGGCGCTATACGCCAGCGAAGTGGGCAACAGGTGGGAGCTCGTCAGTAAGACAGTAGATGGTTCCTACTTTTCTTCTCATTCGTCGTCTGCTCGAAGTTAGCTGCGTCGACTTGTGCCTTCTTTGTAGGCACTTACCTCAATAGTGCACAGCTGGGCGTCTCGCAAGTTCGCAGTTGGATGGTGAGCTACATCGGCAGGCATGGGGAGGCGATCAGCTCCCTGTGCTTTACTACGGAGAGCTGCTAGGGCTCTGCGCTGTTTGACAGCTCCCTCTTTGCCTTGCTCGCAGCGCTATTCTGTTCCCCGTAGCGGTTACTGTCTACGTAACTTGGTGGTTTCTCACCTTCTTTGACAACTTCTTCTCGGTCAGTACGCTTGGGGCCCACAAGGGTCGCTGGGCCTAAGGAATCACAGGGTATTGATTCGAGGAAAGGCTCCCGGAGCGTTAGGTCGCGGCGCACCTGCTATGGCTTCCAGCACCGCCATGCTGTCGTTCTGTTTTGCACATGGGACTCCACTGACGTGTGCGCCATCTGTTTGTCCTCCCGCCGCAGCCTATTTACTACAAGCTCTTCGATTTCCATGTATTCGGACTGGGTTTCATTACCTCCATGGCTTTCATTTTCTTAATCGGTGAGCAACATTGTTGGGTGATGGTCATGTTACGGGTCGGGCCACCAATGGTATGAAGAGGGTTTGTTCCGTGTTCCCGGATGGTGCCACGACAGCTTTCCAGGGCCCAGTATACCCTGAAGCAGTCGCGGACAGCAACAGCTGGCAAAGCTGGACCCCAGGTTTCATGCACTGGTGTTGTTTCAGCAACGGAACGGCAACATATCGGCTCGGCATGTCCGTTGGGTTGGTTACGGTTCAAAGTGCATCGAGAGACCTATGGATGTGTACGCTGCGGACTGCAGCACGGTGGCGTCCAGGCCGCCGGTTCTTAGCTTCGTCCTAACGGTGCAATTTGCCTGTTATGCATGCGACAGGCAAAGCTGTCACCTGGAGAAATTCTAGGCGTCGTGTAGCTGTTCGCCTGAAGATCCACCCGTGCCTAAGCTAGTTTAGCGTTTTCCTTCCCGTGCTCATAATGCAGGTGTTTTCTTCTCGTCCTGGTTGGGTTCTGCACTTCTGGGGATTGGAGAATGGATTATTAAGCGCCTCCCACTTGTAAAGCATATCTATTCCGCATCGAAACAGGTAGGTGCCATTGGAGTGCTGTTGGCTGTATAGTTGATGTGTCCGGGGAACGTACTAACGATGCCGTATCCGTGCCTTTAAAACTTTAAACATGCTGCGCCTTGCAACTGCAGGTCAGTGCAGCTATCAATCCGGAAAATGAGGCTTCAAAAGCTTTCCAGGAATGCGTAATAATTCGGCATCCACGGAAAGGAGAGTATGCCATTGCTTTCATAACAGGACGCACTGTGCTGCAGGTGAGTTTACGAGCTGATGGTGCGTAGCTTAGCTTGCATGCTGCTTCGGTAAATGTGACCATTCTGTTGCAGACCGGATCACAAGACACGAAGCTCAATACCGTTTACGTTCCAACGAACCACGTGTACGTTGGTGATATATTCCTTCTTGAAGACAAGGAAATTACTCATACAAATTTATCCGTCCGTGAGGGCTTAGGTAAGGACCCACAAAAATTGGGCAACGGTTTTATCGCGTATTCATGTCGCGAAACATATACAACCAACTTGTTTTTTTTGCTTGCAGAGATCATCGTATCATGTGGCATGGCCATCCCGCCAAATCTGGTTGCTATCCCAAAACCTTAAGTTCTGGACATTGTATTGATTGCAACGAACGAGATCAACTGTAATCGGGCGCCCAGCTGATTGAAGAGATTTGAATGGGAGTGTTGATTAAATATCATGTGCTAAATGTCGACGATTATGTCATAGCGCATGACCTTGAAGTCATGTTATGCACTCTGCGGAACACATAGAGGTGTAGTACACCTGATGAAACACGATTTGTAAATGCTTACTGCTCACTGCCCCCACCATGCACATTCATTGTCATGAACCTCCTGCGGACCTACGTTCAAGTTCAAACTGCACGGGTCGAAATGATCGCCCAGTTCGATAAGTAACACTGCACGTAGGTCAGCAAGCTCAACAGCGTTGCGTATATCAACTGTCCTGCGCCGATAGCTCCTCCTCGCTGTACTCTCGACCGGCAAACTCAATTTGCGTTTCCCGCACAATACGCGCGCCATCCTCAGACGTTGCAGCGTACAAAATTTCCTGTACACGCTTCATAATCGGCATGTCGGAGATCACCGGCGTCTGACATAGCAGCTCCACATCCCGCAACTTGGAGTAATAGAACTCTTTCTCTTTCTCAAAGCCGTCAGCCTTTATCCGCAAATCCTGTACGGTGAGGATGGCGCCGAAAGCGGATCATGCGATTCACGCGGCAACACATATTCGTTTCCTTCGTCGTTAATAATCAAACACAAAACAGTCTGACAACTGACGCGGAAATGTCCGGTGGGCAGCTGAGCTAAATTTGTACTGCTGGTAAATATTCTAAACACGTACCTCAAGCTGGTGATTTAGCTTGTCCATTTGGTCCCGGTCTCCGGGACTGGCGGTTTTGTTACTGGCAGCTGGTCGTGGGGCTGCCGCAGGTGCGGCCCGTGGTGCGGAAACGGGTGCAGCCTTAATACCGCCAGCTGCACCTTTTGACCCTGCGGAGCTGGCCTTCATGTCGCCAGTCTTGCAAAGCGCCCGGCGGCCAGGGCCGTCGTAAGGCGGCATGGGCTGCCCCATCGTAACCTGAGTTTGTAAGCAGTGGCCAGGTTGACTTGGTGCAATTGCCCAATGATCCAAGTCCGAAGGGTTTAACAAAGCTCTTCCGCCTAAGATTTGAATTGGGCACGTACCTGGTCCCAGTATGCCTTGAACCACTGCATAAACTCCATGTTGTCAAGTGGGCGTCCCTTCACCAACCGGGCGACCTCAACATACTGCAATTATTCAAGGGATGAATTATGAGACGCTACGCACAAAAGCCAAATTTTAAGCCGTTTTCAGTCCGCACCTTGTCAATCTTAAGCTTGTTGAAGCAGTCCTGTAATACCTTGTAGTTGTTGATCATTTGGTACTAGGGTGGGGGGGAAACAAAAGTTGGTTAATAAGCGAGAAGCGAGGCCGAAATAATTGTGCATGTACACAATTCGATAATGCCACCTTCCCCCCTCCAAGAAGCATTCGAACCACGTAACGCCCAGTGCGTTGGTACGCCAAGCGAGCGCAGCACAGAAACGGGCGGGTAAAGCAGTGTTAAAAACCTGGAGATTATAAACTGCATGATGAATGGATCGCTTAACCTGTTTTTATTAAGTCCCATGCGCTGCGGAGACAGAGGGTCTGTGATCCTAAATGTGCACACCTCGTTGTTGGCGTTGAAGTCCACCTTAGCCATTGGCACGACCCCTGGGTGCAGGACGTCCAGTAACTGACATGCGACGGCACCATTGCATGTCTCCTCAACCTGCAGACGTCATAAAGTTCTGTCAACTCAGGCATAACCCAGCCCCCGGGTAACTAAGTCAAAGATCGTGCAATTGACCCTCGTTTCTTTCCCGCCGAGCAGCGCGCCTGTCCAATAACTACCCATAGAACAAAGAAAGAGAACAAAGAAACTGAGAAGTACCGGGCAAGCCGAGCCTCTCCATAAACAGTGCTATTGTTAACATTCAAACCATGTACGTACTTTATTAAGTCGCAGGCTGAGCGTGTCGTTGACCCATGAAAGGATCTCCCCACGGCCCAGGAAGTAATGAGGGTCTTGCAAGCCAAAAGACTGCAGGCATTTAGGAGTTCGGAAGGTACCGCGCAGGTTGAGAGACAGGTTGCAGAGGCGCGCTTAAGGCTTTTAGGAGCATCGACATGACTGACCGTCTGTGGCGGCATGTTTTCGGGGACAGGCTGACCACCGCGCTGTCAGCTCAAAGAGGCTGGTTACAAAACACGGCTGGATCACACCAGGCTATCAAAGGCCTATTGCAATGGTGTGAGTAAGCGACAAATTTGTTTTGAATACTGTGTTAATGCAAGGACACACGATACTTTTTGAGTCTCAATTCAACATGGAGTACGGGACGTACGGTGGGGAAATTTCTGCAACACGTCAGGTAAGCGTTTGGCGGGCATATGATTGTTTCAGGTCCCGCTTAATAGGTTAAACCGTTACATTGAAATTCTGCCGCCCGGTCGCCACAGGCTTGAAAAATGCCTGCAAAACGGTTGGCCATTATATGTTCGTAGTTACAAGAGGATTTCCTCTGCTCAGCATCTTGTATTTTTGCTACATGTTCACATGGTTAGGTTGAACCACGGCGTTTCCGTGGCGTAACCTTATCCAACCACCTATATTCAAATTACTCCACCTGTGTGCCGACCACCCTGCTCACCAACGAACCCATGGGTGTCGCTGCACCCGCACCTCCCTACTCCCACGGTGACGCTGCTCGATTGGCAGCGCCAGCGCTGCCTCCTTGGCACGCAATGCCCAGCAATGTCGCACCATCACAGAACATGTTGCCACACATTCCAAAGCTCATTCCCCGTCGCCACACCCGGCTAAGAATCCGCGCGCAAAGCGCCCTCAGCCCCCAGCTCTGCCAGCAGCCCACAACGCGGCGCCCCATCAGACTCCGTCCTACTGTTCCCAGCAGATCTCTCCTCGCGCGAGGGCCACCCGCTGTGGCCTCAAGTCCTCTTCAAGCCCCTTCTTTCCCTTCACCAGCCTTCAACCCAGCAACTCCTCCATTTGGATTCTTCAGGCGGGCTGGGTTGATGACGACACATGCCCACCTTGCCCGTCATGGCATGCACCGGAACATCAATTCCGCCAATGGCCCGAAGCTAGAAGGGAAAGCACGTTGTGCTGCTGTTGCCACTGACGCAGCCACTGGCCTCGAGGATGGTCCAACGCCGCTTCCCAGCATGTCTGAGGTTCTGGTTCAGTACGACTGGATGCTAGATGCGCCCCTGGAGCAGCTCATGTCCAGGGCCGCCGCTCTTCGTGACAGCAGCCGCCATGGCGGCGTTGTGAGCTTCTCACCCAAGGTGTGGGTTTACATATAAAGCACGCATATAAGACACACAGGAGCTGCTGCCTGATGCAGCGTCGAGTGCCCTGACGCTCAGCAGCAGAGGCAGAGGCAGGGACGGGGAACGAGCAGTAACATACATCATCATTATAAACTGTAAAAAAAGACTGAAATGTCACAGCGCCGACATTACATCTGTCGGGCCGTGACTGATTTGTAGATTTTCGTCTCCCAGGTAGCGGCCTCCAGTGCTCATTTCCCCACCCACCCACATCCCCCCGGGTTTCCGCCCCACCCGCCAGGTATTCCTGCCGCTCACTCGTCTGTGTCGCGATAGCTGCGGCTACTGCACCTTCGCGCAGCCACCTCGACCTGGACGTAGGGCCTACATGACACTGGAGGAGGTGCTGCAGGTGCGTGGGAAGTACCGACTGACAGACGGACGGATGGATGGACCTATTCATTATAGGTTGTCGAACAGGCGAATGGATGGGTTGACGATTGGGCCAGCTGGATGACCAATTTGTCGACTTGACGCCTGCTCCGCGCCCGCGCGGTGGAAAGACTCTGGAGGGCTGGTCGGGTTAGAGGAACCGGGCACTCCTCACTATCCACCTTTTGACCTGTCTAAGGCTCATGCTTGCGCTCCTGGCGACCTGTATTCCACGACGTGGACTGGCAGGCGGGTATCGGTACTGGACTCTTCTCATGCAGCGGATTCGCCTCGCCTGCCAGGCCCGTCTCTCCGGGGCTTCTAGTTCTGTTTGACTCTGCGGCGGGATGTTGTTCTTTCCTGACTCAGCTGCAGCTTTCCTTTCCTTCTTTCCCTTTCCGGCGGCAACCCCCCCAACCTTCCCGCCTCTTGTTGACACCAGGTCGCTTCTCTGGGTGCCGCCGCGGGCTGCTCCGAGGCCCTGATAACCCTGGGGGATAAGCCCGAGGACCGCTGGGCGGAGGCGGTTTCGGAGCTTAGGGAAATGGGGTACGGCAGTACACTGGAGTATGTGGAAGCGGTGGCCAGGGTGAGTTTGGGTGGGGCCTTGAGGCTCAGGTTTGGGTGGTTTCGAGGGGGAGCTATGTGGAGTATTATGTGCCCTAGACCCAAACATCAACGGGTGGCCCGCGGCGGGTCCTCTGTCTGACGACTTCTCCCTTTCCCTGCGTCCCTGGCTTCCTCCCCTCCTGCACCTCCCCACCACCCACTCAAACCCCTGCGACCTCCCTTCCAGGGCCCCCCGGGCACCAACCCCCGGGTCACTGTGCTCTCTCACTCTCTCCCGCCCTTTCTACGTCTACGTCTGGTACACTCTTGCCCTGGCAGCAGCTTCACTCGTTTGTGGTTCGTCTTTCTCTCCCGCCCTCTCCCTCCCCCCGCCCCCGCCCCCTCTCACCCTCCCCCCTTTCAGGCAGTTCTTCGTGAGACAGGTTTGCTGCCCCATATCAATGCGGGGGTGATGGGGGAGGAGGAGATTAGGAGGCTCAAGAAGGTGAGGGAAGGAGGGGGGGTTGCTGGAGGGTGAGGGGAGGAATAACTTGCAAGAAGCAAAGCTGGAGGGGGGGAGGGAGGGGGAGGAAGGGGAAGAAATACCGACGCAGATCATTGTTTTGAATGTGGGGCGGCTCTGAGGCCTTCCTCTCCAGGTGGGGCCTATCAGGAAAAACGCGAGATAGAGCGATATAGACCAGGACTGAACACAGAACACATGAAGGCTCTGTGCAGATTGTACTGATGGTGCGGACAGGAAGGGAGAGGGACGGAGAGGAGAAAGAGAGAGAGACAGAGAGAAAGATTGACAGAGACGTGCGCTCTTTCCGTTGTGATGCTCATCTCCCCATGGCCATCCTTCCTTGCTTAACCTCCCTCGTGCGCCCGCATGGGTTTGGTCGGTTTTCCCCTCCCATCCTCCCTCCCTCCCTTCCCCGCCCACCCCGGCCGGCGCACAGGTATCCGCCAGTCAGGGCCTTATGCTTGAGAGCACCTCCCTGGAGCTTATGAAACCTGGGGCGCCCCACCATAACTGCCCGGACAAGCACCCAGCGGTACGACTGGCGACCATTGAGGCGGCGGGACGAGCGGCGGTGCCGTACACGTCAGGTGCCTAGCGGATACGGATATGGCCCTGGTAATAGTCCCTCGTATACCAACTCACGGGTTGGGTTGGTGATTTTAAGGAGGAGAATTTCCGGTTAGTGTCTTTGTGTGCGTATGTGTGTGTCTCTGTATATCATGGACATCTTGCACGTATTGGTTACATATCGATCCGGGCCTGACACTGGCCAGGGACGCCTAACCGCACCCCATCGGGAACGATCTTAAATGTGTTTTACCAGCCCGGATACATCAACCAATAAAGTGCTATTAGTTGTTGGGTACTCGTAATTGCGGTAGTAGTGCTCGTCCTTGCACTTATGTGTGTTTTTGAAGTCCGCCGCCCAAGCTTTTGTTCCCAATCCCGCCCTCCCCGTCGACCATGTCCTATTTCGCCCCACCTTACCCCACTCGACGTTATTCCCCTACCCTACCTCTACCCTGCCCTACCTCACTTCCCTGCTACACTTCCCTGTGTCCCGCCGTGTCCTAATTAGGCATCCTGGTGGGTATTGGGGACACCCGTGCTGACCGGCTTCACGCACTGGCATGTCTATATCGCCTGCATGAGCGCTACGGCCATATACAGGTGGGCAACGGGGGAGGGAGGAAAGGAAAACCTACCGCGCCCCCTTCTACCTCCATTTGTGCACACCGCCCACACATCCCCACCTTCCCTCACCCCCACCCCCATGCTTTTGCAGGAGCTCATCATTCAGAACTTCCGCGCCCAGCCCTCCACCTCCATGTGCTCTCACCCCGAGCCCCCCCTGGAGGAGCTGCTGTGGGGGGTGGCGGTGGCCAGAATTATGTTTGGACCGCACATGAACATACAGGTCGCGGAGGGGATGGGGGTGGGGCCCGAGGAACGGTGGGGCGAGGGATGGGAGGGTGGATGGGGGGAGAGCTGGGTGCGTGGATGTGTATTTATGTGTGGAGATGGGTGCGATGTGTGTTTAGGAGTGATCCGCGAAAAGGAAATGGCAATGAATGCCGGAACGCACACACATATACATGGATAGTGTGTGTGTGTGGGGGGGGGTGTTTGGGGGAGGGGGGTGAGGAAGGGAGGACATTCACCTACCCCACTCTACGCAGATAGTGAGCGTTACCTTCCTGAAAGAGCCGTGTGGGGGTCGAAGGCAACCACCCACCCATTAACATCCATGCGCCCGGTGACTACATTTTGAGAAACTTAGGGTTCGTGTGCTTCGGTGTTCAACGTGCGGACAACAGACAGAAAGACAGACAGTATACGTGCACACGGGCGAGCATCCTGTTAGATGAACTCGCTCCCCTTTCACCTCCTTTCCCCTCCAACGTAACCCCCCTCCCACCCCCCGCCCTCCTCTTCCCAACCCGCCAGGCACCCCCCAATTTGACGCCTCTGGAGTCCCTCACCCCCCCTGCCCCTGCTGCTGCCCCTGGCCCTGTTAGTGCTTCTAATGCGGGTGGAAGCAGCGGTAGCAATACTGACGGTAGTGGTGGTGGTGATGGCAGTGTTGTTCCCCAGTCCCAGTCCCAGTCCCAGCTATTGGAGTCCCTACAGGGCGGCTGGAGGGCTCTGTTGAATGCGGGAATAAATGACTGGGGTGAGTGGAGTTGGGTTTCGGAGGGATGAGAGCTTTGGCGGGATGTGAGGTGTGCTGGGGCACAACACAGGGCGAGGAGGGCAGGGGGTTAGGCGGGTAAGAGGAGAGGATGGGGTCTCTCAGTTGGCCTTTGCACGTGGTGGGAGTTGACCTTATCTTTGCTCCTTAAATCACCATTTGGTTTCCCCTGTCCCCTGTCCCCTTTTCCCCTGCTTTGTACTTCAGCAGTCTGCGAATTTGCATGTCAGCGGTCTGTTCCCGTGACTTCCAACATACAACCCCCGGTTCCCCCTCCCCTCAGTTTCGGATTTGGATTCGGATTTGGACGCCTCCCGGCAGTTCATTTCTGAGTTTCTTGCGTCATATGATTCCCCCCTCCCCTGCCCACCTCTTCCCCCCTCCAGGCGGTATCTCCCCCATCACTCGGGACTTCATCAACCCCGACAAGCCCTGGCCGCACCTGGCACACCTGGCCGCTACAACCGCATCAGCCGCCAAGACGCTGCTGCCCAGACTGCCCATCTACCCGGGCTACCTAGGACTGCTGCCTGGGGGAGGAGGAGGAGGAGGAGGGGACCCTGGGAACGGGCGTGGAGCTGTGGTCTTGGAGCAAGAAGGAGAGGGGGAGAGGGAGAGGGAGGGGGGAGGAGGGCGCTCCTTGTCCTGGCTTGACTTCAGCGGCGGGCGGGAGAGTGTGGGTGCGGCCGTGTTTCGGAGCTCCGACTCGGAGGGCTTTCTGCGAGCCAGTGACTGGGTGGCGGGGCAGGTGGAAGGGGGCCCGCAGGGGGGCTCGAGGACGGGGCCCGGGGTGGAGGCGTTGGAGATGGGGTTGGGGAGTGGGATAGGGCGGCCGGGGCTGGTGAAAGGGGGGGAACTGGGCAGCGGGAGGAGGGAGCTGCAGACGGATGCTGGTCAACATCGACGACAGCAGCACCAGCAGCAGAAGTCGGCTTTTTCTCCTGCCGTTGCACCTGCTACAGTCCCTGTTCTGGGCGCTGCTACCGATCCCCCTACTGCCCCGGCGGACGCGGGTTTTGGCCGGGCGGTGGTCGCGGGGGCGGCCGGGTCGCGCCCTGCTGTGCCCCTGCCGCGAGGGCGTACTGGTGGTGGTACTGGCGGTGGCGGCGCTCGGTGGCGTGTGGCTGTGGGGATGGATGGATCGCTCCAGGGAGCACCCAGACCTGCCGATCCGTCCCCCCGTGTGGTCAGGTCAGACGGGGTGGTGGCGGCAGGGGGGAGTGTGGGGGGCTGGGATAACTGGTGGGTGAGAGTGGTGGGATGGAAGAGTGGGAGCGTGGGGGTGGGGGTTACAGCCTTGTTCAATCGCTTACATCCTCCCGCTTGGTGTCATGTGTATGTATGTATGTCCGTCGGGCCCAGTGAGAGAGGGGGAGAGGGCGGAGATGTTGAGAAGGAAGAAGCCATGGGAGGGGGAAAACACGGCAGGCAGATGCGATGAGGGCAGGGTTATATAACCCAGATTGGGTTACAGAATCAGGTAAATAACCCAGATTGGGAAACAAAGTAAAGAGAACACGAAAGACACACACACAAATTAAAACAATTACGCACACCCCGGTCGGGCCGCAGCACCCCTTATGGAGGGGCGGCAGTTTGGGGGGTCGGCCGTCGATTGTTTTGCCTGTTGCTTGCAGGTAGTACGTCACCTCCCCCTATCTCATTCCTTTCCTCTTCCCCTAGGCTGTTGGAAGGGGTATTGTCGGGGGGTCGGCCCCTGCAGCTGGGGGAGATAGAGCTGCTGCTTAGAAGCCGGGGAGCAGACCACGAGGCCGTGTGTACGGCCGCAGACGAGCTGCGGCGCCGTACATGCGGTGACACGGTGTCGTACGTGGTCAACCGCAATATCAACTACACCAACGTGTGCACGTACAAGTAAGTGACACGTGTGTGTGGGGCCTTTGTGCCCGACCTGGCTGCTGTGCACACAAGCTGATTGGGGAGTTTGGGATGCTGGGGATGTTGTTGAGGTTGGTGGTGACGAGGGAGAACTCGCTGATGTGGATCCCGCAAGGGGGAAACTGGGAATTGGGGATTGGGGGGAAGGTGCCCTGAAGGGGGAACTCCCGTGTGTCGGTGTGTGTGAGTATGTATGTGCATAAGACAGAAAAGAGTAATGGAGATTAAGACGTGACGGGTGCTTTCCGGCCGCCGCGGGGCCTCACATCTGACTTCGCATTCAACATATATGGCGCACACGTGTCACGTATTATATCATAGGCATGTCAACCTGTATGTATGTTCACACACGCACACACTCACTATGATGGGCTGCGATGTGTGACAGGTGCTCGTTCTGTGCTTTCTCCAAGGGCCGTACGGCAGAGGAGCTACGGGGTCCCGCATACGTGGTGCCGTACGACGAGATTGCCAGACGTACAGCGGAGGCCTGGGACAGAGGCGCAACGGAGGTGTGTGTGCGTGTGCATGTGCTATATCATCATAAGTAAGAGGGCGTGACGTTTGAGAGAAAGTGTGTTTGTGGTCGTCCACATGCGGTCTTCCTTCGTGTGTATATTGGTAAACAGACGTACAGATGTACGGACGCACATACCCGGCTATAACGGTGTTGGCCCATCCCATCGGCACATTGGCCTTGTGGTGGGTCCCATAGGCATCCTCCCGCCCCAACTATAAACACCCACCCGCACAGCCCACCCACACCCACCAAAGCATGACACGCCCGGTAAGCCCCCCAACCCCTGCCTTTCGACCTTCCCTCACCCCGGGGCCAATCTTTCCCTTTTCCCATGTACACAACCCTCTCCCCCCCTCGCCGCAGGTCTGCATGCAGGGCGGCATACACCCCGAGTTCTCCGGCGCCACCTACCTGGCCATACTGTCCGCCGCCAAGTCCGCCGCCCCGCACATGCACGTACATGCATTCAGTCCGCTGGAGGTGCACCACGGGGCCACCAGCATGGGACTCACATATGAAAGGTGCCTGTGTGTGTCTGTATATGTATATGTATATGTGTATTCAGCTGTTTCTGCCGTACATGTACGCACGGCACATGTGCGTTATCATCACGACTAGAGATACCCAGATGCAAATACACATACGTGCGCAAACACCACTACGGCATATCTGTCTCTTCCACCACGAGATCTTCCCCCCAACTGCCCAATCTACCCACCTACCCAACCACCGGCAGTTACCTGGAGCGGTTGGCGGTTGCCGGGTTGGGCAGTTTGCCTGGTACCGCTGCTGAGGTGCTGCATGACTCCGTGCGGGGTGTGCTCTGCCCGGATAAGATTGACACGGCCACCTGGGTCAAGGTGAGTTTGGGGAGGTGTCACATTTTCTGCAACTCCGGTTGAAAGGAGCTGTCGCAAGGCAATTGCGAATCAATTTATATCAATACGAATCGGAACTAAAGCTCTTTTTGATATTCAGAAAGCCAAATCTTAATTTTCATGGTAGCGAATTTTGTATCTCTTCAGATATCCTCGGTAGTCGAGTGGTTTGGGAGGGCGGGGCGGAGGGATCACTGACTGGTGGGAATGGCAGGATTCCAATGTTTTTGAGTCTTTCACTTAAAATTAATTTCTCCTCCTCATCTTCATGTCCCCCTTTTGTGGACAAGTCGGCAGCTGGTTCCTTCTCTCGTGCTCATAGGAATCCTCCTCTCCTCCCCTCCCTCTCTTCCCCCCTGTCCCCCCGGTCCCCACTCGAGTCACGAAGGTGGTGAGTGCGGCGCACCGTGTGGGTCTCCGCACCACCTCCACCCTCATGTTCGGCAGTGTGGAGGAGGGGCCGTTAGCCTGGGCACAACACCTGGTCACGCTGAGGGAGGTGCAGCAGCGGGCGCAGGCGGCAGTGGGGGAGGGAGCAGCAGGAAGGGGAGGGGGAGGGGTGGGTTTCACGGAGTTCGTGCCGCTGCCGTTTGTACACATGGAGGCGCCCGTGTACCTTCAGGTGTGTGTACGGCAAGTTGGTGGAGGGGAAGATGGCGGGTTCGGGTTCGGTGTTGGGTTGGGGGAGTCGTGCGGGCAGGATTGGGCAGAGGCGGGGAGAGGTGTTGTGTACAGAGCTCTCTTAACACAGGAATCTACCCCCTCCACACACACACACACACAGCTACTTGAAACTAAGCCCATACCATAGCCCGTGACCACAGTCAAACACCACCAAAGCCTTTTGTGGCGCCCTGCCCCCCCTTCCCCTTCTGCCAAACCCACTAACCCCAACCACCCCTAAGCAAGCCCCTTTTTCTTTTCTTTTCCCCCCCTTCCCCCTTCCCCAGGGTCGAGCCCGCCGCGGTCCCTCCCTCCACGAGGGGGTGCTGCTCCACGCCGTAGCCCGTCTGGCCCTGCATCCCCTCATCCCCCACATCCAAGCCTCCTGGGTGAAGATGGGCCCCTCCAGGGCGGCCGAGCTACTGGGGGTGGGGTGTGATGACATGGGGGGCTCCATCATGAACGAGTCCATCACCAGGGCTGCGGGTGAGCAAGGGAGGGGTTTTGGGGGCGGCATTGGCGGAGGGAAGCTCTGGGGACCGGTATTTACCCTGCCGTCTCTGCTGTCGCCATCGTACCCTGTCGCACGGTCTTCTTTTCCGTTCAGGCGCTACTCACGGACAGGAGCTGGCACCGCTGAAGATGGAGGAGATTATTCGGGGCGCCGGCCGACAGCCGCGACAGCGGACGACGCTGTACGGCACGCCGCCGGCCGAGCAAACTGCTAGGTCATACAGTGCGGCGTCGCTGCAGCCGCTGGTGGTGTCTGGGCCAAGGGGGGGAGCGCTGCGCTGAGATCCGCGTCGCCCTGCCTCGTCCCGCCTCCTCCCTTACCATCTTGGCCCCCTGATTCCTTTTCCATCTCCGTCATCCCGTGTGTCCGTCCTGGCGGTCAGTGTTTTGTGAAACTAAGCCGCGTGGACTTGGCGTGAAGGCCACTAGGGATGATGGCAGGTGAGCGTGGAGTCATAGCGAATTTCAACCAACTGACTGCATTACGTCGTCCAGCGGGTGCAAGCAACTAATGGAAGAATCGTAACAGTAAACGAGAGAGAATGACCCATGTTCGGTGTTAAGTAAGTTGAGAGTTGTTGCTGTAGAGCGTCGGAGGGGGCTGCGCTGGGAAGCGTGTGGGTGATAATATGCTCTCTTTGGCCGTCTGCGATAGGCTTCTTGAGGGGCTTCTGAGCTGCTGCTGCTGCTACTGTCTTCGTCGCGTGTGTATGTACAGGCCGTAGGGGGTGGATTTAGAAGCAAGGAAATTAAGAGAGGAGAGGCGACCGAGGAGTAAGAGCGGTGCAGTGCCGCAGGCGGGGCCTGTTTGGCTGGTCGACGGTACGGTTTCCGTTGTGAGTGGGGGGCTTGTCTCTCAGCGCCACCGCAGGTGACTGCTTGCAGACACACACAGTCAACCCCCGCATGCACTGTCATGTATTCGTACATGCCATCGGAGTTTGGCAAACACTCGTTCGTGCAATTCCATTCATGTTGCAGTGTGTGGTATTGCAGTGCGTCGTGCGGATTGTTACATGAACGCAGAAAGATAATAGCACGAAATCTGTAGTCGCCTGAAGTAGAGAGGAGCGTTGTGCGACGAGAATTTCCGGCGTTTATTGCCCGGTTGGTGTAGAGCAGGAGAATGTGCAGATTGGCGAATGAGGTAGATAACCAGCGCACGTGGATGTGCCAAGATATTTTTTAGGGTTTTCTCAGGATGTACACGTACAGAATGTTTGAGCTCCATGGCCTTCCAGACATTAACGCTCACTACAACTGTTTTTGGCGCGCTATTCCCCGTACTGTTATGTATGGTTTAACAACCCTACCGACGCAGGAAAGAATGCTCTATCTGTACCGTGTATCATCTAACACGAAAAGTTATGAAGCAAGAATTCAAGCCACATCTTTTTTCCGTTGGGGCCCCCATTTATGGTTATTAGGTCGTATTTCCACAACTCAAAGCCAGCAGGTACGAATTTTTTTACAGACTGACTAACTAGACTACCAGTATGAACACGAGGCTTTCGGTGTGCCTTTCGCCCCATAACCCTCACGTTGGACTTACAGCACGTGTTTCCCTTGTAGGAAATGAAAATGCTGCCAGCCCTTAGCAACCGGACGCATGGCTCGCACAAGCAGCCAACTTCTTGGATTTGATCCCACTATATATTACATCCACAACAAGTCGCACAGTGCAAAAGACGCTCCTTCAACGACCCCATGGGAAGAGCTCAGCAACATATGCTACGTGCTTGCTTCACTGACACCATTGCGCGCAAATACACGCCAGGGAGTATGATGGCGGGCGACTTCTAACCCCAATACTTGCCTAGTGTAGGAGTTAGCAATACCTGCGAATCTGCGTGTCAAAGCCCATCTCAAATGCTTTTTCCCTAGTCTGACTCTTCTGCCACTGCTTGCTGTGAAAAGCGAAACCAGCATAACGAGAAAAATACGACAGCTCTCTCTACGCACAATATGCGTCACTGGGACAACAACGCTCAGTGCATGCAACCAGTGACCTTCTACCCATTTACACCCATGCTGTGAAATAACCAAAATGCAAGCCTCGTACATTGATCTGTAGATCGAAAATATGCCACCTACATGGCGGCTAAATTTTCAGACCTCAGCATGTTCACCGTCCCAGAGAAGATAGTAAATAGATCGGGTAACTTACCACCTGTGGCCAACTTTTCACAAAACGACCCCCCTTGTAGCGTCTCCAACCCCATCCGGCCCTATGATAAATGCACATGCAATCGGGATAGTGCCGTACCTGAACGGTACCAGAGAGTACCACATTGACGGCGCTCCACTGATGACTCCAAGCTGTCAACCATTACATTGCGGAGGGTTTTCAGCCGTACTGGCAACAGCAGGGACCTCACAAACCATTAATGATGGGTCACTGACCTGTACAGTGTACAGCATAACTATTACGCTGACGAGTCTGGAGAAACGAAACTGCGGCATTGCAGAAGCACAAAGTGTGACGCCAAGACTGCGAATGGGAGCTGCCTGGAGGGACGTCAGGGCAGTCATCGCGTCGCCCCAGAGTTGGCGAAGGGCTGATGCAGGGAAGCCAACAAGGAGCGAACGCCGTAACGCCATGTGGCAGGACGGATTCAACCAGCAATCCAGCGGCGAAACTTGCTCATCTGGGCGGGGTTGCTACACGCTACACACGATCGGTACCTGCTCCAGCGGCTCCCGCAAGTGTTGACGGCCATCCATGACGCTATCGTAGACTTGATGATGCAAGAAGGCGTGGACCAGACGTTTCCGTTTATCCTGTCCACCTTAATACCTGCAAAGAAAGAATCAAGTTTTTGTCCGTGCGTTGGGGTAACGGTCCGAAGGCCAAGTATCCAGGGTCACGGTGCCGTGGGTCGAAACGATTCGGGTTAGGGACACCGCGGTGGCGAGGACTTGCAGCAGCAGCATGGGTGCCCAGGGTAAGGGTAGCCTCGATCTACACGGCCAAGTTTCGTTGAGCCTGTGATAGGAAGTCGTTGACGCTTAGGTTCTCGTCACCGTGCGCCACCTTGGCCGTCACCTCTGGCACAAACAGTTTGCCCCTGGATGCCTTGGTGTCGAGCAGCAACTCAGTCCCTGGGGAGCAGGAGCAGCCCGGAGAGAGGGAACCAGGTTATCCTTAATGCAATAGGTACAGGTACCAATGTTACGAGAGAAGCACATTAAAAAAGGAAATCTCATTGCTGACATCGCAGCCATTTCCTGCCGCCCGTCTTACCTTTCTCAACCACAACAGCTCCGTGGTCACGCAGCCAAGCAGTACACTCCGCTACGCCCTCCTCCACAGAAGGGGCCGAGGCCGCCTCGCCAGCGAGGTGTGCGCGCATGCATCCCGGCAGCGGCTTCCCCTCACCCTCTGCACCCTGGCCCCCGGAGCTAGACGAATGAGGCGAAAATCCTAGCAACTGCGCCATCTCAGAAACGGGCAACGGAAGGTCGCACGCTTTCACGAAGGCGTTGAGGCCGCCCCACCGCATCACCTCCGCGACCACGTCCATGATAGCCCGGCCCAGGTGTGGAGCAGACGCGTATAGGCGGAAAAAGGCCGCGTAGTTGTAAGTCATAACTGCCTCACGGACCTGTCATGCAAAGAAGGCGTGGGCATGCAATAGAAGAGGTTTTCAGGCATCCGTAACCTACCTGGAATTTTAAAAATTGCATTGTATTGTATTGCGTGTATCAATGCTGACTACACCAAATGCTGGAACATGCACTTGCAAGCATGTAACTGATAAAAACAGACTCACCTGCAGCGCGTGCCGAATCTCTGAACTCCCCATTAGCTCGCGCGGGATGTTGCGGATCGTGTGCAGAAGTGACTTGGCCATGCCGCCGCCCCGCCACCCCGCTGTCGCACAATGCACGGTTTCGTAAAGCACACGGTAAGCGGTGAACTCTGCCACGCAACCCGGCTGCCCGTCAGCGTACAAGTGTCCCAGCCGCGCCTGGCATTGATTGAACTCAGCCGTGTCGCCATACTCGAGGCTACTGCGCGCGTGCGCCTCATATACGCGCACAGCCAAGCCATTTCGCAAGTGCTGCACAGTGCAGTCCTGACGCATGCCCTTGAACTGGTCCAGTGAGTAAAAGTACGAGGCTTCACCGCGCGCAATCATGGACACAAGGCGATCCAGGGCACGCTCCAAAACGGGTTCGGGACGCACGGTCGCGGGGTCCGGCTTGCTGGTAAGGCGGAAGTAAGATTTCTCAAGTGCCTGGCAGGTGCCCACAACCAGGCCGTCGAACCGCCGCGCCGCAACCTCCTCCTCATCCGAAAAGTCCATACCTGAGCTGTCATCATCCTGCACGCTGCTGCCCGACACCATCCCCACGGCGCGCCCATTACCAAAGCGACCCGCACGCGCTTGGCGGCGCACCTCCTCTACAGACAACGAGCCCTTGCCCCCACGTCGCCCCGACTGCTGTTGCTGCTGCTGCTGCTCAAGCTGCAACATCTTTTTACGTTTACGGTTGCTAATAGGCTGCGCGCCCCCTACATAATGCTGAGATTGCTTGGGAGTTGTGCCGCCGGACCCACGCTCAGCGCTGCGATTCTCCTCATCAGAATCGACGTCATGTCCCCTTTTACGGTACCCGTTCACGACAGGATGGTAGTCGTGGCTGTGGCGATGCTCGTGGTTGACGTGCACCTCCGGGACGGCGCCCCACCGGCTGCGCTTGCGGCCCGAAGTCCCATCCAAAGCAAGCACTTGATTCGAAGCTACGGATCCCCCATCGTTCTGCCCAGCGGCGGTGCCGGAATGCAGGATGGGTTCCGTATCCCAGTCCGTTGTCCAAAGCTTACCCTCATTCTTGACCTGTTCCAAGTAAGCCATGAGCTTTTCGGACACGGAGCTATCAGGAATATTGTGGAGACGGGCGGTATTGAAGCAACGTGTTACCCAAGCCGTGAACGCCGGAGGCCACTGGTTGCCACCCTGCGAAGAAGACTGCGCTGCCTTGGCGGCTGCCATCGCGCTGGCAGCGCCAGCGGCAACAGCAGCAGCAACGGCCGGGTTCCGGTCGTTTACGGGGGTGGTGCTTGTCGTCGCCGGTGTTGAACTCGAATCTATCGAGATATACGACGGCGTTGCGATGTTGATAGCGCGTTTCACCAGGGGTACCTGCGGGCGAATGACGATGGTCGACTGCTGCTTGCCGTCGATGGGCGTCCCAGCCGTCGACGTTGACGCACCACTAGGCTCTGTGGCGTGTAAACGGGATCCAAGAGGCACGGTATTTGGACCCGTGGGCCCGGTTCGATTGCGACCCTGTATGCCCTTCAGAGCCGATTGCTGGCCGTACAGACCCGATGGAGGCGGTTGGGCATTGTAGCCGTGTAGCGGCGACGATGCAACCCCCTGCTGCGCCTGCCAATCGCGCGAATCCTCACGCGATGAAGCCATCTTGCGTGGCTCCTCTGACGCAGTGGAAGGCTGCTGCTGCGGTGGCAACTGTTGGTGGTGAGCATACGCAGCTGAAGCATATGGATACGCCTCTGCTGACTGTTGCTGTTGTCGTTGCTGCTGCCAGTAGGCATACCATTGCTGCTCGTAACCTGGGTACGAATAGTAAGCACCGTAATTCTGCGCATACCATTGCGCATAAGCGTCCTGGCCAGCAGCGGCCTCGTTATTGCTATCTGCAACTGCAGTAAGATTAGCAGAGGAACTCTGAGGATTACTGCTTTCCTGGCCAGGTTGCGGCGGAGGAGGTGGAGGCGCTTCGCCCTGGGGCGGGAGAGGCGGAGCCGTCTTGGACGAAGAGACGCCTGGCAAGGGCGGCACATCTGACGAAGATGGCTTTAGTGCGTCCGACGTGCCAGGTGGAGGAGGCGGAACCTCCGGAGAAGCGCTGGCTTGCGAAATAGCATGCTGCTGGTATGCGGGCTGACCTGAAACTGCATACTGAGAACCCTGCTGCTGGTAATATGAAGACGTGCTATAGTTGCCATCATAGCCATAAGCCGCATAGTAGTCCTTGTAGTAATGGGAATCTGCCGCGCTCGGCGCAGCATAGCCCATGGCCGGATAAGCCATCATTCTTGTTGCCTGTGTAAAAGTGAAGAGAAAAACATTTAGGTTGGCACTTACAAGCAGGACAACGCTTTGAGCTCGCAGCAATTTTGGACCAAAGACGCACCTTCGTCAACGTGTAATATTCCGGCACATGAGCAAACGATTTGTGATTGAAAAGTAACCTGGCTACAGAAATCTGATATAAATGTTTAGCAATGCGAATGTTCTGTCTTTCAACGCTGTGGCCATAACTCCAGGAGGGCCCACCCTCTGTGAAAAATGGTTGCAGGAAGCTGCAAATGGTATTTTATGACAATTCTCAATTCTGTTTATCGAGGCTGAGCTTTGCAGTTGTTTGTGCCTTGTCTTCCGCAACGCACGATCTTGGGGTGTTTCACATTTGTCGGTTACCTATGTGAAAGACGCATTCCATAAGGTATTCATCTACACTTCTCGCCACCAACCTTTAAGCATTTTGTTTTCCCAATGGATACGAACCACATACCCATATTTGGCCTCCCCACCGCGACCAAAGGCGGAAGGTGGGCACTTGCTCATAGCTATGAGTTGCGCAGATATTTAATTATTGCAATGATAAGGCCTCGGACCAGTAACAAGTGCCGTCGTTACTTGGTTGTTGCCTCACTGCTGGCATTTCACGGAATACGAATGCCCATCTATCCACCAATACGTATCCCAATTCAACCTGATCTCTATCTCAGCCAACCAAAAAGCATTAGTACACAGGTCTTGGCATGATATCGGCCATCATCACTGCGGGTCTGGTACATACACCCTGGGATATACCCCGCCAGCGGACGGTCCCCTGTCCGCAACGCTGTACATCCTGACCGTTCCAGCGGACACCTAGCGGACGGTCATGGAAACGGTGGTCCAAAGCTCCAAAACATCTGTATGTAGATGATTCATGAGACGCTAATAATCAATGCTTCAGCTTGCACTCCTTGGCAAGCAATGAACGCGCAAAACACTCGCCAGGAGAAACTAACCGCAGATTCACAACGAACATAGTAAAAAGCCTTCTAGCATAAAAGGAGAAAGCAATCGAAAGGAAAAGAGACAAGATCCCCATAATGTTGAAGACGCGCGGCGGACATTCTAATGTCCTGTTTATATAACCTGCTTAGGTAACACCAACGCACTGGAACAATTGAACCATGCAGTAAGGTCGTTGCATTGGCCAGAAGAACTGGGCATTAGTGAAAGGGATTCAGCAAAGACTGACCGTAAAGACTGACCATCCCTTTGTCGGCTCTGAATGGCACAATACTCTACTGGGTTAATGATCATTTGGTAGAAATAGGCCATTGTATGGCATCTGAGCTGGCGCACAGCATGCGCACGTCCCCACGACCCGGTTACGCCCTTACACTGCATTCCGCCTGCCAGCTGTCTGTGCAACACAGCGCATGGCGGGCAGGCCAACGAAGCCATCCCAAAGCTTCGTTGAAGACTGGGGTCCCAAGCTCTCAGAATCCCAGGCTGCCAGGCTCCCAAGCTCTCAAAAACCCAGCCTCCGAGGCACACAGGGTCTCACAATCCAGGCTCCCAGATTCCCAGGCTCTCAGGCTGTCAGGCACACAGACTCTCAGAATCCCAGGCTGCCAGGCACACAGGCTCTCAGAATCCCAGGCTCCCAGGCACACAGGCTCTCCATCTGCCAGGCACACAGGCTCTCAGAATCCCAGGCTGCCAGACACACAGGCTCTCAGAATCCCAGGCTGCCTGGCACACAGGCTCTCAGAATCCCAGGCACACAGGCACACAGGCTCTCCATCTGCCAGGCACACAGGCTCTCAGAATCCCAGGCTCCCAGGCTCCCAGGCACACAGGCTCTCCATCTGCCAGGCACACAGGCTCTCAGAATCCCAGGCTCCCAGGCACACAGGCACACAGGCTCTCCATCTGCCAGGCACACAGGCTCTCAGAATCCCAGGCTGCCAGGCACACAGGCTATGTCGGCTTCATTGAAGCTGGAATAAGGGCGGGGGCCCCTGCATCGGTACAGGCCAGTAGCTAGGGCGGCACGTGTGGCAATGGATGGGTAGTGTCAAGGTGGTGGGAACTATGCTTGTCGCAGCAGTGCTGATGCTGTGGGAGCTATGCTTGTCAGAGTGCTGGAGGCAGGAAGCCGGGGCTCATAACCTGTTGAAGAGGCAGTGTCTCTGGAACCTACCAGACACGGCTAAGAGTGATTGGCCGTTACACGTAGTCTGGAGGTCCGCGACCTGCCACCGACAGCCCCTTGCTTGGGCTTAAACGTATGAGTCTGAGATGCCGTTGCCAGGGACAGCAGGGACTCGGCCGCTAGGTCCGCGGTCCAGGCCGGCTGCTCAACGCTCAGCAGACACAATCGCAGCTTGCGTTCTGGTGCCGCAGCCATAACACACACGGAAAACATCACCGTACAGCACCGTACGCACTGCCTGTTGTAGTGTAGTGCAGTGCTACAGGCCCATGAAGTATGTCTCAGGCCGGCACTGCCCCGACCACGGTATAAGACCGCGCTCCGAACGTGAGTAGAATATGAATTCTAAACAAACCCACGTCCGTTCTGTGACGATTTCAGTAAATTTATGGATTTCGGTAAGGCTGTCGTACAGATTCTTGATGTTCAGTTCCGGTGAATTCTTACAAACGATTCCTTGACAGCCATGTCAGTTTTCAGAAGATTTCATAGTCATAACTGATTCGCATATTTCTTAATAAGCTCATCATTACTGTGTAGCTATCGCGCTACAACAGCTGCCTCCTCCCCCCAGGAACCAGCGTCCTCGCTGTGTTCCGGGTGAGCTTTCCAGTACTCGGTAATCAGATTTCGATCGGAAATATCAAAAGCATCAAGCCACGTATTGTTTTCATCAGTATGTCCTTTCCATTTCACCAGAAATCGGTATAAGGTTCGTTTTCTCAGTTTACGGGTTTCGTGCTTCAGGATTCGTTCAATCGTCCAGACAGGCTTGGAAGTGACAGGGTCAAGTTCCAAAGCTTTCGGAGGCTGAACAGGTCCATCAGGGACGTCAGCACAGTAAGGTCGGAGTAAGGACACATGAAACACATCGTGGAATCGGTATTCAGGAGGCAAATCCAAACGGAAAGTAACGGAATTAACCATTTCAGTAATCGGAAAGGGTCCAATCCAACGGGGCATCAGTTTTCGTGTACCTTTCTGTATAGACAGTTTTTCGTACTCAGTAATACCTGTTGACCAACATGTAGGGTCACGGTACGTCGTTTCTTACTTTCTTGTTGTACGGCTCGGTCTTGCGCAGGTTGATAAAATCGTTTCGCAAGATTCAGTCGTTCATGAAACGTATCTACGTACACCTTAGCAGCGGGAACGGTATCAGCAAGTTCCAACTGTAAAGGCGTTCGCGGGTGGAAACCGTAGTTCAGAAAGAAAGGTGACTGACCCATGGTTCTGTTTCGCAGATTGTTAATCGCGAATTCAGCAGCATCGAGATAACGATCCCATTGTTCAGTGTCAGTCGAAACGTATTGTCGTAACATATCTCCAAGGATTCGGTTGATTCGTTCGGTTTGTCCATCGGTTTCAGGGTGAAAAGCGGTACTCGTGTTTTGTTTCGCACCAGCTCGATTTAGCAAAGCCGGTAAAAACAGATTCTTAAATCTCGGGTCACGGTCGGAAATAATCTTTTGTGGCATACCATGAAGTCTCACAACGTGATGAAACATTTTGACATCCCAACCAGAAACGGAGCCCATGCCCTTTCAGTTGGCCTATGAACCGATCCTAATCTCGTCATTACAAAAAGCATGGGCATGGGCCGCATACAACGCTTGTGTCCTTAACCGCCATCCGCCATCCAACAAACAGTGACAAGATTGTGCACCATTTCAGAGTAAACCGATATTAGTTGTTTTCCGAGACGCGCTAGGCCATGGTTAACCTATGTTGTGCAATACGAGTGCTTACCCCAGGCATCGCACGAGAGACATGCCTTGAGTAAATAAAAATATGTTTACATGCCTTAGGCTCCAACAATATTATTACTTCTTTGTAAAGTAAGCTCAGTGAGCTTTTAGCCGCTTCATGCTGTGGTCGACTTGCGCGTTCATGTCATTAAGTATAACACGTTGAATGACCCGACATATTCGTCACATTGTTTACGATGTCAGCAAGATTGTGCGCAGCAGCGTTGCATCGGAAATAGTGCCCCGCCCAGCTGCCGGATTCTATGCAGCATGGAAAGCGCTTCGTATATGTCTAGCTCTGTTGCTTATACAGGGACATAATGTCTTCAGCGCCTGCAGAGGCAGCACGAAGGCCCATTTCGTATCCGGGACAGGTTTTTCGAGGCTGGGACAACACCGGCACGGCCGGCTGCTTGTCAGCAGCTCGGGAGTGGCAAATGTATCAGATGGCTCCCTCTTTGTGGCCGCCTTGCGGGATCCAGCTGTCAAACGTATCGTTCTCACATCTCCACTGGTCGATGTCCCGCCTGATACCTGGGAGGCGGTCGGCGGCAACCTGCCCATCCCCATTACCCGCAATTTGACGTTGGAAGGAGACGAGGCGGACTGGCCGCTCCTGCGCCTTCATTACGTTAGGGACGTGGTGAGCAAAGACGGGCGTGCTGTGCATACTCAGGTACACTGTAGCGTTATTTCATACACAGACGTTCGATGGTGTGTTGTTAGTGCAAGGGCGGTGCATGCATACTAGGGACCCGCGCGTTACCCTTTTTCCTCAGTGGTCACTGGTCCTGATATCACAACAAGAGGACAGCGCGCACCATACACCCTTTCACACGCACCATCTATCAAGTTGCCAGCAGGTATTTATGGTGCCTGAAAAGGATGTCAAGCCGGTGTCATCATCTACGGTTTGAATGGAACGAAAGATTAACGTCCTGTGCAATATACGCATGTATGCTGTTGCTAGGCTGACAATGTCCCACATTGCTGCCGTACTTACATGTACATCTCGTCCGCCACCCTTGCGGTCCTTGTCATGTATCATCAGGTTCGGCTCATGGACACGGTCATCTGGGCTATCCGCTTCCTGTTCCTGGACGGTGCAAACGGCGACAACAACTATCGCGAACAGGGCAAGTTAGCTGACTTTACTCGCCTGGTGGTGTACACATGCATGCATACAGCCCGGAAAGCCACAGTGGAGCAGCTATTTCAAGTGCTGTTCATGTTGTTCGCTTCGGCTGCGGTTGATCCAGGACAGAGGTGTCGTACATGCCACGCGCTGGTAGCCAGTGCCGCCAGGCTTCATTCACCTTTCCTCCAACTAGCTCCGTCCCATAAGCGATGCACGAGGATGACTAACCCATCGCATCAAGCATTTCGCTAGCAGCTTGACACTGGCTACCTGATTGCGAGTCGATGGCGCTCACTACTGCCAGCAGGCGACGGCCCCATCAGTTTATTGCACGTTCAGCCATGCATGGCAAACTGATTGACCGGTGTTGCGCAGGCTTTTCCTTCCTGGCTCCCACGTTGCCAAACCAAGAGTCAGAAATGCAGTTCGGGCCAGCAGCCATGTCAATGAGTAAGTCCAACCAACCATGCGTATCTTGATGCCCAACATCCAGTACAGCCGCACATGGATGCATCCACCTCCATGTGCTGATGATATACACTTCTTTCATCACTGGTATTTGGGAAATGCATGCACGTGTTGATGCGGGCATGAACATACTATTTACACTGGTATGCCAGCACTCACTACGCACATGCATACTGGTAATGAGCAAGAGGCCAGAAAGTCTATTCCGTCAGCATGGTGCCTGGAGCATGCACTCCTCCATCCATTCACGCACGGACAATCCCGTTGGCTATGTCCTGTTGCCATCAGCAGCATCAGCAGATATCATAAGTACAGCAGTCGCGTTGGTACGGTGTGGGCTTCTTCAACAGGGCGCATGTAATGTAATGTTGTTACAGAGTGCGAGGCTTTTGGGCTGATCGGGGGTGCATATGCATGTGCGTGGTGACGGGTTTCACTCACCCCTGCTGCACCCGCATGTGTCGCCAGGGTTCGGCTTCCCATCCAAATTGAAGCTGCAAACCGTTAAGGCAGTCGAGAGGCCGGCGAAATACCCGAATGCCAAACAGCTGGTCCTGCTGAATTACCACTATCCGGAGGTAGGTGGCTAGGTTGCACGCATCGCCTGCGTGCTCGCAACATTGCCTTGTGCTGCCATGAAGGCCTGCGTGGCAGCTTACTTGCCTACAGGCAACAAGTGGTTGTTGCAGAGTGGGAGGCTTCTGGGCCAATCAAACACATTTGGATTGTCTATCTAGGGTTGAACACCATACACCGCCGTCCACCACTATCACACTGTACTACGCCATACGAACTGGAAGTCCAAGGCGGTTGATTCTGCCTTCTAGAATCCTTCCGCATCATGTCACCCGAACATCCGTCGAGACAGAGGTTTCAGCGATCTCGCCACCAGTCCAGCATGCGAATCTCGGTCCATGAAGAGTGACCTCAATTTACCATCTCCGCAGCTAGCCACAATCTCACGTTTCCGACAATGTCGGGGGTCTACCCAGGAATCACATACCCTGTAGGAGTTTGCCTGCCTATGCAGTGATCATCTTGCTGGTTAAGCCTTGGTCCCTGTCTGCAACAGGTTGACTGCCGCAACGGGTCCTCCGTGCCGCCACTGCAACGGTGTTGGCCAGATGGTGGCTTCGTAGTGGAGATGGCTGGTAACGGCAACCGCATTGACCCGTCCTCAGACCAGCCCGTCCCCACCAACACCATATTCCTTCTTCAAAATGTCACCGTCCGGTCTGAACATCCCGTGAACATTACGTGCCTCACAAAGCAGCAGGCCGCGCCCCTAGTCTGCTATCAGGAAACTAAGCGCCAGTTTGAGAATGTTACGACGTCTTTCTTAGACGATTACCGACCAGATCCGCTGCTTCGGGCCCTTGATGGTAATGCCTCTTCACCGCAAGTGAAGCAGACGCAGCGGCAGGACAGCGCACCGCCGGCGGCAAGTGGCGCGGAGGAAGACCAGGCCCCCAGCCGTGCAGTGGTAGTAGGGGCTGTAGTGGCAGGTGGGTGGGTGATGCTGGACAGGGCGGGGTGGGCAGAAAGACAGCGGAGTGAAGGTACACGTGCATATTCTGCACATGCCGCATGCCAAAAAGGCGGTTCGAGATGTTGTGCAGGGAGCATGTTTCTTGCTCCTATTATCCAGGTTACGTTTCTGAATATATCTCTGGAAAAGCCACTCCTTGAGGACAAGGATTAAAGATCGCAAGGTTGCAGATCCGAATCCAAGATGGATCACAAATGGTTCAGAGAGTGCAGCTTGTATAGCCCAGTAGTAGGGTTCGAGACTGTCCCCGGCTGGTTATTGGCCCTGTGCCATGGTTAGATGCACAGCCCGAGATTAATGGCGGCTGGCTTGAGTCCCCACCACATCCCGGCGGGCAGAGGCCTACCACGAGACGACATGTACACATACAGACATGAGCTCTAAGTCATACACAGACATGAGCTCATAACCATGACCTGTTCATGCACGCAAACACAACACGTATGCAGGGACCGTGGTTACCGTGTCCCTAGTCGCGTTGATGGTGGCTGCTGCAGCGCGCTCGAAGCGGCTGCAGGAATACTGCAAAGATGTTGGCGGCAGTCGCGCGATCATGAACATTCTTTCTTTTTTGACGAACAACTTCGGTCGCAGCTGCCTGCAGTTGAGAAGGTAAGGGAGATAGACTTGGTGTCACACACACAGACACATACGCACCCAGTCGCTCCCACCACCCAGTCATTCTTCTCCACTACAGCGCCGCGTGTTTATACGGGTTCTTGATATCACGCTTCTATTCAACATCTCCTTGAAAGATTTAAGCAATGTTTACAGTTTTCCACTGAAAAGTTATAAGACGTCGCTGGGCTACAGAGCTCACTTCGGTAAAGTTACTCTCGTGTACCCCCATCGGCACTTCCCTTATCGCGTCTCAGATCATTAAAACACATGCACATGCACGGTTTTGTGAGAAGCTAGCAACACATAGCCCTATTTGCGTAGTAGCTGCGAGTTTGTGATACGGGATGACTTAAGGGGGAGCCCGCCCTAGATCACTAACTGGCGCAGTAGCAATCCTTTGTGTGGGGTGGTGTATTTGAGTCATGCCTTCCTAGCCGCTCATCCAGTCATAACAAATGCTGCTGGTCACCCATGTAAGCCGGCCGTCATGCTTGCACTTTTCCTTCATGCGACGTCTGCTGCTGCTAGCTCTCAGTTGTTCCATGCCCAGCCCCCATTGCTGTTGTATGTGACGTATGTGCGTATGTGTGTATCTGCCAACAGTTGCCCAGGCCCAGCCTCTCAGCTGAACATTACTGGTACTGCTTATGAGGACGGGAGCGGCGGACGCGGGGCCTCACCTGCGACCCCCCGTAACCACCTTCCCAAGTCAGGCGAGTCCGCCAGTCAGTTAGTTGTGACCTGGCGGCTGCCTAGCTGCGTTGTATGCTGCGGCGTCCCTGCATGACAGAATATATTGCTTAGGTCGCGTCAAATGATGAGGTGCTTCAGTTCTCGGCAGTGATTACCGTACGATGTAACTACTAATAGATGCTTGCTGCTGCCTGTCCATCCATCCGGCATGGTTAATATTCCTAATCACTGCTGCCCTTCCCTGGTACGGCTGTTCCGCTTACCCCCCTACTACTGCAATACCAGAAGTTGCAGCGGAACCAGGGGAAGTGCAGCCTGGCGAGCAGGAGGAGGTGGTGGGCACCAGGCCGACCGTGGTGACGCATCTGGAACAGGCTGCTGTGGTCATTACCCTAGACACGCGGCCGCAACCCAACCTGGAGCTGCGTGTGCGGTTAGTGGACCCCGGCGCTGATGCTGAGGCTGGCAACAGCAGCAACAGTCCCACAGCAGGTGCCGTCACGGGTGTCGTACCCCTGCACTCGAAGGAGGAGGAGGTCAGCGGCAGTGGCAGCGGCAGTGCTGGTGGTGCACCTCCCTGTACTGGTAGCAGTGTGGTGGAGCTGTCTTCGGTGGTACGCGGCAAGGGCACCTTTGGTCGAGTGGTGGAAGGTACTTACCGGGGGCAGCAAGTGGCTGTGAAGCTTCTGGCCAGCGACGGGCCCTGGGGGTGCTCCGTCGAGGCCTTTGCCTCCAGCTTTGCGCAGGAAGTGCAGGTAGGGTGCATGGGGGTGGGCTGGGGGTAGGTGCGGCTGGGTTTGGCTCCCCCCACGCCATGCATAACGTGCAGGCACGCGCACACCATGTCACTCCTCACAAGTCTGTTAGCCAGATGTGTCCTGCAGTGGCGAAGTGGTGCATGCTACTGGTGCGCTACAGTTCCTGACAGTGACTTCGTACATCGTCCTTCATCCGTACACCTAGGTGCTGAGCCGCTGTTATCACCCAAATGTTGTGCGATTGCTGGCGGCCTGTGTGGAGTCGCCGCGGCTATGTTTGGTTCTGGAGCTTATGGAGACTTCTCTGGATTGCCTTATGTACGGAGACCCGACAGCCCCACCGATGCCGCTGCCTAAGGCAAGCTAGTACACCATAAATATGATGACGTGTACATATGTCGAGATAATTGCACCAGAAATGGAGCTGATAGTCGACGTTGGGTGCAGGGTGGTAGGTGGTAGGTGAAGAGTTGTAGTGTTCCTTCACGTGCTCACCCTCCTGCCTGCCTGCCTGTGCATGGTTCGGGTGTTCATCCCATGCCATGCCGGCTGCCTCGGGGCGCTTTTGTGCTGCCTGAGGCCTGCACTTACTAAACATGGTAAGGATCATGAGAGATAATGGGAACATTGGCCGGGCCTTGTCGTGCATCCGCCCCAACAAGCCTCAGCCTCAGTGACGACCTAACCATTGTTAGGTATCTCCACCAAGGACACGGGAAGCTAAAACACTGCTTCTGCCACGACTAACCAACCAGGCAGGGCCCTGCATGCACGACCCGGGCGCCTAAGTGTGCCCGCATCCATCCGTGCCCCACCCGCTCCTGCTGCTGCTGCTGCTGCTGTTACCCCGTCAGGTGCTTCATATCGCCATATCCATTGCCAACGCGCTGGCCTACCTGCACCCCACCATCACTCACCGGGACCTCAAGGTATGGAGTCGTACGATCGTTTGTAACTTGTACATGTCAATGTCGTTCGTGTAGCGGCTAGCTAGCCAGTTGTCAGCGAATGACGGACATCTCGCGCATTTAGGTGTATGTGGCTTGGGAAATTAGGAACGATTCAGCTCGAAGCTACTCGACCTGCTCGGTGCCTTCGCCTTCACTGCACCCCTCCTTCCTTCCGCTACCTGATACCCCCTCCTCTCGCCCCCGCCCTCGTTCCACTGGTGCCTCTGATGTGCCGCTGGGGTATGGGCGGCGTGGAGTGCATCCGCTCTTGGTGCTGCATGTGGCTCATTCCTGCCCTCCCTTTGCCCTCCCTTCCCTGTACCTTCTGCCTGGCCGTCTCGCACCTATCAGCCTGCCAACGTGCTGCTCAACGACCCCCACAGCGACCGGCCCACAGTTAAGCTTGCGGTACGTGACTCGTTGTGAGTTGAGGAACTGAAGAAAAAGAAGCCAGGTACAATGTGGCCCATTCTATTTGGCACCTGCAATCGATTCAGCGTAGGTAGCCCCACTGCATCTTATAGTTATGTGTGTAGACGTATGTACCCCCAACTGGTCAGTTGCATGCCGTATGAAGCTGCGTACCGTAACTCTATCGATTCCTGCAGGACTTTGGGCTGTCTCGGCTTCGTGTGACGGTGGCTCCAACGGAGCATCCGAATGCGGGCACGGTGAGTGGGCGGGTAAGGGTAAAGTGAAAGAGGCGACAAGGACCGCAGGATTGAGGAAAGGTAGGCTGCCAGGACGGGGGCAGTGGAATCACACAATCCAAATACGACTAATTGGTGCCCTATGGTGGAACTAACTGTACTCGGCTCCACAGTAGCTCAGGAAACCTTATAGTGAGCATCTATCTACTCGCCCGGGAAACCCTAATCTACCGGTATGTACCGGTGTGTGCGGCACTTCTGATGGTCTGAAATGTAACAACCTCACCATAAATTTATGGCAGCCAGCATGGCATGGCCAAGTTTCGTAGGCTTCTTTAGCTGCTTTCAGCGTCCGCGGTGGTGGTGATGGTGACAGCGTCCATAGTTTGTGCATGTAAGCGCCGGCCAGCCATTCCTCTCTACCAAACTAAAACCGATTGATCCGCTCACCTCCCTCATCAACAATCGCCGTACGTTCACGACACTCTACCTGGACCGGACTGCTCGTCCATTCAGCCCGCATACATGGCACCGGTGAGTTCATTCACCATGTTGGGGTTATTCATCATGGATGCCATCGGGGCTCTGTGGCTGGGATTGGGCGGGGTTTCCTTTCGTCAGCTGTTCATTGGCTGCTCTGCTGATGGCTTGCAGGTTACCCAGTTATTTTACTTGTTGATAATAGGGAACCTGGCTAGAGTTCTAGATGACCATTGCCTTGTGGCCCCTGAAAAGCATTGGGTCGGCCTCTGTATGTAAGCCGAGTGTGAATGTATGGCTGTATGGATTAGGGAGGTATGGGTGCATCTGCCCCTACTACAGCTACTCTGACGGATCAATGGCGGCGATAACTCCATTCCAGACTCTTAGGCCAATGGATTTGGGTATTACGCCATCAATTAGCAGGAGGGCACATTCACCTGGCGGACCAATAACCTCTACACCCCGACACCTTTATACGCGCCTTTGTTTAGGCTGAGGTGTAGATTCAAATTGTATTAGATTTATTATATGCGTTTCTCAGTTACCTAGTTGGTAATAGGAGAACTGGCTATGATTATGAATGCCTTGCATGTGGTTGGACACTGTAAGCTGAATGTGAGTGTATGCATGTATGCATGCATGTATGTATGTATGACTTAGATTACACTGTGGGCCGCGAGAGCCGGGGGCCGAAGCCGAAACACAGCGCAAGGGTCGCAAGGGTCGGGAGCACACAGCATACATATGTATGTATGTATGAAGGCATGCTTTTCCATTCCATACCTTCTTTACGTAAAAGCATCTCGTCATCTATAGATCGTGCCCTGGTATAATAGATAGGGACCGTCCGTTTCTACTATACCAGGATCCCAACCATAGACGACCAAACGTTTTGAAGACGCTGTCTGCACCTGTTTACCCAAGCCTGCCTATGTCTAGGTTTCTCTATCTGCCTACGCCATACCGAATCCTTGGTGCCACACCCGCCTTGCTGCTGCACATATGCACGTACACAGGAGTGCTTCGACTTGCAAAACCGTCAGGTCACACATAAAGCGGTAAGGGAGGGATCCAGTGAAGGCGTGCGGGAGAGAGGCAGGGCAGATGAGGGAACCCACTGACATACTGCGGTGTGGGAAGGGGTATCTCGTATCACAGATGCAGGGAGCTAGCAGGCTGACGATTTACGTGCCCTGAGTCGACAAAACCAATCACCTGGGCTACCTAACTGGCAAGTGGCCTGCAGTACATACCGTTTTTGTGCTTATCCTGTGCGCGGGTCCCGCAAGCAGGCAGGCTAGGCCGCACTGTCACTGCCACAACCTACCCAGCCCCGTCATATAACAAGCAATGGCTGGCATCTCCGCATGGTCAGTGTATCCCACGTCTCTCGTCATGACGCCGTAGCCTTCATGTTTATGTGTGTGTCGTGGTGATACTGACACCGATGGCCGCCTAATAGCTGTGGCCTCCGCCCTCACCACGCACCCTGCTGCGCCCTCACCAGGACATGTTCGCGCTGGGTGTGCTGCTGTGGGAGATGCTGGCCTGCGAGAGGCCCTGGCCTGGAATGAGCCCGCTGGAAATCGGCCTGACGGTGGGTGCAGGCTCGGGTTCATGACTGATGGTGATGGTCTGATCACGAACAGTCTCATGGCTGCAGTGGCATGCTGTGTGAACCGGCCGTTCAACTGCTGCTTTGGACCGCTAGCTCTCCTGCTGACCACCTGGTCTGGCAGGAGCCCTGCAAGTGTGAAGACATGTACGGAGGTTCAATGCCCCCCCCATGCTAATACACAACAGTCCAGTGGACCGGCATGCAAGGACATCTGGGACCTTGCAGGACGGGCGGCAAGGTTGGAGGTCCTCTCTCTGTCCTGGGTTTCCATCCAGCAATGTATTCGGGAAATCCCAGCCGCTACTCAGCGTGAATATGTGTCCGCATATGCAGGTAGCGTTCAACGGTATGCGCCTTTCCCTGGATGAACTCCTGGCCTCCGAGCGCTGCCCATCCAAGCTGGGTCGTCTGCTGCTAGCCTGCTGGGAGACGGATCCTGACCGACGGCCAGCGGCTGCAGAGGCAATCAAGGAGCTGGCGTTGATCCTGGTCAGTAGTGAAAAGGGGCGGATGAGCGAGGCAAGTTCGACATACATAGCTGGGAAGCTGCAGGCAAAGGAGGGGCCGATATTGTGTATGGTCATACAGTCGTTTAGTCAGCAGCCACACTTCGTGCCTGTTTCGTGTGTAGCCATTGAAAACCGCATGAGAGATCTTGGGTTATCCTGCACTGATTTTGTGCTTGGTTCCCTAACACACATGCGCCGCGCATGTCCTTCCCTGCATGCATTCACATACGTCTGTATGCCTCCGCTCCGCCTCTGCAACTTCAGCAGCAACCGCAGGAGCAGCAGCTGCAGCCACCATCCCTGGTCAACCCGCCTGCCCTGCAGCAAGGTCAGCAGCTCCGATGCGAACAGCAGCTGGCGCGCGGACCGCAGCAGTCCAATGTCCGGGCACAGCTCACGGATACCATCGAGGTGGACCTTTGGGGTGATTCCTCATCTTCCAATTCAGTCCCACAAACAGGAGGAGCGGCTCGAGGAGCAGCAGCAACAGTGGCCTAGGCTAGCTGCGGTAGACCAAGGGCGGCTACAGGAGGGTGGAATTTATTCAAATTGCGCACGCAGGCGCCAACTATGTGCGCATAATCGTAAATGTTTTCTTCTATTCTTGAATCACTTGGAAGTGTATTAGCTGGGTCCATATATCCTGGCTGGCTTGCTCGCAAGTGCATGGTTGCATCTTTCTAGGCTTGGGCTCTTCCGGCCGTTACGTACGTGTCTTGTGTATGTGATTCATATCTGGATGCATTTTGCTCAAAATGATGTGGGTGGGACTTAGACGCATTGGCGCCCTGAACCGCAAGGTAAGGAGGGGTCAGCTCCCTTGGCATCTCTCGTAGTACACTCTTTGGCGGGTCTCTGGTGCGAATTGCTAAAAGTTGGGAACTCCTCGGATCGAAACCGGTCATAATCATAGTGCTCACCAGGCACGATGTAGCATACTTTTACCCCGAAGACGGATTCCCGGGTGGGCGAGAAGTCTACCAGCTGAGTAAATAATAAAGACCTCCATCTCGGAGGGGGACGGACGAAATGTCATAATAACAAATAAACTCACAATTCTACGGGATATCAATCAACCATAATCCTACGGGATATGCCCGGGGGCGCCCGAGGACGTTTGCTCGAGGGGGAAAGGAATGTAACAAGGGTTCAGCCCCCTTGGCATCTCCCTGAGCACTCTTTGCCTGGTCTTACCGACATGCTTAGTAAAGTACTGTGCACCTGGACGTGTCACCATATTTGAGGGCCGCATTTAGGCGCTCAACGCGGTTTCCTTGACGCATGTGCACAACGCATATGCGTTTGTTGGGCGTGCACAGGCTAATGTTGCCAGATGGCTCGACATACCACCAATACAATGTGTAAGGACAAAAACTTGATAAGAAGCCAGGAGCGAAATTGCTGAAGCCGAAGGCAGGGAGAATGCGATAATCTTTGCAAGAAGTTGTGATGTGTGTATGGATGCATGGATGAACGCTATGCATATGTGTATTGAATGGAGGCATATGCACCTGGGACGGTTAAGGAAACACAGTAATACCGTACGACTGTGTGTGCTGACTATTTTGCAGGTCGGCGGCCATCCGCCGTGACCGCGTCCTCTAGTTCGTTTTAGTGCCACGCTGCCCAGGGAGGGCACCTGAGGTGTGTGTTTTGCCCTCAGGCCCCCTAGCGCTGGCAAGGGGCTTCTGTGGGGGCAAAGGCCTGGAGCGGGTGCCGTACACGGAGGACGCTGGCATGAGTAAATGTTGTGCTGGCCACTTTATTTATAAACCTCCAAACGCATCACTATGACATTGCGTTCGCAACATCTTTTGTGGTTGGCCTCTCCTAGTTTGGAGCTTACTAGCATATAAACAGGCTTTCCTTGCAATTTGCAATTAACCATGCAATGATTTCCGGTTTCCAATCGGATCCTTACACATGCACGTGGTGTGTACGTGTATCGTGAGCCGTAATGTCTCGAGGCGTTCGTTAGCTGCTTGCTTGCTACTCACGTATGGTGCGTGCGTGTATGCGTGCCAAGCGTCTGTAATGTATTGTATGGTCTATAGCCAAAGTCATCGTATGGTCGTATGATGGGATCGAGGAATAGATCGTTTATAGGTGTACAGTATGCAATGGCTTACAGATGGACGAGCAGACAATACCACATTACCCATGCACGTGTCGCCGATCAGGCTGGTTGCGGCAAACCTGGCAGCGGGTGGCTGTCTGTCTGTATGTTCGTGGTGCATGGCTGCACTGCCGGCACGTACGGTCTGGCGCTCCTGCTCGCCTGCTGCCCACTGTTTATAATGCATTTATGCGACTACTATGTTACTAATTATGCATATAGGTGTGGCACCTCAAGCATCAGGAGTAATGGATGACGGTCATAAATTTGTTCTTAGTTACTGGCTAGGATGCCCCAGCCAGACGGTGATCTTCGCGCTGTTGACTTTACGGTATTCCGCCAGGACATCCATTTTCCGAGAATATGGTACGTATGATGATGTGCACAGCAGGTCTCTGTAGTATCTGGTACACAGTACGGCACACATATCAACTACGAATACGCGCGACGCGCTTGATTAGCATCTCGGGAGGCCCTTTCAGCGGATGTCCGGATGAATATGTCGTTACGAACTAGAATCTTTCAAGGGCCACATGTAATGCAGTTTATGGATAACGAGCCACGCTATAACGCATAATTAACTTGCGTCGGGTGTATAGTGAACGAGGCTTGGGAAATAGCTTGCCATACCGGTACGTCCGTATCCGGGTGGTATATGTTGACGTCGAGGGTCGTTCCACTTGGCGTTACCCCGTTCGGCGGTTTGGTTAACAAATTTCCTAGTCGGCTTCTTAGAGGCCCTTCCAACAGAAGTCTAGAAGGCCTTCTTCGGTGAATAACGACCGTATAAGCAACGCCACGTACTGGAGTAGTCGGAAGTTGGCGCACTAAAAACCGGGCATTCGAGCGTACAGTCGCGCGCCAGCTCGGTGCTACGGCAGTCACCCCAAGCCAACCAGTCCACAGCCGTAAGGACGCATGCAAAAGCAAAAGGGAGAGGCAGGCAGAAGGGTGCTTAACAAGCAGCTGGGTACCGTGAGTGAAGCAGTGATTTAAGTCGCTGTGAGAGTGAGGGCACCGGGTCTATCGTGAATGTCGGAAGCCTTCAACGAATCACACATACACTCAAGGACGAGGCTGAAAACCCAACACACGCAAACAGACAAGGTGACAGTGACAGGCTCCTCGCACGCACAGACACACGTAATCATGTACGGCTGGTGGCCGGTAGCGCTGTCCTGTCTTTGCTGTGACGTTTGGCTGACCATCTTTCCTAGGGTGCCATTCTGGGCTGACCCGAGCTGAGCTGCAACGGCTGCTGTTCCTGCTGCTACCGGCCACCAGCCAGACATGAGTGCGCAGTCGTTGCAATGACTCGGAACCATGCCACGAAACACGCTACGGATAGGACACAGGATGTGGCTTCAATGAATAAGGTTAAATATGCTTGGCCGCTCATGTTATATCTGGGACCGCAGGTTACATGGCGAAAACCCCGGACGTCAGCTCACATGACACTAACGCCATACATGGATGTGCGCGTGAGTATATGCCGCATCTGCGCACTCGTGCATCTGCGCACTCCTGCATGCATGCCGCGGGAAATGCTGGGACCGCACGTATCCCTTCGTGTCAACTTTAGTACTGAAGGCTGCCTTGCTGGTGCCCGCAGCCTTCGGCTATATGTGGTCTTCCCCTGCAAGAAGCATTTAGCATACCGTCGGTTTACCCTTGCACCATGCATGCTTCCCAGCAAGTCTAGGCATGACCTTTAGTTGGATGATCAGTCCCAGCAGCCTTTTCGCAACACAACAGACAACCTTGCCTGACCGTCACTGCGTCCGAATGGGTAGGTACCAGATCTGATATACGTACTTGGTTGGACTGTGAACCAGAAGTGTGGGGTGTGTCCTGACAGCGTCCCTAATGTAGTTTTCAGATCAATATACTACAGGGGGATTTTGGCCATACGTGTAAATACACGGCCAAAACGGCTTCGGTTTAGGCACATCCTGTGGCCTTGGCTGGGTGACATCCACCCCTGAAACTGCGCTCTACATGTACAGAGGTGAATCGGTTTATGGAGGCACCAAAGTTGAAAAAGCTCCTTCCGGGAAATACCTTAGGATTGGAGCGGTCAATCCGGTCTCCTCGTAAACACCTCTATACAAAGCATACATTGTAATTGTAATAAATACTGTAAATTTTATTATGGTCGGGAGATGGCTCTCCCCACCACAAGCGTCCCCTAATTTGCCTCGGGGCCTACGTCACCTGACGCTGCTGCCGAATAATGACAGTGGATGACGCCCCCCGGTGCATCCCCATGCATGGCAACCCCGGGTTTTCCAGACGCCCCCCCACTGTACGATCTTTGTAACTTGTTACTCCAAGATTTCGCAATCGCCAGATTGCTGAATTGCCAGTCGCCGCATTTTCATCTGCTGCTGGTATATGCTGTGCTTCAATGGCTCCAGGGCGTCCTGTTGACTTGAGGCAGCGCTGTACACATATGTTAATATTTCCATCCAAACAAGCTGAGAATTGCGGCTCCTGTGGCCCCCGTAAACCCCAGAGTAAATGCACAAATGAACAACAATTGAGGCCTGCCTGTCTGTCTGTCCGTCTATCTGTCTGTCTGTCACATGCCCGCAGCCCCTCAGAACGGCGAAAGAATATTAAAGGGTTTGCAAGAAGCAAGGCTACAACATTTGCAGCTTCTGTACGAACTTCCTTGTACGAAAAATTCATCGCCTGGTGGCGCTGGCGGCGGGCATTCGCCTCTCACCACGCACAGGACAGTGCAGTGCATGCAGTAGGAGAGAGCGCACCTCATCACGCCACAGACTCGATACAGTTGCCATGCCACCGCCAGCCCATCTGCCGCCCGCCACATAACACGTCCTCATGACACCCCTGAACCCCGGTACCGGTCTTCCAAACCACAAGTACGACAGCCGTACACAGCCCATCATGTACGAGAATAACTGCAATCGTGCATATATTTTTGCGGGCTCTGTATTATTTTCCTCTACACGCTCCCCACCGTGTCACCGTATGATGACACCGCCGCCGCTGCCACCAAGCGCCATCTGCCGCAGTTGTGGCAACTGCCGCAACTGCGGTGGCGGCAGCACAGCCTTGTCGTACATGCGCGGAAGGAGCAACATGCCGTGTCCGAGCCCCAACAACCCGTAGGCCTGCCGCAACGGCCTAGCACCACAAGCCCTGGGAGGTAAGCTGTTTGAGTCCTCGGCCCTGCCTCCTCCACACCCCAGACCTACACGCTGGCCAGATTCCACATGCTGTTGCCGTACAGGACCCCCGGGCGCCCTGGAGGCCGCAGCGTGGTTATGGTGTCGCAAAGCGCAAAGACCTGGACCTGCTCGTCCGCTACATGACACTGAAATCCTTGAAGTGTACGACCTGCCGTGTATGGCCACTGAACAGCAAGCGACTGGGCCAGCTTTTCGTAGTACACCGCCACAACAGAGCGCTCGTCCTGTAGCCCAGCTGGACGAGGCGCCCAGCGGCAGCAACGATGACACCGTCACCGTTGTCGCTTTGGCGGGCGGCAGCCTCGGCCGTGCACCGCTGGCGGTGCTGGAGCCGGACCCACTGCTGCCGCTGCCACCGCTGCTGTCGCTATCACTAACGGCCCCCGATCCTGCTGACGCCGACGGCAATGGTGTCGTACCAGATCCCAATGCGCCTTGGCTCCCTGTTCCTGCAGCACCTGGCGTCGCACTGGCGTCCTCAACGGACATGGCAGCTGCCACCGTTGCTGTCGATGCTGACGATGGTGATGATGACGGTGGCGATGGCGATGACATCGCTGGTTCCACAGGCCCGGTGTACACCATCCGTACTCGACGATCCTCCGCTTCCTCCGATGAAGACCGCGTCACATAGCTGACGGCGGCGCTGACGGCGGCCAAAGCCCCCAGTGTGAACAAGCCCAGCGGCCGTACATCAGCGGTGGTGACGGCAGCTGTGGCAGCCGGCTGTGCTGCCGTCACTAAGCCAGCGGTGCAGGCCGCCACGCCGGCCAGCAGCATCAGCGGCACGCACATAAAGTACGACACAGCGGTGATGGCCGTGGCGGTGGACTCGTTCAGACGGAAGCGACGCGCGTTGGCAATTGCCTGCAGTACGGCACGACCCGATCACACAATCAACCACGTCATACCTCGGTAAGCAGTTGTCAGTTGGCAAATAGTTGACCTCAGCTAAGAGGAGATCTACTCGATGTTCACGACTGTATGTCCTGTCCCATCACACCGATCTGACCGGATAACGTATATAAACAAATGGTGGTAGTGCCATCGGCTTCTAAACAGCCGTACTGTAACTGTACGACACGCTGTGGACACTGTGGCGGCGTCAGTAGTGACGGCGGGTGCGGCGCTGGCTGCGTAGCGGTGGCGGTGCAACTTCATTGCCGAACTCTTATGTTTCGTTAGTATTTTTGCTGTTCATGAATTACTCACTTCTGTGTTCTGTGTTTGCCAAAGTTGGTTCCACCGGTGGAACCGCGTACACTAACAATATTGGACAATCTCTGTATTGTTTATGAATGCTGTTCCACAAGTGGACAAGTATCCATAAACAATACAGAATGGTCGACAGAACCTGGACGGAGTATTCAGCCCCCCAAAAAGCTGTCTGGCTAATGCAAAAAGCTCTACAGCAAGGAGCTCGATACCGCCCACCCACTAAACCCCAAAGCAGTATAATCCCAACACCCAACCGTACGATGTGCAGAATTGCAAAGCTGGGTGAGCGCATGTATTTTCTCTCCCTTACATATACACCCTTTCCTCCACTCCCACAGCCCAGTTGTCCCTTCCGGGCCCCTTCCCCTCCTAAAACCCTAAAACCTGTTTCTCTGAACAGCGTAAAACCCACTAAAACCTCACACCTACCTCAGGCGGCACCGGCGCCAGTAACGCGATGAGTGAAGCCGCCAGCGGCACCAGTGCAGACGCGCCCTCGCGGAAGGCTCCACCGCCGACGCCACGGCCGACGCCACCCGCCGCAATCATGGCCAACAAATTGAGAACGACCGTCAGCGAGACCAGCAGCCTCGCGCCGAGGAGCCGGACAATGTCAGACAGGAGTTGCTTCTGCGCCGAATGGCCTTTCGGCTGGTTCTGCTGGGGCTGATGGTGGTGCTGCATAAGGCCCTGATTGGGGAGGTTTTCACAACTTCATTTAAGCTTTAAGGGGTTTAAAACCCAACCTAAAATTCCCTAAAACCCTAAAACTCACGCCCACGCTCTGACCAATAAATAAACAGCAAAATACGCACACGCACAAATCAGACCAACCGACCGACCGACAGACAGACGGACAGATATCTCACAACTCACCCGAGCAGCCGCCAGCAAGGGCGGTGCTGTGATCCCCACGGCCAGCAACACCAAGGGGGTGTTGGCCTGGGCCAGTACGGCAGTGATGAGGTTCAGGGAGGTGGGCAGGGGCACCTGGGGGAGTACGGCAAGTGTCCGAAAGGGAAGAGGGGGAATCCCTTGACATGGTGCTTGATGATGATGCAAACAAACCCTAAGGTTAAACCCATGACCCAGATTTTACTTTCGACGTCACCAAAAGTACCAACCGCCTTTGACAACGGCGGTCACATGACTGTGGGGTGGGTAGTGGCTTCTGGTCCCAGCGGTCTTTGTCTTTGGGGGCACACAGGGGGGGGGGCGGCCAAACACGGGGGGCACGGAAAGGGCCGCTATGTACGGCGGTATGTACGAGGTGTGAACGGCATAGGGTGGTGGAAACCGCCACCAAGCAAAAACACAGACGCATGTGCGGTATATCCAACGAACCTACCAAACAAATCTCACTTCCCCCTCCCCCCCACACACCCCCGTTCGAACCCCCAACTCCCCCCTAGGGACACCCCACCACCACGCACCCACCCTAGCCAGGTTGAAGACCACACCCGCCAGTAAGGCCCACAAGGTAGGTTGGGCCGCCAGCATGTGTACGGCATCCACCCACCGCCCGCCTCCCACCTCCACTCTGTGAGTGGGTGTGAAAGGGATGAAGGGTTTGATGTGAGTCGGACCGGATGAGCAGGTGGAGGTAGAGTAGGCCGAAAGGGAGGTGGAAATGGCGGCGGAGGAGGCGGGTTTACGGACAGCGGGGCGGGGCGGGGTGGGGCGGGGTAGAAGGGGTGAAAAGGAAACAAAACAAGCCCCTAAGCCCCTGAAGAGAAAAGCTGTCTGCCAGTGGGGCCCGCCCGGAGGATGCTGTCACGTCTGTCTTTGCATGGATGTGTGTTTTGTGCCGTACGGGAGTCGATAATCTGTTTGGGGGTTACATACATAGCGGGGTAAGAAGATTGTGGGGCCTTATGGGGTTCGAGGCCCCCTAACGGGCCTCGACCCAGTACGGAAGGTCCGCTCCTTCCCTGGAGCAATGACACCTCTCCTCCCCTCCCCCCCACATTCGCATCTTCCGTTATATGGAGAGTGGAAACATTTTCTTCGTATGCCGTACCATGTCGTACCTGCGAGCTGCCGCCGCCACGGCTGTAGCGCCATCCGACGCTAGCGCCACCTGCCACAGCTCCAGGGGGGTTTCGAACTGCCCGTCGCGCCAACGACCCGCCTTCGGGAAGGTGTGTGCGCATGTGTGTGTATGGGGAGGGGGGTGAGGGAGGGGGAAGGGGGGTGAGGGAGGGGAGGGGGTGAGGGAGGGCTTCGGAGCGCGAGGTGGAGTGTGGGATTATACGCAAGAAGCGAGATGAGACAGCTGTGCGGATGTCCACAGGACCAAGTGCTGGCTTCCACGGCGGTGATGTTGATAATGGTTGTTGATAATGATGATGACGATGATGTCGATGATAATGATTGATGGCCAGTGATTAATGATTGACGATGGTGGCAGAAGTGCGCGGCGGCGTTGTTGATTGCTCACCTTGACTTGGCCAGTGCTGAACGTCCGCACGCCCAGACCACTCATTGAGCCCGCGCTCCACTCGCCCTCATACACGCCACCCTTCAGCGGGGGGAGGGGGCCGCGGGAAAGCCCCCGGGGGATGGGAAGGCGGGCGGGAAATCAAAAAAATCACGGAGCGACAGGAGGGGGGAATCAAAGCGATGAAAAGTTAAGGAAAGGGTCCCATCCATCGGGGAAGGAGCTGCGAGGCGGATAATGCCGGAGGGGAATTTTCGAAAAGCAAACAGATTCGGTGCTTGTGGGGGCAAAAGCAGGCCCCCCGAGAGGGCGAGGTGGAAAGGGTACGAGGGGGGAGGGGGACACGGGAACGGGCGACGAAGGTGCTTGGGTGCTTGGATGGCCGGAGGGCGGGTCAATGAGTCTGTTTTATCCAAAACCACGCCAACCACCCCAACCGCCACAACCACCGCTCGGCTCCACCAGCTGTCTCGCAAGACCACCAATAAAATGCAGTAAATGTAATAACAGCAGCAACAACAAAAGATAGGGGCGAGCAGGGATAAAACCGGCGGCCTGTCCCCAAAAGTGCTTTATTACTGCTGCCGTACTCTTTCCGTACGACAGTTATCGGCCGTACGTATTGTTCGTGCCTTTGGGAAATAGTACACGCCTCGCCCCTCCTTCACGTTGTTGCGCCACTCGCCCTCGTAGCGGGCACCGCTGGCGTACCTGTGGCGTAGAGTGCACACGCGGCGCAAAGACGGCAGACGGAGTGGTTTTTGTCAAGTTATCGGCTTACACCTCACCTACCCTATTGAACTCAAACCCCCCCGGCCTCCCTCCTAGCGCATAAGCGGATTGCGAGTTTCACACGCTACGGCACGCGCACGCCGGGGGATAACCCCACCCGCCGCCCTCCCCCCAAACCCCGAACCCGCTAGAACCCCCTCCCCCCAATACCTCCCTTACAAACACACACCCATGTGCATACATACATACATTCAGACACATGTGTACTCACGTATATACCCCCAGACCCTCCTTCTTCAGCCCCCGCCACTGCCCGCGGTAATCCCCCCCCTCCTCGTGCTTGAAGCTCTCGGGGAAGGCGGGGCCGGCAGCTGCAAACAACATGTACGACAAAACCCAGACTGCGGAAGGAAAGAGCGAGGGCGGGGGAGAGGCAGGGGGCGGGTGAATAATTGTTTATATTATGTTTGTTTATATATATACATATATAAATTATTGTCTGGTATCTACTCCACTCGCCAATGGTTCCCCTCAACCCCCCCCCACACACAGACACACACCTGTGATGTGGTTGACCAAGTCCATGAGGGCCACGCTCTGTACCGCAGCTGATGCTGCCGTACATCCCCCCGACGCTCCTCCCAAAAAGACCTCAGCCAAGGGGTAGCCTAGCAGCCTAAGCGACAGCCCCGTGGCAGCCCCTGATAGTACGGCACGTTCCCGTACAGATCGCTGGGCCACGTACAGCCTGGTGTGACCGGGGGGGTTGCTAAAGTCAATACACACACGCTCAGGGCACATGCAGGGTTAGCCCGTATGTTCCTTACTGGGTAGTTGCTTGAGACGATTTTGCATTGGCGTACAATCCCCCAAACCCAGTGCATGTGTGCCTTCAATCTTAACTCATAAGCCCCTAAGCTCCGAAACCCTTTAACTCCCCCTCGTCCTCCCCAAACAGCCAGTAGCCCTACCAGGTAGCTGCCAGCTGTGCCCCCACACACACCACGGCCACGCCCACGAGGGAGGCAGCTCCCCAGTCCAGGGGGGGACCACTGCAGGACGAGATGGGGATTTCGTTGAAGAACGAGGGTTATGTTTATTTTGAACTCCGAAGGAAGTGCGCACGTAAAAGTGCAAGCAGCCACTTTGTTTAAGCAGTACTGGGTTTGCACCAATAGAGGATCGTGTGGGCGGTCCCCCACCACCCCGCGGGTCGCTGCCACTGCCCATCACAGATCGCCTGAAGGCCGCGGTGCACCACCCAAGGCTTACTTTCCCAAGGCTTGGAGAATGACGGAGGGTAATGTTAGTGTCGTGGCCACTTGAATAGCCGTCTGCAACAGGAAGGGGGCGGGTATGCAGAATGAAGACCGGGTCCACAGGCACACAATGCTATGGGAGATCACGGTTAGAAGGGTAAAAGATAGAAGGAAAAGATATAGGCGTACCTCGCCATCGCTTGTACTGAGTATGCCACTCTGCTTAAGGTTATACCCAATGGCCAGCAATGCGCAGCATTGCGCCAGTCGCGACGTTGCTTGAACAAAGGGTTCTGCCATTCCAGCTTACCAAATTAAACAGGCAGTATATACAATTACCATATGATTGGAAAAGGGTTCACAGAGCCTATTTTAACGGAACCGTGTGTGTCGGCGAAGCAGTGGAGAGGAGTGGATAAGAGACGAATCCTTCGAAACTTGGCAATGTTGATTCCAATCCTGTCTACCTGGTATGGATTTTGCAATCCGGTATCCTGACTAGCATTGCTCCGAGACCGAAACCATCGGTTCCCTGACGAAAACTAGTGTTCAGGACCGTGACTTGTGCATCTGTTCTGCTACGTACTCTATAGTTCTTTTCGTTCTCTTTTTTCTTTCTTTTCCTTTGAAGCTCGGATTGCTCATGAGCCATCGGGGCCGTACAGACTCGAGAAGCTTGTATCAAAAATGTTATAACATGCAGTAACGCACGCAGGAGACGTCCGTAAAGTCGGGAACAGTAATTTTGTCAAACTTGTCAAACAGTACTTCGTTATACGCCGAAGCTTTCAGGGTCTTTGCTGCAAGTATATCCATCATGCTTACGTTCAAGTCGTTGTCGTCGCGTGTGCTCCTTGGAGGCCGGTCGAAGGACACTGTTTGCGTCGGGCGCAGCCAACAGGTGAGGTCACAACTTGCCCTTTGGACCTCCGATGATTTGGACCTTCAACCACTGGGTGTCCAGGCCCTCACGACACTCCGTCCTTTATAAGCATTCGAAGAACAATTTATATTACAAATATAACACGCTGGGCTCTTCTGGGGTATAAGTCGGCGAGGACATCTGTGTCCATGAACACAAATCCCCGTGCGCTGCAGCACGCCTGCCTCGGCGGCATAACAGTCCCTTGGAGAAGTCTCCAGCGATGACATATCTAATCAAAGGATCTTCACCACCACTACCATCTCTACCAGTAGTGCTCTTTCCACCATCACAACTACCATAGACCGCTGCGACCACCCGTGTTGTGGCCTGGGGCGGAGTGAGGTGCGATGCGGTCAGCCCGAACAAACCATCCAAGCTCTACGCTCATTTTAACTTGAACTAGAAGTTCCGGGAAGCATCAAAGCACGGACGGGGTCCCCGAGGGACCTGAGTCCATGAAGCCATGATGAAACTTTGGGGTGGTGGACTGGAAACGACTGTGGCCCCCGGCACTGGGACAAGAGCTAGGGTTCACAGAAAAGAGCGAAGTCGTCAAGTCTTTTTTATTAGCAATCTTAAGTAATCTAAAAGATATTTCTTATCCTACACCCGGTGGCGCATCCGGTGGTGATGTCCCCCACGGCCCCCACGGACCGGCTCTGACTCCTCTTTGCCGGCGCCTCCCCTGCCGCCACCCGATAGGCCTCAGCCGCAGCAAAACGGTGCCGTACGGTTTCCGTACATGCCGCCTTCACGCCCGACAACCCAGTTCGCCAGGCACTGTCCCAGGTCGCCATCAACGTCTACAAAGTCTCCGCGCTCATGTCCCAGCCAGGTCGGTCCTGGCGAATATCTTTTCCGTGCAGAAGTAAACAAGAGGAACCGTCAAAGTCGCAATCGCAATCGCACTTTCGTTCATATGGGTAGCGATATGTGAAACTGTGCGCGGCAGCAGCAGCAGTACTGTCCGGTTTAGGTCCTTTCCGACGTCCTTTCATTATCCTAAGTGGTTAACTGGAGGGTCAGGGGCGTGTGTGGTGGGCTGGTGTTGGGCTGGTGTGGGAAAGGATCACGGCGTGGAGTGGGGTTCTGTTGCGATTTCTGAGGGGCTCGACATGTTTTCCCTGTCCTTGGGTCCACATGCGTTGCCCGGGGGAAAGTAAGCAGGCGGGGGAATTGATCGTTGCATTGCTGTGCCGTGCCGTGTTTTGCTCCGTGCCGTGTTTTGCTCCGTGAAACAGAGGCGGGTCTGACGCCCCTTTGGGCCGCCGTCAAGAGGTTGGACCTGGGCGCCGTGAACGCGGCGCTGCGAGCGGGAGCCGATCCCAATGAGCGAGATGCAGCCGGCGATACCCCGCTGCTCTGCATTGCGCGTGCCGGACACTACAAGTACCCTCCCAACGAGATTCCTGCGGTGAGCAGAACGGCGAGGTGAAGGTACCAGATCATTCTTCGTCCCTTTCGGAGACCCCGTGAAACTGCTGGGTATAGCAGGCCAATATGTACAGGCCTATATATACAGGCCTATATATATGTTATAGTATAGTACTACAGTACATATAGTATAGTACTACAGTACATATAGTATAGTACTATAGTATAATATATATATACAGGCCAAAGCAGATGCCGAAATATACAGATGACATGTGGATGTGTTCGTATTGACTTTCTGTGCCGTTGTCGGTTTGGTGCCGTTGTTGCGGTGGTTGCGGTGGTTGCTTGCCCTCAGGCTTTGGTGAAGGCTGGGGCAGATATGGAGGCGAAGGACAAGAGCGGCCTCACGGCGCTGCAGGTCGGTGTGCGCGCCTGGCCTGGGTGTGGCCCAGATGTAACCCCGCGAATCAGCTAACCTCTTTTGGATAAGCGGGCGGATTATCCCTCCCTTTCCTCCCTCCCTTTCCTCCGTCCCTTTCCTCCCTCCCTTTCCTCCGTCCCTTTCCTCCACCCCTTTCCTCCACCCCTTTCCTCTACCCCTTTCCTCTACCCCTTTCCTCCACCCCTTTCGTCCCTCCCTTTCCTCCCTCCCTTTCCTCCATCCCTTTCCTCCATCCCTTTCCTCCACCCCTTTCCTCCACCCCTTTCGTCCACCCCTTTCCTCCACCCCTTTCCTCCACCCCTTTCCTCCACCCCTTTCCTCCACCCCTTTCGTCCCTCCCTTTCCTCCACCTCTTTCCTCCCTCCCTTTCCTCCCTCCCTTTCCTCCACTCCCTTTCCTCCACCCCTTTCCTCCACCCCTTTCCTCCACCCCTTTCCTCCCTCCCTTTCCTCCACCCCTTTCCTCCCTCCCTTTCCTCCACCTCTTTCCTCCCTCCCTTTCCTCCCTCCCTTTCCTCCCTCCCTTTCCTCCCTCCCTTTCCTCCTCATCCCCCCGGGCATTAGTGCTTTCGACGACGGGGCAGTGGTTTCGTTGTCTTAGGCATCGCCACATAATCCCCCTCCCTCCCTCTCCCCCCTCTCCCTGTTCTCCCAGGTGTCGCTGCTGTCCGGGTGGCAGAACATTGCGGAGCTGCTGATCAAGGCCGGAGCCAGCACTGCGGGGGTGGCGGCCGTCAAGAACCGCCTAACTTGCCCGGACTGCAAGCGCCTGGTGGCCCAATACAATCTGTAGAGGGAGGGAGAGGAACGGAAAAGGAGGGAAGGGGCAGGGGCAGGGGGAGGGAAATGAGTCATGGAGGGAAATAGAGGTGAGGTAGCGGAGAGGTGAGAAGAGATGAAGGGAGGATAGAAGGGGCCTACTGCCCATGTCGAATTTCGGGGGACTGGGTTGCACCCCGCGGCGATGTGAGGTTTCGGAGCTGATGATGAGAGTGCGCATATATCTCCCGCCCGCGTGTGCAAAAAAAAAATATATATATATATATATATATATATATGAATATACCCCCCCCCCACACACACACACACATGTTTTACCTCCGTGTGCACGCGTACTACATGAAGGATGACGTGTGCACGTGTGCGACATGTGGATAGGGATTGACGTGTGGAGCCGCCGCGTGTGCGTTCCGTTCATTAACAAAAATGGTCAGAATCGGCCTGCTGTCAGCACCTCGCTTAAAAGCTAATGTAATGTTCCTATTGGAAGATCCTGGATCCGCCGTGTGTGCGATTGCTGACACAGTGGCTTCGAAACCGGTCTCCTGTGCGTCCCGAAGTCCATCTGTATGTTTATGTATGTCGTTACAGGGTGGTTAAGCTTCACCAGCGCCCCCCTTTCCCGAGGCAGTTCCCTGCTCTCCCCTGCTAGAGGGGCACCCTGATCCATTCACCCCATCCGACTTTATGTGTATGTGTGGGAGGGTATACTGCATGTCGCCGGGAAGTCGTGTGGCGCATACACAAGCCCCTGCGCGCAATCAAAGCGATGGCAGGTTGTTTGTCCGGCCCTTGGCTGCCTAGGTGGCACCGGTTCCGACCCGGACTTCTCCACGTGTAGAAGCGTGAAGGATCTGCCTGGCTCTCGTATGGCCATGTGTGGCCCGCAGCCCAGGTCCTGCTTCGCGCCCGAACAAGCGTTCGCTCGTCCCTTAGCAAACTTTTTATCACTCTCGGCAACCATTCAAGGTTTCATACTACTTTCTTTCACTTTTTACAAATGTATTGTGTAAAATGTTTAATGTTAAATGTGCGGCCTGGAGGGCATCCTTGTATGTGTCCCATCCATTGCTGTGACTAATTGGAAGGGACAGTACGGATGATAAAGAGTGACGCCGCAACACGTGCTGCGGGGGTTGCCAACAAGTTCTGAGCTGTATGTCCTTTAGAGAGTATATTCTTGATTATGAACGGAAAACTAGCCAGTCTTAAAACGAAGTGGGGTGCGCTACCTGAACTTCTCTGAGAAACGACTTCCTAACCCCTGTCACAGCTGACACATCCACAACGCAATCCGGTGCCCTTTCCTACGGCACATATAGCCGTAAGTCGAATAGCAGCTTAGGAGTGTGACGCCACGTTTGCTGGAGACGCAATCTGGGAGTTTGCAGGAAAGCCTAAGCTGAGTGCGACTTGTTCGCAAGAAAGACAGTACTGGGATGATGTTAGTCCCCCCACCGACGGCTAAGGTTTTGTAAAAATATAGCGGTTTTTTTCCCTGTAATATAACTTCTTTTAAACACTCCTAAGTTTTGTCTTCTGTTAAGGCAGTTCAGCATCCGCCCTACACTGCCGCTCCAGTACCTCTCGATTACCCCCGAGCCTTTCCAAACGAAGGCACCACTTCTTTGGCTGTTAGCATAAAATGAAAGTTAGTGAATGTCGATGTTTAAGAAGGTCTCTGGTCACGAAGAGAAGGCAGGGGTCCAGCGCCTTGGTGTTGTCGTGAATGTCGGAAACGACAGCTGCTGGAGTGATACATGTGCAATATATATTTATTAGGCAGATGTAGTCATCGACAATTGAAAGCTCCCACGCAGACATTTTGCTTCCGGCCCAGCTGGTTTCCGCCCTCCTCTCGGACGGAAAAACTGACTTGAATGGTGACATACAATATTTGATTTATACATCACTAACGAGGACAAGTTATTTTAATGATAAAATGCAAGAAATGTGCAACAAGCTGTTGTTTGCAGCGAAGCAAATTCGGGGCTAAACGATAGTATGCCGTTAGAAACGGAAGGAGGTAATTCCTGCATTTCATGCAACAATATCGTTAAACTGGTAGGCTATAATCTACGATTAATCCTTTGTGTAAGTTTCTCGCAGAACTTATGTGCCACATTAGAGTGGTACAATACCGGTAGTGTGCTGCATCTGGCGTTGCTTACAAAACCCTTAGCAGGATCATTAAGCGGTACAAAGCTCTTGATGATTATGGTCATGCAAAGTCAAAGCTCACCTACTGTGAAGGTACGCATCGTAAGCGGCAGTTGCCGAGATGCAGAAGTTGCAATTGAGGTGCGTTTCGAGCATGCCCGATGAGATGAATGAGATTCATGTCTCTTATGGACAGGCTGATGGACTACTGAAACCTTTTGCTGAACATGATTCGGCTCACCAAAGCCCCGATTGCGGGTCGATTAGCGAAGTTTCGCCGACCCGAGCATGTTTCAGCGATTGCACAAACTTATTGTGCACCGAGGACGGCCTGGACGATTTTGAAATGGGTGATGGCGTTGCACTGGGGAGCGAGGTGCACGACCCGTGCAGCGGCCATGAGCGCCGCCTTCGCTTGGACTACCGAAGTTATTATGCCGGCTTCTCGCGCGATGATGACATCATAAGGTATGGTAATGCCGCTTGCTCAAAGTATAACGCCCTTTGGCAGACGCAAGGCGGCATGGCAAGCGCCTCGTTAAGCGCATGCGCACCCTGTCAGCGATTACATACAACAGCACTTGCGAATTTTCCGCGACCGCGCAACCGGGACACGCTCCCACAACAAAATGCTCATTGTTAGCTTCACGCAAACCGCCAGCTATCATAATCCTGGGGAGCGGAGCAATGGATCGCGATAAACATTCCTCTTCTCCCCAGCTTTCCGGTCCCTAGCAACGTAGACTCCGAAACCACATGGACGCCACCGAACGCCATGCGGCATTCCGAGCTCTCGTCGCGCTTCTTGTGCCGCACACACGCGTGCACGCATACACACATAAGACACACACACATACACATACACACACATACACACCTCGAGCATGTGCAAATTTGATGGAAAATCCGCTTGGATAACGGGGATCACTTATCGCATCGAGCGTGAGGGAGAACGGAATGAATGTGGTCGGTTGTCACGGTACGGGCTTGGTTCGAAGGGCCCTAGCCTGGAAGGTTTGTTATGGGGTATGGGCCATTGGTACTTACTTCTCCGTCCGGGATATCCGAAGAGTTGGAGTCGGTAGGGTTGTGTGTTTTGCGTGGTGGCCGCATGTCCCCATCAGGTATACGTAGGGCATGATTGGGAACCGCGTACGCGAGTCCTCTTCCCCGAAGGCTGGGAGGTTCGGTCCTCTCGCACAGGCGCGCACACAGAAAGCAACCCCTCGCGAGTTACGGACAGCCCGCAGCCCTCCATCCGGATCGTTCCCTTAACCTGCTTTCCATGCTGACCGCTTCCTTACTTTTTCATCTTGCCAAAGGCATGATCTCCGTAAACAGGCAGAAGTACGACTGTACGGTAATCCCGTCGGGGGTGACTTGCATACGTCACCATGGGATACTGGCTTGGCCGTTGGAAGAAGTGGCATTGGAGGCAGAGGCGGAGGCGGAGGCGGCATAGCGGTGCCATGCCCTCTGCTTTCTGCCTCGTACCGTGCGCGTATGGTTGGCTGGATGCGGGAGGTGTCTGTGGCCCTGGGCCTGCAGCTGTCCACGCTTTTCACGGCCACATCCGTACTGGACCGGTTTATAGCTGCATCTGAGGTGCGAATGTACGGCAGGGAGGTGTGTATATATGTGTGCGTGTGGAGGGGGTACCTCCCCGGTACACGGGGAGGACAGATGCGAGAAGGGTGTAGGCGAGCGGAAAAGGGTGGTGGATGAGAGGCAGGCAGGGGTTTGGGACAGCTGCATGTGCATGTGTGTGCGTACGTGTACCTATATGCTTAGTTGAGTGAAGGTGTTTAGCGGAAATATCAAGTTACCGTCACTCGGGTGCCTCAGCGCTCGCGGCGGCATGTCTGAAACCCTCCTACTGCGTGGGATGCACCAGGTGCCGCTTCCGAATGGACTGCTTCAATTGGTCACGCTGGCATGCTTGTCTGTGGCAGTCAAGTACGGCGAGGTACGGCACTTAAACACACAACCGGCCCATGATACAGGTTCTCCTTAAGTTGCCCCCTGGCGCCGGGGGCTGTGAGCATCGCAGTCCTTAGGGGCGGGTTCAAGCGGTAGGATGCCTAGGAAGCGGCCTTCTTAGCCGCGGTGATACGATGTGCTGTTGGTGACATTCTGTGCTACCAGGGTAACGACATCGCGAAAAGGTTGCACGCGCTATTAGCCTTTCCCCCAAAACAAGGGCAATTAGGGTGGTGTCAAGATTTGACCTAAGGTAAATTGGGCGAAATAATGCAAGTCGGACGTCTTATGCAAATGTCGACCTTCCGTGATGTAGATTTCGTAACAAGAAGCAGCTCGGCATCGCAAGCTGTATCTAGTAGGAATGAATATAAAGATCTATACCTCTGATCTGTACATTCCATTTGGACCTTTTTACCAGGTGATCGACCGCCTCAGACTGTCGAACATGCTTTGTCCTCCCTCCCCTTTTTGGTTCATGGCTACCTCTGATGTGCTTGCTTTGACCGAGCTTTTCGCGCATACCAAGCAGGTACAGCAGCTCGGTCCCGCTGTATGGTTGAGCATGGCAGTTGACCACAGCGGGCGGCATCTGTACGGGGTGAGCTTCCTTCCTAGAGCCTGAATGATTTTAGTGCGTAGACGGGCATATTAATGACTGCCGTAGGTAGGAATATTCCTTTATCATGTCCACCTCGTCAGTGGGCTCCAGTCGGCGCGGCGGCCGCGTCGTCGTGGCCGAGACCATAGTCCCCGTGAACTTGGGCTGTCATGCTAAGGACAGATAAAATGCATCTCATACACTTGAGAACATATCCGGTAGGCCTCTGTTGGACGAAAAGGGCCTTGCGAGTGCAAATCAACGGCAAATTCCCTACCTTCCTCAGCGACATATGACGAAGATGGCCATGTACCTTTTCACAATTTACCCATTTTAATACTACTAAGTTCCTTGTTATCATTGTCCTGGTACAGCTTCTCTCAAAGGTTAAACAACGGCAGTTTTAAGGATTTTGGTAATTTCAGGGTTATTGTTAGCTTGCCGGATGGGCATAAGAGCAACCAAAACTATAGATTTGGCGTGGGGTTGTAAAGTCCACCTCGTCTTTGATGGGAAGTTAAGTTTGTGGACGTGCTGTCGGTGAGAATTAAAGGACCGGCAAGCTGCAATGCTAACCAAGCTTCAGAACCGTGAGCCTCAAGGGCTGTAGAGTGCTGGCCTAGCATTGTTCCTGCTGCTGCTCCTGCTGCTGCCTCTGCTGCGTGCGCTGGTCTCGATTTCCTGCACCCTTCGCACCCTCCTTTGTATCCCCTGCGCCTCTCTAGCCTTCCTTCACCTCTTACCTGCTCTAATTTTCCTCTTCCTTCACAACCCTTCCGCCCTTCTCCCTTCCCCTCTCCATGGGGGCCCCTCCCCCTCCCCTCCCCCTCCCCCACCCCACCCCATCCATCAGGCTCGAGATCTGCAGCGGTGCGAGTTCACGTTGCTGCAAACCATCAACTGGCGCCTGCACCAACCAAACACCTACACCTTCCTGGAACACTTCCTTAGCATCGTGTGCTCTCCGCCGGCGCCGACCATTCCAACCGATTCAACCGCCGGAAGAGCCCAGCGGCTGGACAAGCAGTCCAGATGGGGTTGTACGGCATCCTCCGATTTTCAAGCGGCAGGCGATCCCAGCGTCGCCGCCGCTTCAGCCCTCGCCACACAGAATGCCTTGACAGCGGTCGAGTCCGTCACCGTCGCTGTCGGTAGTCAGCCGGAAACACACGGCACCCCGGAAGCATCGCACGGACTGTTGTCCATGGCGATTCACGACTCGTGCGGCATCGTTAATTCGCACACCTCATCTACATCGTCTGTGGATTGCTCTTGTCTGCCCGCGGCTGCTTCTACTGGCGGCCCAACTACTGCTACAGTAGCAGCAGCAGCAGCAGTAGCTACTCCTGTTTGCAGTAGCGGCACTAGGGCAGCTGTGGTTGTGTCGACTACAGCGGTGGGAGCGGCGGCGACGGCGGACGGGGCGTTGGCGGCGGAACTGATGATGCTGATGTCTGACAGGGCCTTAGCTTTCGCGGTGCGTGTTGCCGTGTGTATGGCTGTAGCTGGAAGGGCTCCCCCAACGTTGAACTTTACCCATCCCCCTCCAGGGAGGGAAGCCCTGAGCGTTGCGCCCTTTTTTCTGCCGTCAAAAGTTGGCGCTCATGTGGTTGCCAGGTGCCCCTCGACACACACACCCGACACGTGTGGACCTTGTCTGCCTCTTTCCCTCGCTCTGTTTCTTCCCTTCCTCTCCCCCTCACGCTCTCTCTTCCCTTCTGCGCTCTCTCCCCGCCCGCGCTCTCTCCCCACCCGCGCTCTCTCACCACCTTTCCCTCTCCCCAATGTTTATCTCTCGCGCGGGTCGCCATTTACCCAACTGGGCTCGCTACGCCGGCTGCCAAATGAGTCGAATTTTCATGTTGCCGGCTGTACATGCACTTGAAAGACGGCCGGCAGTCGAATGCCGCCGACAGGGGACCTCACCCCTGGACAGGTGTACGTATCTCCTTAAACTCATCCGACTACCGTACTGCGGGCACTGCGCGCCGTTGCCGCGTCGCGCACACCATGGAAAGAAAACACACAACACGAAACACACACGGGTAGACAACATTCCCCCCGGCCCCCTATCCCCTGCGTCCCCCTGTCCAGGAAATCTCCCGCCTGTCGAGCATCTTTTTGGAGTATGAGCATAGCACTGTCGCACTCTCATGCCTAGCACTGGCGGAGCACAAGACGTACGGCACTGGCGGCGGCAACGCTGCCGGGCCTTTAGAGGCCAGCGCGACCGCAGCCTGGGGTCCGTTTGCCGCCATGCACGTCGCAGCGGCGGCGGAGGCAGCGGAGGCGGCGGCAGATGCCGGCGGTGACGTCGGGCCGGCGGCGTTTCCGTGGGTCAATCTGCAAGCGGCGACACAGGTAGCGGCGGCGGCGGCAGCTTCCGCCGCTACCTTAGCCGCCGTAACCACCGCCGCTGGTCTTCCATTGCCTGTTCTGGCTCCTTGTTTAGTGAGCTGCATGACGGCCCTGGAGGGTTACTACCAGCAGCTCAAGGACGCAGCAGCCGCGGAGGCGGAGGAGGCGGCGGAGGCGGCGGCTTAGGAGCAGTAAAGGCAGCTCAGAGGTCGTACACGGCGCGTGTTGTGGGTCAGTCAGCTGCCCCGGGAGCTGCATTCCGCCTTCACCTCCGCGACCTCCGCCACCAGCTGTCCCGCGCCCGACGCAAGTACGACACGGTATTGACATCAGCAGCACCCTGGCAGCGGCGGTTGACCGGTCTGTAAGGCCCTGAGAGGGCGGCAGCGGTTGTTGCTTTGCTCACAAGTCCCCGTCCCAGGGTAGAGGACAGCGCAGCGGCGGCAGCGCCGGCAGCGGAGGCGGCAGCTGCAGCGGTGGCGGCATAGTCAAAGCTTCAAAGGACGTACCTGTCACGTTCGTGGCCACGTGCAGCAGCTTCGCGGAGGAGAGCTGCGTCGTGGTGTTCCAGGCAAAGCTCCCCCTCCTCCGCCGCCTCCTCCTCCGCCGCCGCCGCCGCCACCACCGCCGCTTCCTCCTCCTCCTCTCCTATTCCACCTCTCCTCCTCCTCCTCTCCTCCTCCTCTCCTCCTCCTCTCCTCCGCCTCCTCTCCTCCTCCTCCTCCGCCGCCGCCGCCACCGCCTCCTCCTCCTTCTCCTCTCCTATTCCTCCTCTCCTCCTCCTCCTCCGGGACCTGAGGCCGCGGCCACCCGATGAGGGCCGATGGTGGTGGAAGAGGGACCACGGCGGCCGCAATCGTTGGTCAAGCTGCGTTGAGGAACTGGTACCTTTCCTACTTTGCCGCATACACGTCCACACGCACATACAGACGCACGTCCGCAGCACCCGCGAACAGTGTGCATGCGCCGGTGGGCTGGACAGATGCTGGAGGGAAGATTGGGGGATTGGTACTCGCGTGCGCGGGCGTGTGGCCCTGGGGTGTGTAGGCCGTCCGTCGCAATCTTGAGTGGCGTCCTCTGTCAAATGTGTAGCCGAAACCACAACTACAACAATCCGCCGTGTACGACGTACAGTGCAATGAAGTCGAGTTGGGGTTGTCATTGTCATGCTCGTACACTGTATGTCGTGTCCGTACAATTGCATGTTTTGCACATCTTGTGAGACTGGAATGGCCCATACAGGAAGGTGAGGAGAAGTTTTCGGTGCGAGGACTGTTGAAATCATGTCGCGTCCCGTGCGGTGCTTCGGGTAGAACGGCGCAGGCGTTCTTTCTTTCGGATGGGCAAGCTCAAGGAGTTGTCCGTTGTGAGTCATTCTGAGTTTTCCTTTAATGCCGTTGTTTATTGTTGGTATTATTAATATTATATCAATGTTGCTGGGTGGTTGCTGAATGTTGTTGTTGTTGCCATGGTTGCTCGTACACATGCATGCAGGTGGTTTTACAGGTATTACAGGTATTACAGGATGGTAGTCAAGCAGGCAGAGGCCGCACACGCTTCTGTGCTGTGCTGCGTGGCTTTTTATGTTTCGTTATGTTGCATCTTTTCTGCACCTGCGCGGTTCATGCGGTCCTGAGAAGAACGTTTTTTTGTTGATACAGCAGCAGCAGCAGGAGCAGGAACAAGCTGATGGTGAGGGCGTAATCGCCGAGAGAACAGGATTTTTTGCTGTTGGCTTGGCAGTGATAATGTAGGGGCGTAGAAAACAAAATTGGAAACTAAATAAAACCCTACAAATTGCCCAATTAACCCACACGACCAACGCTTTAGAGGGCCCGGTACTTCCCCCCTTGTGTTTGTGTGGGTCTGCGTGTGTGTGTGTTCCGAATATCGTCACGCAAGCCGAGGCCTGCCGGGTGTGTGTACGGCAGGAGCGTGTTATTCGCACACCTGAAAGGGGAAAGGAGGCGGCGGCCGGGGCTGTCAGGCAGGACCTGGTACATAAACGCCGAGGGGAGGAGCAGGATGGCCTTGTTGCGCTGCCCTATCGCTCTTGCACGAGTCAGGACGGGCGGGCGAGTCAGGACGGGAGGTGGGGAGGTAATCAGGCGAGTCCTGCAGGGAGGGGGGCAATCAATCATTAGACGGGGTATCGGGCTTTCGGTCGCGCCCTGCTCCCATCCTTCTGGTGCCGCCTCGTGGGTAGGGGTCCCCACACCCACACCCACACCCACACCCACACCCACGCACCAGAGGAAATACAATCTTTGAGGCTTAGCTGGTTTTCGGGAGATAGGTGGTGGAACGGTTGTGCCCTGCTCGGCGGCCGGGTTGCGGGTGCCGCGGGTGGCGGCGGTGCGTGTTGCCACTTGACTAGATCAGTCATGTCACCATCTATATGCCAGACGGTACGGCAATTACTTTTGTTGTACTTGGAAGACATTGTGAGGATTGCCGATGTTGCCGTGCCATATGCAGGGGGGCAGGGAGTCGGGTAGAGGTCACATGAGTTATCTCTCTCTCTCTGTGTGTGTGTGTGTGTGTGTATGTATATGTGTATATGTGTGTGTATATCTTTCTGTTTGGGAGCCGGTTGATTTGGTGGTGCCGCTCTGCTCTGTCCTGGTCTGTTGTTGTGTTGTTCTCGGGGGGGCTCTTTGTGTTTCTGTGTTGGGTAGTGCGCTGCTGGGAAACGCGTGCTTGTTTCCTCTTCAGCTGTACAACTGCTGCCATATCCGTCTCTCTAGAATGTATTTGCGCACCTCGCGATGCTGTGGTGGTCCACAGTCTCCCGAGATACTTGTTCTTCTGTCGTGGAGAGGAATGAGTGGTTTACTTGGTCCGGTTGTGCGTGTGCGTGAACGTCTCAAACACATCTTGTTTGCCGTCTGGTGAGCAGCTGCCAGGTTTTGCCGCAGTTTTGGGGTTGCACGTTTTTGGGTTTTGCACAGTACACAAGCTATACTATACACCTCAAGGCTTAGTGCACGTACTGGTTTCGAGGTCTAAGAAAATGTGGTTTTGACTTTGCGAGTCGCAGGAAGGAAAGAGTCGATTTGGTTTCGGGGATTGTATGGCGGGGTCTAACGGTAGCCGTGTGGAGAGAGCAGCGAAAGTTGAAAGAAGCACATGTGAAGGGATTTAGGAAATGAACACTGCGGCAGTCGCCTATTGCGGCTGCGTCATTATGGGGTCCTGGACCTGTTGGGGAAAATGAGCTCGTGAGCTCACGAGTCAAAAGGTGTTAGTTGTGGCGGTTCCAGTTGGTTGACAAAGCTTAACGATGATGTTTGATTTTAATTTGGTGATCCTGAGGAATGATGCGGATGAATATGAATTGGATATGGGGTTGGCGGTGTTGGTGACGATGGTGCGATGTTTTTTTGTGACATGGTGGATGTGCGTCGGAATATGGCCTTTGGGCGTCCTTGGGAGGGCACCGCGACAATACCATTTAGCAGAGCGGGAGGTTAATCTTCGGTTTTGTGTTCAGCAAAAAAATGGTGAAGGGACTTCTTAAGTATAATGTGGCAAATTCGGCTCTCGTTTGCGCAATGTGGTTATTTGGCGCGCCCTCAAAGCAATTCGTCGTAGCTCAGATCCTTTTACGGATCCAGCAACCATCAATTTCTGCGGCTTCTTATCTCCCACTGTCCTATATATATCACGGTCGGCTTAAATCTCTAGTATTGAGCAAGGTTGAGCTTTAGGCATCCAGACAAGCCTCAGGGACCATCGGCCGAATCGCAGTGGGCAACTTGTGGCGCTGTCTATGTGGCGGTGGTTATTGATGATAAAGGTTTTTGGGAAGACGTACTTCATTATTAACTACCTACTTCTTTTTTGGGTCGTAACGTAAGCTGTTTTTTAGATTTTGAATCCGTTGTTTTTACCGACATAGCGGAGGCGGGAAAACACTTGCTTGCTGTCGTTTGTGACATGTCTTGGTTAGTTCGAGTCACGTTTCGGTATTCTGAAGGCCTTTGTCACGCCGGCCACACGCAGCTGCCTAATTAGGCACACCCCAGCTCCGTCAGTAAGCCAGCTCACATGGCGCCTGGGTGCCTGATGTATGATGTGTGGGATAGGGGGGTCATATCTTCACCCGTGGCCGCTACCCGGCGGAATCCTGCCTTCCCCGGTATTTCGGGACACCCTCATCCAGTCACCGTCGTCAACATCTTCAAATTCAGTGAACCTCCCAGGTTCAGCACCCACTACCGGCATCCAACGATGGATGTGGTGCGGCCTGATGTATGTTATGCGGCACAACAGCACAGCAGCTGTGGTGATGGCCGGCTGCTCGCACAGGGCCTTCTTTTTTTCTTATGATGTTCAGTTTCTTTGTTGTTGTGCGAATTCTGACACCTTTTCCTTACCTATGACAGATATGTATTGTTTGCATCTAGGGTAGGTGACGTGGGCAAGGGAGGCTATTTCCATGGTAGATTTCCATCGCGTCGATGTACCTTTCCTTTTACAAGCACCTGCTGGTGTTCGATTGATACAACAACAGATATGTAAACAACATTACCTAGACGCGCCCAAATGCACGGATATGGGCATGCATGAATGCTAAAGCACACTAGTAGTAGCACTCGTGCTCCTATCTGGGGAGGCTGTGGGGGGGAGGAGAGGGCGTTTGCGCCTTGGCGCATGTTTTTCCCTCGCCCCGTACGGTCACTCTTTCACTGCATTGGAGTACAATACGACGCAGTCGGGCCTTGCACCCTGCTGCGCGGGAAGGAAGGAGGGAGGTAGTTCAGCGGCGGCCGTCCCTCCCTCTCGATACCGCTGCTGTTGCTGTTGCTGTTGCCCATTTGCCAACTATTAGAATGTGGTAGAGGCAGCAGCACGCTCTTAGCTTGCAGCACCTGGCAAGGCATGGCGCGGCAAGCCGTGTTCCGCACGTGCTTTCATACTGCGATAATGCCGCTGGGGTTGTGTCTTAATCAGGCAGCTACATCAATTCCTTCCGATTGGTGGAAAGCAAGAGTACCCCTAGTCGATGGACGGTGGTGACCTGGGTTAAAGTAGACCTGCGAGCTGCTCAAGGATGGAGTTGAGCCGCCGTTGATCCGGCAGATTCCGTTGGATGCCGGCGGTGGGTGCTGAACCTGAACGATCCACTGAATTCGGAGAAGTCGGCTAGGGTGAGTGGATGAGGGTGTCCCGAAACACTGGGA